CTGAATTTTGAAAAGTGTCATTTTATGGTAGATAAAGGTGTTGTTTTGGGACATGTTGTTTCTAAAAGGGGTTTGGAAGTTGATAAGGCTAAGGTAGAGGTCATTTCAGCCTTACCTTACCCTACCAACTTAAAAGATGTCAGAGCTTTTTTGGGACATGTGGGATTTTACAGAAGATTCATAAAGGACTTTTCAAAAATAGCTTTACCTCTAACTGCCTTGTTGGGTAAAGATGTGCCTTTTCACTTTGATGAGAATTGTAAAAAAGATTTTGACTTCTTTAAACTTAAGCTCACCACTGCCCCTATTGTCCAAAGCCCTGATTGGACTTTACCCTTTGAAATAATGTGTGATGCCAGTGATAGGGCCATAGGAGCTGTGTTAGGACAGAAAAAAGGACAGGAATCCATTGTGATATCTTATGCTAGTAGCACCTTAGATTCTGCTCAGTGCAATTACACCACCACTGAAAAAGAGCTATATGTTGTGGTGTATGCACTTGAGAAGTTTAGGACTTATGTTTTAGGGGTCAAGGTCACTATTTTCACTGATCATGCTGCCATTAAATACTTGATGGCTAAGAGGGAATCTAAGCCTAGACTGATTAGGTGGATGCTTCTAATTCAAGAGTTCTTACTTGAGTTCAAAGATAGACCACGCCTGCAGAATCAAGTAGCTGACCATCTTAGCAGAGTCTTATACTCTAACAACCAGACACCTTTCACTGGTTTATTCCCTGATGAGTCTTTATATGCAGTGAAAGTGTTTCCTTGGTATAGTGAGTTGGTTAACTATTTGGTTACTGGAGAATTTCCAGTAGGCATGCCACAAGCTGAGAAATGTAAACTCAAAGCTCAGTCAAGGTATTACTACTGGGAAGAACCATTTTTGTGGAGATTCTGTTCTGATTTACTCATTAGGAGATGTGTGGACTATCATGAAGTACCCTCTATCCTAAAATTTTGTCATACTTTAGAGTCTGGAGGACATTTGGGTATTAAAAGAACTGTTCATAATGTTAGAATAATAGACCAACGCTAGAGGGGGGTGAATAGCGTTTGTCGGAGAAATCGCAGGAATTAAAAAAAATTAAAAGAGTAGTAAAGAGAAGAGTAAAGGCACACCGAATTTTATCCTGGTTCACCACAACTTGTGGCTAATCCAGCCTCCCGAGAGACTCTCTCGAGCTACACTACTATCTCGTTAAGCTTACGGGTGCTTAACAAACCGTTACAACGTGAGAGTTCGAGTCACACGAACCTGAACGAATCCTTCAAAGGAAACAGCCCTTCCTTTGAATCTACCAAGAGAAATACTTTCTCTCAAAGTGTCTAAGAACACGAATACACTCAAGAACGAGACTCTCTTATAGAGTAGATTATGAGTAAACTAACAACGCTCAAGAACAACTCAACCTTCACATAAAATGGCTCTAGAAAGCTATGGAAAATAATGATATTTGAATGCAATGAAAGTATGAATGTTGTGAAGTGAATTGGTGAGAAAAGCAGACCCAAACACCCCTTTTTATAGTGCCAAAATAGGCTCCAACGGACCAATGCATTAAAGGGGTGATTGGCTTGATTTATGGGATTGAAAAGATTTGGGATCTGCAGGATATTGGCTTCCCATCGATATTAGGGACTTACCCATCGCTGGTAAGCCAATTTTCCTTCAGTTTTGAAGCCAACGGTTGCCTACCCATCGATGGGTACAAGCTTCTCATCGCTGGGTGGGAGGTTGACTTCCAAACAAGGAAAGAATCAACCTTAAATGACTTCCAACGGTCATGCCTTCCCATCGATGGTTTAGCCTTACCATCGCTGGGTTCCCATCGATGGGATAGGTTTCCCATCGCTGGTTAAGGTTGTTCTGCCTTGTGTTAATTTTGCACCGAGGCTTTAACAGCGATGGGTAGAACTCCCCATCGCTGTTTGGCATGGTTCGGGAAGTTGGTTTGGCTTAGGGACCGCTTACCCATCGATGGGAATATCTTCCCATCGCTGGGTTGGTGGTTAGTCAAGAACCCATGGTTTTTGCCTTAACCACGGCCTAGCCAACCCGATGCAAAAACCGACCGAAAAATCCAAAGTTCTCCAAAATAAAAAACAAGTGTTTAAAACACTTATTTGATGTGTTTGGCTAAGAAATCGAGTAAAACACTTTAAAAACCACGCCATTTGAGTGAAAACCACGGCTAGCCAAGTTTATGCCATTTTGAATGATTTTTGTCAAACAACCAAAAGCGAAGGATGGTTTTCAAAGTGTTTTTGTTGGAGAACCGTTTAAACATGCCAAAGAGTGAAAGCGAATCATAAAATGCTGAAAACCACTTGGTTGGTTCGGATGCCAAAAACCAAAGCCGATGACCGAAAGCCGAACGCTGGTTTCTGAAAGCCGAACGCTGGATGGCTTGGTTTTTGGTTCGAGCGAACACCAAGTTTTTTTAATGACTTAAACAAGTTTGAAAAGCATTTTTATGATGTAAGAAAGGATTTTAGCCTAAAGAGCCAATGCGTGAGGGTTGGGTCGGTCTTGATTACAATTGTGACCGACTCAACAATACTAAAGACTGCGGTCTTCGTTCTTGGTCTCTTTTAGCTCTTGTTCTTTATCTTGGTTCTTCGCCTTGTATATTCAATGTTTGTCTTGATCACGGCAGTTTGGTATTATCAAAACCTGTTACAAAAACGAACACGACTTTAGTACGAAAACGTGACAAGCTCGTGTTTCAACACATAAGATCCTTGAATCTGGTTTTTTCTAGCCCACCATGTCTAAGGACACTGCTGAATTTTGTAAAAATTGCCCTAGGTGTCAGCAAACAGGTTCTTTAACTAAAAGAGATCAAATGCCCTTAACCTCCGTCCTTTGTGAGATTTTTGATATCTGGGGTATGGATTTTATGGGACCATGTCCTCCTTCAAATGGTTTTCAATACATCTTGGTTTTTGTTGATTTTTTGTCTAAATGGATAGAGGCAGTGGCCACTAGGGATGATAACTCTCAAAGTGTGGTTAAAAAATTAAGAGAACTCATTTTGAATAGGTATGGCATACCTAAAGCATTGATTAGTGATAGGGGCACTCATTTCTATAATAAGACCATGTCAGCTGTCTGTGCTAAGTATCACATTACACAAAGGGTTTCTACTGGGTATCACCCTCAGTGTAATGGGAAGGCAGAAATTTCAAACAGAGAAATCAAGAGAGTCCTTGAAAAGGTAATTAGGCCAGATAGGAAGGACTGGAGTTTGAGAATTGAAGATGCTCTGTGGGCAATTAGGACAGCCTTTAAGACACCTTTAGGCATGTCCCCTTATAGGGTAGTTTTTGGAAAGGCTTGCCATCTTCCTGTTGAATTGGAACATAAGTCCTTCTGGGCCATAAAAGAGGTGAATCTTGAGTCTGACCTTAGTGGGCAGGAAAGGCTGTTGCAGCTAGTTGAATTAGAGCAACTTAGACTTGAAGCTTATGATAATTCTGTCATATACAAAGAAAAAACAAAAATATGGCATGATTCTCAGTTGAGAAAGAAAGAATTTCATACTGGTGACAAGGTACTTTTGTTTAACTCAAGACTGAAAATGTTTCCTGGAAAGCTCAAGTCTAAGTGGCTAGGTCCTTTTACAGTTGTCCATGTGTATGATTATGGTGCAGTTGACATTAGAAGTTGTGCTACTAACAAGTGTTTCAAAGTGAATGGGCACAGGTTAAAACTGTTTCATGAGGGACAACAAGAGGAGGTTGTGGACAGCTTGAGGTTGGAAGCTGTCTGAAGAAACTTGAGAAAGAGTATGGCCAAGGACTTTAAACAGGGCAGCTACCTGGGAAGCAACCCAGTGTTTTGTTTTTTTTACTTTGCTTTGTAATAATGGACTTTGTAGACTGTGCTTGCAGCATTGAACAGGGAAGCTGGTTCCCTTATGGAACCAGTGATGAACCTCTGTCCCCTACTTCCTGTAGTTTAAGGAAAGTGGGGGAGGGTGTGATGTGCTAGTTAGGAGGTATGATTTGGTGATTGTGTGATTGGCAGACCTGACCAGACCAATGGCACTGAGGACAGTGTCATACCTTAAGTGTGGGGGGGGTAGACTTGGTTGGCTTTAGGTTGTAAGCATAACCCCATTCCCTCTAGACACAGTAGGATGCATGCTCCCTTTAACCTTCAGTGATGTGTGTGCTTCTTTCTGGATTTGGGATTAAACCAAATCATCAATCATGGTCTCCAATTCTCAGCTAAGTTGTGGAGGACCAAGTATAGGAAGGGAAATGCTTCTTAAATGTCTGAATGAATATTGCTTCTGTCTCTTATTCTGGAATGTCCATTTGAGCAGTGTACAGCTTTCAAACTCCCAAATTGAGTTGCACTAAAATTCTGGTGCAGATTTTTTTAGTGACTTTTAGCCTGGCTGTTTTGAGTTGGATTTTAGGGTGGTTGGTTGATTTTACTAATTGAGAACACCCTTAAACAACAACCTTTAGAGTGGAGTCATTCAGTCCTAACCCAGACTGTTTTTTTGCTACCTCTCTAGACTCTTAAGCTTGAATGTGTGTGGGAAAAACCTTTTGGACTTGGCATTGGTGGCCCAGCATCTCTGTCCCCTTAAGCAACAGATTCCAAAAGAAAACTTAATGTGTATGGAGCAGAGTTCAATTGGAAGGGCAAACCCCTGTTTTGGGCCGTACTCAATCCCGAAACTCCCACACATTTTTCAAATTATAAGTTCCCTTTCTCTCGGGTGAGGTCCATGGGATACCTTGATTATCTAAGTCCCGGGCTATCTGGAATGGGCCTGGGGTAGCTTGACCAAAAATCCTGTTACATGGGAGTTAGAGAATTGTAGCTTGAGGGTTGAAAGGGGCAGTTTAGTAACAGTAAGGACAATTGGGCTTTAGCCTCATTCAAAAAGGATTGTGGGATCACTTTCTCATGAAAAAGAAGGCAGCCACTCTAGATTCAATTTAAACTGTCAGCATTCCTAAGGGAACTACATCATGCGATTTTGGTGCAATTTGAGTTGGGAAAGTTGAAAATTATACATTAGTTCAGTTGGCCAGACTTTTGAGTAAGAGAAAGGAGGAATGTACGTACAGAAATGAGATGATGAGCTTTTTATACTTGAATTCTGCAACTTGGCCGAGGACAGCCAAGAAGTAAGTGTGGGGGATTTTGTTAGGCTCTTTTATAGTCTTTAAATTCCCTTACATTTACTAATCTTTGGGTCACCATTAGTGAGAATTTGGTTTAATTTAAGATCAAGAAAGAACGTTGACCATCCTAGAGGTTAGAGTGCAATTCTTGTGTTATTTTAGGTCCATTGGGTTAAATGTTAGAATCGGGCTAGACGACCCAAAGGGAAAATAACCAACCCGGCCCATTAGTTTAGTACAAGACGTAGGGCGTTGGCCTAGGAGGGCAGTTTTTACGCTAGAGAAGAAAAAGGAACGAGAGAGAGAGAACAGGAGATCGAAGGTTCACCGGAGAAAAATTCCGACGACTAGGCATAATCTGGAGTTAGACCTCGCGATCATCATCGTCTGTCGCACAATCACCAAGCGCTCCTCCTGATCAGGCACTGTAGCCGAACAGAGGAGTCATCACGTTCACAGGATTTGATCCTCGAACGCTGTCCAGAGGTAATCCGTTGCTTTTGTTTCCAAATTCGAGATACATTCTTAATGTTTGAGGATTGTTTGAAGTGTTGATTCAAAACTGAATGTGTGATTTCGTGCTATTCAAATCTGATTCTTAATATCTTATTTGGAAAATATTCTCCTGTGGTCATGTGTTTAAATTGTGAATCGATTACCACGAGCATGTCCCGAGAGTAATTCCTCTCTTGTCTGGTGGAAATTTAGGATCAGTTCTCAGGCATTTGTGATCATTGCAATGATTCGAGGTTTAGACAATTGTTGAAGGTTGTTTAATCCTGTTTTGTGCTTAGCTTTTCAAATCTGTTGATTGTAGGTCTCATACCTCAATTATTCAGTATGACATTCTTATTTGGGGTCAAACAACTGGCATAAAGTGTAGTTGGCTGTCCAAGTACATTGTATGTTCAAAAGGTTGTTATAATTGAATTCATGCTTATGTTAATTTGCATCAGGCTCATCCTGAGGTCATTAATGTAGGTACAGGTCCTTAGGTAGTGCTCATCTCTCTTAAGGGCTGATTTTTGAGGTGGAGATTTAGTTTCTTGCTGAGAGAGCTAAATCTCACTTTTGTTCAACAACTTGTCTAACTGAGAATCTGATCTTTTTACTTTGACCTGAACAACTGTTCCTAATTCCACCAGACAAGCTTGTTCACTCTACTTGATAACCACAAATCTTTACCTGATCTTCTCTCTCCTTCCTTAATACGTAGCATTAGAATCTTATGAATAACCCCCCCCCCCCCCTTGCGTGTGTGTTGTGGAAACTGAGCAATAAATCAAGAGAAGAAATAATAGAAGACAAATCTCCCTGTGGAAGAATGACCCTACTTACCACTTTGCTACCATTTTTATAAGTGTGTAGTAATTGAGGAATAGGTTAATTTGTTTTCACCTGACAAGTGGCTAACAAATGTTCGACGCTTTAGATATGCTTACTCAGCTTCACCGCTGAGCATGTAGTATGTTTTATTTGCTACACGTAGATAGACAAAATAAATGAAGTGATGATTTCTGGAAGCAGACGGGAGCGAGATGGTTGTGGTGGACATGTTTAATGAATTGATGTTTTAAAAGACATAAATTTATTATGTTTGTAACTGTTATATATTCAGCTTCCGCAACATTAAACTACTCCGTTATTATAATTTTATTATGAAATAACGTTTTAAATGTTTGAAATATTTTGAATGTTTACGAATATTGATCATGCAATAGGTTTGTGCAATGGTACAAGATTAATAGTTACACATTTGGCCACTCATTCAATACAAGGAAGAATTCTGACAAGTATACATATAGGCCAAGAGATAGTTATCCCAAGATTGGCATTAACTCCTTCAGATCTACATATTCTTTTCAAGTTTGAAAGAAGACATTTTCTAATAATAGCTTCGTATGCAATGACCATAAACAAAAGTCAAAACCAATGATCGTCTCATGTATAACTTTTTCTTAAAAGGTATGTGTTTAATCATGGACAATTATACATGGCAGCCTCAAAAGTCACAGATCACATCGGTTTTAGAATACTAATATGTGATGAAAATGGGCATTTAAAATATTTCACAATACATGTTTATAAAGAAGTTTTTCATAATTTATAAATATTTTACTAGTGTGTTGTGTAATGATTTTGTTTACAATTCTTTAATGTAAAACAATATTTGATTATCCTACATCACAAAAACATTCTTAGTCACTATTCACGAGTCAAACTAACTTCACTTTCTTTATATATTTTCATCGATCATTTGATGAAATAAAATAACCTTGTCATCATTCATTTTGTAGAACTTTTGATGTAGTTTCTAATATAGAATTTTTATTTTTTTAATTCTACACAAATTTTTACTTATGTTGATTTGAAAATAACTTCAATCAAAAATCATAAATTGAATAGGAGCCTTATTTTGGGATGGTAAGAGTATTTCGTAAATTTCAATGTATAATATTTGCATATATTAATGTATACTCAAATATTGGAACCTAAAATAATTTCAAATTATTATTCTATAAAAAAGTTTTGTATGATTCTAGTAGAGTCAATAACATTCAAAAAAATTAATGTTATTTGAACTTTAATTAACAATGATTTTCATATTTACAACTTTAATAACAATCATTTTATTTCAAACACAAATAATGTTTATTTTTTAAAACATTAAAATTAGTCTTGAAAAACAACTTACAGACATTTACAAAAAAAACCATAAAGAAAAAATGAGATAAGGCATGGTGCGCATTCCTAAAACCACAAGGGAGCAATCATTAACATCATATTTGAAGAGTATTTTGAAGAATGTTGATTAGGGTCGACATGTCGAAGTTAATCTACCTGACGGTGACAAGTACACCCAAAGGGTTGTGTAGAGGGCCTCCCAAAGTACTGCTACCGTTGCAAAAACTTTGGGCACAACCTTTTAAATTGTTGAGTCCTCCGGGCTTTACATCACAGGAAACTGGGTGACTTCTCTGCCAAAATTTCGGAGCACTTTAGAGCGGAGAAACTGCCCAGTAAAGGCAGAAAAACCACTGCCAATACCCCTTTCAGTAAGGGTCCAAGCAGTGGGGAAACTTCCAAGCGGGCAAGGCGAAGACAGGTGAGGTGTAAACCAGTAAATGGAGACGGCATTGAGGCCCCTGGCAGTGTCTCTGCCCTGCCCAAACCAGTGGTTAAAACCCCTCTTTTGAAACCGTTGGAAGGTGTTGATGTGGTGCAATGGGTTGATGAGGGGACGAGTCACTTGAAACCTACCAAGACTGTCCCGGAAAGCAAACAAAAACAGAAGAAGGCTACCAAGACCATTGATAACCCGAGTGATGGCAACAAAGGGCTGGACAGTGGGTCGGAGCATCAAAACCAGTGTCTAAACCAGTGCCTAAGCCTCCTAAGTTGGGACAGGTTGATGGCCTTGATGGGGCTGACCTGCGTGGTGAAAAGGCTGGCCAAAGGGAACCCCCCCGCGGCTGTGACAAAGCAAGTTGAAGCCACGACAAACAAGAAGAATAAAACTGCCAAAACGGTTGGCACTGTGCCAACCATGAAAGATGTGGATAGGAAAGCTGCTTTGGTCCTTGGTAACCCCACTGCCTCCACGCCATCTGATGAAGTTGGGAACATCACGGCTGGTCCTAAGGACAGGGCAGTGCATGAAGACCAAGCGACGTCCAAGCCGGAGGCCAATGAAGCAAAGGGAAACATGAAGAGAGCAATGCACAAGAAACCTTCAGAACCGGATGGCATGGTTGAAACGCACAATGAAACTACGTCTTCCTCCTCTTCGGGGGAGGCTAAATCTGCATGGAGAGTAGCCCAAGACAAGCAAAAGGAAGAATGGATAGATTGCCTACTGAAGGCAGCCCTGCTTCGAGTGGATAGAAATGATGCCAAACTTCCAAAGCTTGCGGATTTGCTTAGAAAGAAAATTGAAAAAAAAAACCAAGTACTCTACTTGATGCCTATGGCGAAGTACTGAGTAGCAAGGAGTATATGAAGGTGGTTAATGGTATGCGTGCACCTAAGCAAACTTAGTTTAGATTTATGTATTTTTTTTCCACCTTGTTTGTTTGGCATGACTTGCTTTTGATTTTATAGGGGTATGCCCCGATACATTGTATGTTTATTTCGTGAATGTACTTTGTAATGACTCTTGGATATTACTCCAGTAATAATTTACTACTCCCTCCATTCCTGAGTGTTTGTCCACTTTCATTTTTGCACATCATCCAATGCACTTTTTTAATCCATTTTATCTTGTAATTTGTATATTAAAAAATTATAAAAATTATATATTAATAATCTATATGTTAAGACGAATCAAACAAGATCACACATGACTATTTTTAGGCTTATACATTGAGAGAATTTGATAAGTCAAAGTGCTTAGATGAACAGTTTTAAAAGTCAAAAGTGGACAAACACTCAGGGACAGACCAAGTACATTTTATCCTTGAAGAGTATTTTTAGAAATTGAGTAATTGACGTAAAAAGATCAAAATCATGAAAAACAACTTAAACATTAAACATTAAACATTATTGGAGTATAAGAGATAACGATACATATTTTCCAAAACCATTATTGGTGCAATAGCTCTTAACAATTTTCAAAATTTTATCATATCTTATAACGGTGGGGTTCTAGTGACGCCCACGCTTGGTGACCCTCCGGTGTCATTGTCATTTTGGGGCACTTCCAATGTTTCGTTCTTAAAATTGATAGTTCCTACCCCCTAACCCACCTCCTAATACCCCACCCATAACCCACACCCCAACCCATTTTGTGAGGGGCTAACGGTGGGGTTGGGGGTGCTGGGGCAGGGTAGAGCGGGGGTTTTAATGGATAGATTAGGGGGGTAAGAACCATCAATTTTACGAACAAAAGTGCACCAAAACGACAGTGCCACCGCTAGTGTCACTATAAATGGATGTCATTAGAACCCCACCGATCTTATAAATGTAATATTGTGTACAAAATAAGCACCCTTTAATTTTAAACAAAACATAGATATATTTTAAACAAAGTAATACTTCGTACAATTCATGAACAAAATAAAAATGACCCATTCACGAACAAAATAAATGACTCCTATTCTACCAGTATTATCTATCAAATTCTTAGTGCACACATATGGAAGAAAACTTGGTGTACAAGTAGCTTTATTCAAACTTAATACATAAGTGTCCTTGAACGTGATTTTGATGATGATGATGATTATCATTTCTCTCGTGTCTTAAAACATTTCATATTTTGACTTTTTTGGTCAAATAGTGACACTTTGATTACAAATTAAATATAATAATCTATATAAATAAATGATATAAAAATTTGATATATCAAAACTATATCCTAAGGAGAAACCAATTATGTTGAATTCATAACATAATTAAATGTACTTTTATCACAATTTATGGTGAAAAAATGTCACTATTTGACTACAAAAAGCTAAAACAAAAAAGATTTTTAAGAGCGGGGGGAGGGGGGGGGGCATATTATTCAGAGGGAATGGATGCATTTAACACTCCCAATAACTTTCTTGATCACCTTAGCGGATGGCTCTGCAGCCAGGATAGCATGGTTATCAAACTCGCTTGCCAAGCTTTTATCTCCAAGCAAGGCTCGGAAAGATTCTGCCACTGAATTTGCAAGAGAAACAATGTTATATCCTCCCTCCAGGAAAAAAACACAGCGGCCCCCACATAAATCTTTGGCAAGCTGTTTAATATTTGAGGCCAACTTGTAATATGTTCCCGTTGTAAATTGCAAATCGCCGAATGGGTCAAGAACATGACCGTCATACCTGAAAAAAATAAGATGAAAAATGTGATGCATTTTGTCTATGTTTTAGCTTAACTGATCTTTGGAAAATGCATAAGAAAGTGGAATAGATGAGTCATTGAGAGGTTCAGGTTCTTGTTATAGAGGTATATGATGATTTTACCTTGAATTATACAAAGCAAGAAGCATTGAAGTTATCTTTGTAAATACCAAGCTGATGAACATATAACATAGCTTTGGAAATAACAGGCACATGGAAAAACAAGGAACATCTAACAGATCGGATTTCTTCTTAACATTTCTAAAATTCATTGCAATAGGTCAATAGATAGAAGCTATTTACCCGGCAGAAACAAGAATTATATCTGGCTTGAACCTCTGAGCACAAGGCACAATAACTTCATCAAATACACTCCTCATGGCATAATCTCCTGACCCTTTGGGCAAAGGTAAATTTAGTGTTGCACCCTCACCGTCTCCATAACCTACCTCAGGAATTATACCCGTGCCTGGAAACAGCAATTCCTAGTGAAAGGAATTTGATAATAGTTTATTAGCAGCATATGAACATAACTAAGTATATACAACTAATTATTTTAGTTTCTACCAGTTGAATGACTAAACAAAGAATAAAGGTTCATTTGAAGAATCATAGAAATGTGGATTTAAGGGGAATATATGTTACTTGGTGAGTAGACAAGTAGAATACATCTGGATCTTCATAAAAAATATCACTTGTTCCATTCCCATGGTGAACATCATAATCATTGATAAATACTCTCTTTAATCCATGCACAAGTTGTGCATGGCGTGCCGCAATGGCCACATTACCAAAAACACAAAAGCCCATAGCACTAGTTGGTAAAGCATGAAGCCCTGGAGGTCTTATCAAAGCAAATCCAGTGGGAGGATTTAAGCTCTTTTTTGATGCTGCAACCTGAAATATGATTGATTTTACATTACTGCTCTTTCCTATCATCTAATTTTTATGCATCTACCGAAATATGGTTCAGCTTGAGATCATTTTGAAATCACTCATTAAAAAAACAAATTCCATATCTCTGAGAAATGTTAATATTTCTGCCTCTTTTTTTTTTTGAAAAGAGTGACTAAAATGGCATATTGAGACATCACCACTGCATCAACCACGGCTAGTGCTGCGCCAGCTGCCCAAAGGGAATCCTTGAATGTCTGCATCATTAATCTCATCAGGAATAAAATACAGCACATATTCCAAATTGAAGTAGCAAATCCTAGCTATTCACCAGGCGCGATCAGCAAATTTAGATATATACTCCCTTCGTCCTAAAACTTTCTTCCCAGATACTATTACATGGTCAAACTTTAATCACTATCTTTACTTATTTCGGTTATTTGATAAAATAATAGTCATGTCACATCTTGTTTTGTAGAACTTGTGATGTAGTTTTTGAATAAATAATTTTTATTTTCTAATTTTACACCTATAATCAAATAAATTGAATTGAAAAAAATTTCAATCAAACCTCATAAACCGTACTAGGAAGAAAGTTTTAGGATGGAGGGAGTAATTCATATATCATGATCAAATCAGGAAAATGAAGAAAAAAGGTTGCATTATTGCTTAACCAAAGACATTATAACCAAAAAAAATCCTTCATTCATTTAAAGTGTTTGGCATAAGAGAGATTAAAATACAAGTCAGCTAAAAAAAATATTGTATACGTTAAGTGAAAGGATATACCCCATAGCATTTTATTATTCTTGACACTTACACTGGCAGTAGCATATGTTGGCCCTGATTTATCAATGTGTTTGAAGCCCCTTTCAGCACCCTTACTCATATCCTTTCTATTTTTGGCCAACTCATCCCTAGTCTGTAAATCAGAAATAATTGCAAAGTTATAAATTCATACAATACTTTGCATCCAAAGCACTGTGCAGGTTGAGGCCCTGGCCTCCATAATACTCAATTGGGAAATTCGCTTATATTGTACCAAATTATAGTGGGAAGACGAGGATAGATATGATTCATAATGAGGTTATCCGAGGACGGGTAGGTGTGGCTCTTGTGGAGGATAAGCTACGGCAAGCTAGACTGAGGTGGTTTGGGTATGTGAGGCAAAGATGCGAGAGACTTACATTGGTGGGTAGGAGCAGGGGAAGGGGAAGACATAGGAAGAATTGGAAGGAGATGATTAGTCAGGATCAAGACTTCTTGCCCTTTTTGAGGATATGACCATATGTAGGAGCTTCTGGAGCTAAGATTAGAGGTGTTTTCACCAATTGTTGTTTGCTTTGTATGTTTGGGGTTCTTTGTTTGCCATGTTTTTGTTTCGTTTAACTAGTTTGTTCTTGACCATGTGCTTTATGCTATCTCTGTTATATGTCCTATGTGATCTTATTTGAGCCGATGGTCTCTTGGAAATAGCCTCTATAGTCTTGAATATTGAGTAGGGGCAAGGTCCGTACACACCACACCCTCCCCAGACCCTATTATTGTGGGATCCAACTAGGTTGTTATAGTGCTAAATCATAGCTATTTTCCCAATATAGTACTTAATGTTTTAAATTCCCTAAATATTCCTTAATTTAATATTAGTCTATTAGTCTATAGATACAAAAATACCCCTAGCCCTGTAAATATAGTTTGCATTTTAGAACTTGTCTTTCCCTCTCCCGCCCATACTGCCATAACTATCCTTCAAGAAATATTTAATGGGACAGAGGGAGTACTACTTGGTGCAAATTTCACTATCCAATATTGTTCAGCAAATCCATATTTTGTTACATATTCTTTAAGGTAGTGATTGGGAGGTAACATTTCATTTCAATTTCAAAGTTTAAATTTTTGAATTTCAAATGACAAAGAGGTATATGAATAGAATGAATTGACCTCAAATCTAAATCCAAATTTTTTAAGGTTTCCAAACATGGAATTTGAGTCAAATCTGGATTTGAAATCTAAATCCAAGTTCCCAAACATATAAAAGAAAAGGGAATCAATACACAAGCAAGATGAGATACACAACACAGCACCCTATATGTAGTGAATTCTAATGTATATGATGCATCTTTTGCTTTCTGTGCATTTGTTAAGGGCATCATTGGTGGCTAACTAAGCTTTCTAACAAGATTTTAAGATCTAAGAAGATGCCTAACGAATAGAGGAAGAGCATTTTGATTCCTATTTACAAGAATAAGGGAGATATACAAAGTTGTGGAAACTACAGAGGGATCAAACCTATGAGTCATACAATGAAGTTATGGGAAAGAGTGGTTGAACGGAGGTTGAGACAAGAGACTTCGGTGTTAGAGAACCAATTTGGTTTTATGCCAGGAAGTTCGACTACAGAGGCTATATACTTGGTGAGAAGAATGATGGAGAGGTACCGAAGTGAAAAGAAAGATCTACACATGGCTTTTATTAATTTGGAAACGGCGTATGACATGGCACCAAGAGAGGTTTTGTGGAAGGTGCTAGAGAAAAAAGGAGTAAGGATTGCTTATATTCGTGCGACTAATGACATGTACCAGGGGGCTACAGCGAGGGTGAGAATTCAAATTGGGATAATAGGGGAATTTCCCATCGGTGTAGGATTACAACAAGGGTCATCATTAAGCCTATATCTTTTTACACTAGTATTGGATGTTCTTACTGAGCATATCCAAGAATCCGTACCATGGTGCATGCTTTTTTCTGATGATATCATCCTTATGAATGAATCGTGAGAGGATTTGAATGAGAAGTTGGATTCGTGGAGACAGGCTTTAGAGTTGCATGGCTTGCGTATAAGTCACACTAAAACAAAGTATATGGAGCGCAAGTTTGGCAACAGATTGAGAGACAATAACATCGAGGTAAAAGTTGGAGAAAATATTATACCACAAGTTAAGAGATTTAAATATCTTGGGTGTATCATTCAAGACAATTGAGAAACAGAGGATGATGTTAATCACAAGATTCAAGCAGGTTGGTCAAAATGGCGGAGTGCTTCGAGCTTTATATGTGACAAAAAGTACCTTTTAAAATAAAGGGAAAATTTTACCGTACTGCTATTAGACCAGCTATAAGGAATGAAGATATGAGAGCTAAAGTTGGAGTGGCACCTATTGTATGAAAAACAGTGGAAACTTGTTTTAGGTGGTTTGGACATGTGGAGAGAAGACCAATAGAGCATCCTCCGAGAAGGGTTGATCAAATGGTGAATATGCATGTGGTTGGAGGAAGAGGTAGACCTAAGAGGACTTGGCAAGCATTGATCAAGGGAGACCTTTGCGTGAACAATCTCACAGCAAATATGATACACGATGGGGCGCAATGGCATCGTTTGATCCATGTAGCCGACTCCACATAGTGGGATAAGGCTTTGTTGTTGTTGTTAAAGGCAGCATATTTCTGAATCCTGGGGGAAGAGTTTCTCAGTCATTATCCTTTTCTTTCTTCTTATCTTTCTCTACATTAAAACATTTTGTCTTGAAGAATTATAATCAACAAGACAACAAAACAGTAGACCATCTTCGTCCGGTTTTTTCTTCCTTGAAACATTATCTATAGTTTTTGTTGGATTTACAACCTTTCTAATCTCTATTAAAATATATTTTAACCTATTAACATTACCTCATAACAATACACCATTTCCCTTGTCTCTAATCAACATATTTAGCTTCCCAATTAGAGCTATAAACGGTCAAGGCAACCCAAGCAGTACATAGTTATGAATGGTGTTCGCCATGCTCACCTATGGCGCTTATGGCGCTGTGGCCATAGTTATCAATGGCGCAAATGGCGCGCGCCATAGATGCGCCTTTGGCGATCTGCAGCGGAAACGCCACAAATTGGGTCGTGGCGGCCGATTGACTCGTGGCAGCGCCAAATCTGCGCCATCGCCACGCCATCGCCATTCTTGCGCCATTTTTTTAATTTAACCCGACCCAAACACAAAAATTAGGCCCAATTAAGAAATTAAACTTTTAATTAGTAGTCTCCAGCCCCTTAATCTTCCCAATCGACGCTCAAAAACCGCCAAGCCTCCATTCCCAATCGTCTTCTTCTTCGTCTCGTCTTCTTCTTCTTCTGGTCGCGACTCCTCTTGCGACTCACCAAAGCAATTGACGGCGACAGGGGAAATATCGGGCAAGTACTTCCTTTTTCTTTTTTTAACCCATCAGTATACTTTTTTTTCTTTTTTTTGAAAGCTTTTCTTCCTTTATCTATTTTAAGTAATGCAAAGTACTGTGTATTATAGTTGATTATACTGCCAATATTTTCAAAGGTGATTCACTTTAATATATTTTTTTCACTTTTAATTTTTGAATTATTTTTAAGTTTTGATTAAGTTGTGTTGTTTTACTATTGGCACCATGGACCCTTAGAGTGTTTTGGATTTGGAGTGACTTCTCATTTGTGTTTTACTAATTCACTTTTTAGATCAAGTAATCTATTGTTTTTTATAGAATTTATTCCTTATACATGTGCAAATATTAGTAAATTAATATTCTGTGGCTAGTGTCTTGTGGCAACGCCATATATGCGCCATCGCCATCGCCATGCGATATTGGCCCATCGCCATCGCCATGAATGTCGCCATGCGCCATGACAACTATGGCTGTGGCGAGGCTAAAACGCCTAATTTGGGTTGTGCATGGCGTTGTTCTTGAGGCGAGAAAAGGCAGTCGCCATTCTTACCGCGTCCTGACGTCTGGCGAGCGCTTATGTCGCCATTCAGATCTGTTCAAATGGCTTAAGTCAGTTGGGCTTAAGCCCGTTTGGAATTAAATGATTTGATCCATTACTTTAAGTCGGTTCATATATCACCTTAATCGATGCCATCCCCTTCCAATCTTCCGTCTTTCATCGCTGATCCTGCCCTCCAAATTCATTGTCAAAATCAATTCTGCTCCCTCTCTCTGAAGTAGCAACTTCGACTCTACTCCCTGTCTCAGAAGTCTCAACTTCCCAGTGATTCACCTTGGTCAACGCGCAGCAGATTCAGGATATTATTATTCTTTCTTTTTTTTAGTTTGTGTTATATTCAGTTAACAAATATTATTCTTTTAGTCTAATAGTTACCATTATATATTCAATTTGTGTATTATTCTTTCAATTTAGAAATATACTGATTTTTTTCTTTTAAAATATTAATATTATTTATTGTATAACAGCTTTCTCCTAAACCCTGATGCACGGCACTTCCTCCACCGGCTCCACAAGAAATAGAAATGATCCTGCTTGGAAATATGTCGGTTAGAAGATCCAAAAATACGAATAATACTATATGTATTTTTGTGATCAACGCTACTAGAGGAATTAGTAGAGCAAAACGACATATATGTTTGTTAGTCATACTCGGCAACATAGCACAAAGACAATGAACAAACAAAAGGATTTAAATGAAGAAGCACTTAAAGAATTACGAAGCCGGGCATGTTCCGCAATAGAACGTTGGATGTGCGATGCTGCCATTCCTTTTAATGCAGTAAATTATGAAAGCTTTGAAGAAATGATTGATGCAATTAGAAAGCATGGTCCAAGAATGAAAGCTCTATCCTTTCATGAGGTTAGAGTTCCTTTACATAAAAAAGACGTTGACCTTGTGAATAATGCATTAGAAGACCATAAAAAAGAATGGGCGAAGCATGGATGCTCTATCATGTCAGATAGGTGGAAAGATTAGAGGACATTCGTTAACTGATGTGGTACAAGTGATCACTGACAATGCTTCAAACATGAAGTTAGCAGGTAACATAGCAGAATTAAATTCATAAATATTTAAAGGTTAAATTTTTATTTAGGTTTATTTACATTGGAATTAATTTTATTTTCTTTGCTTTGAAATTATAGGAAACTTGTTGATGAAAAAATATCGGAATTTGTTTTGGACGCCATGTGCTGCTCATGGTTTGGACTCAATGTTGGAGGACATATTCAAAGAAGGAGATATTCGTCAAGTTTACATGAAAGCATTGAAGATTAACAGTTATATTTATGCTCGCCCAGGTCTTCTGAATTTGATGAGAAAATTCACAATAATGGATTTAGTGCGATAAGGTGTTACACGTTTTGCCACTGCAGCCCTCACCCTTGGAAGGTATCACTTGTTAAGAAAAGAGTTAAGAACTTTATTTGCTTCAGAAGCATGGACAAAAAGCAAATTGGCGAAGGAGAAAAAAGGTATTCAGTCACAAAAGACTATTTTCACAGAGTCATTTTGGCGAGGAGTTTTGAAATCTCTTAGGTTTCAAATCCACTTCTTAAAGTTCTTCGTCTAGCTGATGGTGAGACCAAGCCTCCAATGGGTTATATTTATGAGGCGATGGACAGAGCAAAGGAGAACATAGCAAAGAGCTTTGGAGGTCATGAGGAATGATACGAACATCTCTATAAAATAATTGACCATAGGTGGGAGGTTCAACTCCACCGCCCTCTACATGCAGCCGGTCATGTCTTGAACCCAGAATATTTTTACTCAAATCCAGTGATGGAAAAAAATGAAGAGTTAACGAAAGGGTTCTACAAATGTCTTGATACAATGGTGCCAGATATTTTGATGCAGGAAAAGATTACAAATGACCTCATACTTTATAGGAAAGCAGAGGGCACATTGGGATTTAATGTTGCCAAACGACAAAGAAATACCAAACCAACAGGTATGTTATATTTCAAAGGTGTACAATAAATTTGTCTCTACTCCCTATAAAGTATATGCACTTTTACTTTTGATGTTTTGCAGTGGAGTGGTGGAGAGCATATGGAGGTAGTGTACCTATCCTGCAACACTTCGCTATCAAGGTCCTCAGATTAACTTGTAGTGCATCTGGTTGTGAGAGAAATTGGAGTTTTTTTGAACATGTAAGTAGTCAAGAAACAAATCCTAAGTTCTTGATATCTAGTGTATGTGATTAAACAACTCATATCTATAACATGGCAGGTGCATAGCAAGAAGAGAAATAGGTTGGACCAAGCTAGGTTGAATGGCTTAGTATTTGTCAAGTATAACAGAGCTCTTATGAGGCGCCACAAAATGCGGGATGTGATTGATCCAATAATATTGACAACTATAGATGATTGTAACGAGTGGTTGCTAGGTGAGGAACACTCGGAGGAGACACTAATGAAATACGCGCCGGTGATGTATCTAGAGCATCCGGAGCTGAAGAGCCAATCTACTATACTCGAAGGCAAGAAAAGAACGGTTCAAGCGCTTCAACACATGCTACTCCACAAACACATTCGAAAAGACCTACCAACACGCGACAACTTATTGATGAGGATGATGATGATGTTGAGGATGAAGATTATGGAGAAGAATGTGAACTCATTGGTGCTAGCAGTACACCAAACAGTGATGTCTTGGTTAAGAGTGAAGAGGAATGGGAAGATTATTTTGCTAGATCACTACTATATTTTTTAATGTTTTATGTCTAATAACTTTATAAGGTTTGTTTTCTAGTACCAGCAAGATGTCTTTGTTTTCCATTGACAATTATATATTATTTAATACTTTTTGATATGCCATGCATTATATATATATATATATATATATATATATATATATATATATATATATTTTAATATATATATATATATATATATATATATATATATTTTAATATATATATATATATTTGCTTTTTTTCGTTCACCATTTGACTGCACGCCACTCCCCGCCGCGCCACTGGCCACAAAAAACATCCGCTCGCCCACCACTCACCATTCATAACTATGGCCGAGTATTTCTAAGATCAAGCTCATTACTTAGGCCATGTTCCGTTCAACTTATTTTTTCTGCTTTTTTCTTATTCTTATTAAAATCAGATGAAATCAAATCTAATTAGATCAGATCAAATCAGTTCAAATCCAATCAAATCAGACCAGATCAGAACCAATTATCATCATCATCATTATTATTATTAGTTTTATTATTATTATTATTATTTTAAATTCTATACTTTTTACTTGTTTCACTGGATACAATTCTTTCAAAAAATAAATCTAATTTCTCTTGAAAAAATATAAGAAAGAAAATGAAACTTTTGTGTGATTATAATTTATTTAAAGAAAAATAAAATATATGAAACACAATTTTTTTCTTATAAATGAAAAAGTAATCCTTAATTATTAGACGTCGGAAAAATTATTTTAAAAATACATTGACAATGTCATTCTAATTCTACTTTTAAAATACATTTTTATTGCTACATGTAATTTGAGTTTCTAAAGTTTTGATCATTTACTACATTGAGTTGATCAGGTGACTTAAATGAAATTAACTTTTGATATTCATATACGGATAATATTTTAGTGTAAATAATCATAAAAAAATATTGATTATAATATAATATGAATTAACATTACAATTTTCAACAATTATTATAAAGTCAGGTCAAATTATTGATTTGAATTTTAAAATCAAATCATAATTAATTAGACTAGATTCAATCAGATCAGATCAGATCCAATCAGATCAGAGATCCGATTCAATCTGATCTGATCAGATCAGACCAGTTACGTTTCAAGTTTTTGTGAAGCCAAACCTCGAGTAACTAACGAGCACCTCATTTTCCATAAAATTCTAAATGAGAGTAAGAAAGATGTTAAAAGAATGATTAGATACAGATTATTATTTAAGCACTAATTAATACAACATAGAATTTTGAATCAAAACCATTGATTTAATGAATATTGAAAACAAAAACATAACAAAATTAGCTTCTTAACGAGCTTGAAATTTCAACTCGAGCCAACAAAACTAGCCGCTTAACAAGCATGAAATTTCAACTCGAGTTTGGCTTGTTAAGTTAATGAGCAGGTTCACTTAATTTTCTAATGAGCTTCAATCAAGCCGAACTCTGGGTAGTCTACAAATGACTCTAAAGCCTTATTGTTATTGCTTGTAGTATAATTCTATATCTATTATATTGTTTAAAAGACAAAAAAATACCTAGTCCGTACTTCACCATGATCACTAATCTTCTAAAAATTTGACAGATCATTGAGTGCATTGTATTAACCAGAAACAATTACTAGTCCTGTATTAACCTGAGAATCGAGGCTGGAAACTTGTTCTAAAAGGTGAGACCATGCCATCAATAAGTTGTTTGAGCACGTTCAATTATCTTATGTCAAGCTAGCAGACTTCTCAAACTTATAATGGAATATGTCCAACATATCGACTTGTTTGTGTGTGACTACTTGAAACCCTAGGCTGTTGCACATTACAGCTAAATTCGCCAGTATAAATATCAGAAAACATATGAAAAGGTCAATGTTAAGTGTGCAAAGGGTTTCACAATGAGCTTTTGTTTCTTCACCTCTGCTTCAAATTTATACCATCTTCCAAATGACTCGAATAACCACATACAGAGCAACACAAGCAACGAGAAGATACAATTACCACCAAAATAAAACCATACCTTCTCAAGATCAGCAATATACGCTTTACAATGAACATTCGCAATGTCATCCACAGAAGCACGCTTGAAAGTTTTAAGTTCAATTATATCTGTACCATGGAACTGAAATACAGAAAAAAGATTATTAAGAACTTATTATTAAAGCTTAAGTTTGAGTTCGTTAAAAGCTGGCATGGGTAAATTTATTGCTGAAAGATACATGAAAAGAAAATATGGGTGTTACAAGACATAAGAACAGAAAAGAAAATATGGTTTTACTTCTCAATACACTATGCTTAACCCCAAAGGTGTTTAAATACAAGTAGATTACACTATGTTTAGGAAACAGGATCTCATTCATTAACTAAGGAATTAAAAGTCTCCAGATACACACACACACACACACATATGGAAATAATCTCTGGTCAAACTTTCCAAATCCATTTAGTTAACAATGGGATGTTTGGGAGATATGAAATGGCTCAAGAACACTAAGTAATGAACGCTAATGACATAATAGTAAAGAGAGGAGTTTACTCTTTGGATGTGAGCTTTCTTTAGTATCACAAGGTTCAATGGCATCATAACCAAAGTTCAATAATATTGCACGGTATTTAAAAAGTAGTTTTATTAACTTCAAAATTTTAATTAAAAAGTGCTATCGAGTGCACAGGACTCCCACCAGATGGCATCAAAAGGGGGTAATGCACACAACCTTACCCCTGCATGCAAAGGATAGTATTATTTAGCCAATGAAGTTTGATTTCAGTCACTATTTTAGTCCATGTCTGTTCACTAAAGTAAAAATCATGTCTACAAGTAAATTTTATTAACTTATACACTCAATTCATAAGAGTGGTGTCCTTTCATGATTCTGCCAGACTCCAATATGTAAAATGATTGCTCTTCATTCTTCAGCAAAGAATTGAATAGATTCGGATTCCACCGAGGGAATGACCATTGTAATGTTAGCATCTTACTGCAGCACCATATCTTGACACTTTTATCTTATGTTGTGACAACCGGACAACAATAACTAAAAAGATAAAGAAAGAAAAGAACCCTTTTGAGAAGGAATACATCTGATCAAAATCTTGAACAGGACAGACCACACTAGAGAAGGTGGACCCATCAATCATCTTCGCTACCAATCCCCAAGGTCCAACTTATTGCCCACCATATCAACTCACTAATTTTTTTTATTAAAGCTTATAAGGTGAGTTATGCCTAGATTTAAAATGTGTCAAAACGCATCCACTAGACTAGAGTAAGGCACATCCCGTGCTCTGTCACTAAATGCGCCACAAAGAAAATACTCCCTCCGTCCAATAATTTCTTTTCACTTTCCTTTTTAGGTTATCCAAAAATTTCTTGCCCGTTTTCTATTTTGGAAAAAAACTTATAATGAATGTGCCATTATACCCCTACTTTTTATCTACACTATTCACTTTATTCCATCACATCAAGGGCAAGACATAGTTTAACTTTTCTTAATCTCTGTGGCAAGTCAAACTGGGAAAGAAATTTTTGGACGGAGGGAGTATTACTTTGAGTGGGTGATTTCTAAGCGACCTACACCAGCAACAACCAGATCTTTTCCATAATCCTGGCATTTTGATGCATAATTTCAGCTACTTGTGAGAATTCTATTGCAGACATGTCCAAATATGTGACCTAACAATTAAAATACCATAACTACCCCCACTTACTTTATTTATTACACCTCACCCACCTCATTTAATACACTCCACCCATATTTCATTAAGGGTATTATGGTAAACTTTCACCTTTTTTCAACTCTCCTTAAAAATCACCAAAAGTCAAAATGAGAACATCTTAGGGGGACGGAGGGAGTATTTGTCACATTATCTTTTTCTTAGTTTTTAGGTCACATACATCTGATTCATATTTAGGCTAACTATGTGACCTTCTTGGTGGTCAAAGAATCAATAACTTGGATGCAAGAAAAAAGAAACAAAATCCAATTATTATGAGGTTGATGCAACTCGCTATCCTAATCTAAAAATAGTGGAAAGAAAAAATGGAAAGGGTCAAAGATGAAAAAACAAGTACAGAGAAATGTCAGATTGTCAGATACCAGCCAAGAGATAAGAACCTATCTAAAATCTAACACTCTGAACATGTGATCGCAAAATGCACAATAATGTAAGAGCTCCTAGTAGACATTGAAGTACAGAAATTCCAAATAACAAAGACCAGGTCAGTGTAACTCATAACCACAAAATTAGTTGTAATAAGAATTATATACAACCAAGTTACTGAGAAAATGAAGTAAACACAAAATAATAATAACATAAAACTCTAAATACCTTTGGAGTGAGCTTCATCTTTTTAAGGGCAGTCACAATTGCAGGAACTCTTAGATGGGATTCTGGATGTGATTCCTGTTGGAAAGGATGAACAAATTGCAAAAATTGGATGAAAAAAAAACTTCACACATGAATGTACCAAGTAAGAAGGTAATATATTTATCTACATGAAATAAGCGTTTCTTACTATAAATTCAGTAACATGCAATGTTTATCTCCAGCGTTTTTTTATGAATATCTCCAGCATTATTAAAACAATTCAAAAAACAAATTCTAAAACTGCATTTAACATTTCATATCTTTTTTTCATAACTCAAGAAGTCTTAAGATATTGTACCTGGACCCATTTAATTAAATGATAACTAACGTGGGTATCCCAAGAGATTGAATGTTGGACTAACAAAATAGAACCATGATAGATATGAAATACCGGAGTATAAAAATATCGCCAAACTGCATCACTTAAATAATGATCTCATTTTCATCATCTAAGGTGGCAAATAAGTTTAATTCAATGTGTAAAATTCAAACTATGAGTGTATCCCAAGTCATGAAGATTGCAAATTGGATGGCAATACCACATTGCAAAAGGATAAGAAAAAGAAATTATAACATCACGAAAACAAACCAAAGTGACTTAGTTTATCAAAGGTAAGCTCAATACAACCTTGAAATTGTACAACTATTCCTAAAACTAATTTCGAAATGAATTGATGGATATCCAGACCCATTAAACAAATATAAACATCCCAATCCACAAGAGAGTGGAATTGGGCCAGTACGGAATGGGGATTGGTAAAGGACCCAGTTCCCGTTGATAGGCCCAGGCGAAAGGCAAATAGTACAGATCGTGGCAGCCCCAAGTCGTGGAAGATCAGGGGATGAGCTCCTAACCTCCACGATCGACATACAAGAGATAATGGCCATGATTCATGTGCACGACGAGTGCCTATCAGGTATGTAACTGTAATGTAATATAAATAGAGGGAGAACCCTCCATTGTTAACAAGAAAAAGACAAGCACAAACAAATTAATAAAAATACATCAGGAATCTCTATTAATGATATTCATTTCCTAAATCCGTTCTTCGTCGTCATAGTTGTTGGGCTAAATCCCATCATTGGTGCTTCCATTGAGAGGTTTAAGATTGAGAGCTTGTGAGTCGAGAGTATGGCCGGTCGAAGAACGAGAAACTCTAGGCATAGTGCTCCTAACTCTCAGCAGTATCAGCCGCGATAAGAGTTCCTGAACAGCCGATCGCCACACAGCCAAGCGGCGTGGAAGCGGCATTGAAAAACCTTGCCAACATGATGGCAAATGTTATGGACAGACTAGAGACCCTTCCCGGTCCTACTGGGGTCTCGAGGCATATCCCCCAGGCCAGAACAGATGAATCTTATTCCGTAAGAATTCCATAGTACAGAGGAGATTGAACGAGAGAGAGGCGGTAAGAAGATCTCTCAAGGAAGAGTTGGCCTCCCAGGAAAAACTCGTGCAAAAACTCACGACCCGATTGCTCGTCGGGCAGCCGGCCAGCCGCGCCATGAGGAGACCGGGAACCCCAAGGGTTCGGTCTTTGAGCGAATGGTACAAGGGAGGATAAAGCTCTGCTTGGATGGGAACAACCCCAGCCGGCCACGTTGAATCATCAAACTGGGATCCGCGGCGCTTTGAATCGCGGGCTGGGCCAAGTCAAGTTGCGGAAGATGAAGCCCACAGCCAGGTTCGAGTCTTGGCATCTCAACACCTAGGCCAACCCAATCAAGGAATGGGGGATTTCTAAGATTTAGAACGCCAAATCCAAAAGATGCAACAGAGGTTCAACCACAACCTGGTCTTTACCACCCTAACGAATACCCCATTGGCTCCAGAGATGTTTGCAAACCCATACCCGGTGGGATTTAAGGTCTCATTTGTCAAACGATATGATGGGGAATCGGATCACCTAGAGCACATAAATAATTACTTGCAAATGATGATAGTTGTGTTTTTTCCAAACCATCGATAGTAAGGTGGTGGACTGGGTCAACCATATTCCTTCCGAGTTGATCCGGACCTGAGACCAGTGGGGTATGCGCTTCTTGGAGCATTTTGCAGGGAATTGCCACCCGAAGAAGCATTTCACACACCTGGCTTCAATACGCCAAATGAATGGAGAATCCTTGAAGAATTTTCTGACACCATAGTTGTCATGGCGCATGGCGACATTCATGGCGATGGGCCAATATCGCATGGCGATGGCGCATATATGGCGTTGCCACAAGACACTAGTCACAGAATATTAATTTACTAATATTTGCACATGTATAAGGAATAAATTCTATAAAAAACAATAGATTACTTGATCTAAAAAGTGAAGTAGTAAAACACAAATGAGAAGTCACTCCAAATCCAAAACACTCTAAGGGTCCATGGTGCCAATAGTAAAACAACACAACTTAATCAAAACTTAAAAATAATTCAAAAATTAAATGTGAAAAAAATATATTAAAGTGAACCACCTTTGAAAATATTGGCAGTATAATCAACTATAATATACAGTACTTTGCATTACTTAAAATAGATAAAGGAAGAAAAGCTTTCAAAAAAAGAAAAAAAAAAGTATACTGATGGGTTAAAAAAAAGAAAAAGGAAGTACTTACCCGATATTTCCCCTGTCGCCATCAATTGCTTTGGTGAGTCGCAAGAGGAGTCGCGACCAGAAGAAGAAGAAGACGAGACGAAGAAGAAGACGATTGGGAATCGAGGCCTGGCGGTTTTTGAGCGTCAATTGGGAATCGATTGGGAAGATTAAGGGGCTGGAGACTACTAATTAAAGGTTTAATTTCTTAATTGGGCCTAATTTTTTGGGTTTGGGTCGGGTTAAACTAAAAAAATGGCGCAAGAATGGCGATAGCGTGGCGATGGCGCAAATTTGGCGCTGCCACGAGTCAATCGGCCGCCACGACCCAATTTGTGGCGTTTCGGCTGCAGATCGCCAAAGGCGCATCTATGGCGCGCGCCATTAGCGCCATTGATAACTATGTCTGACACGCTGGAGGAAGGAATTCATGGAAGTGGACATTGTTCTCCTGGGCACGCTGCCAAACATGCCCGATTCAGCTGATTATTCACGTCCAAGATGTGGACATTGTTCTCCTGGGCAGCCCGGACTTGCTCTTGCAACTTCTGGATTATTGCCTCCTTCTCGCCTAGAATAGAGAAGGCTTGGGAATTCTAGAGACTCCGAGGTAATCATCAACCAACATGAAGAGTTGAAGACAGCAGTATGGGCCTAAACGAAGGAAAGTCAAGGGGAGATAAAGAAATAGAAATATGGCATCAAGGATTTCGAGAGACAAGATACCTACTCTAGGAGTCCAAAGGTGGCAAGCCCAGCCAGGTCTGGCCGTTCATGTACTGAACCCAGGGGAGAGCTTTTGAGAATATCCCTGGCTTGCTCCACCATCATCCGCCCTTGTTGTGACGCACCGTTCAAGTTTGCCTGAAAATCGGCAGAGGTTCGATACCCAAACTCGACCCAATTCGTCCGAAGATGTCCAGATCCGTCCGAAGAATTGTCCACAAGACTAAGGAATTCTCTAGAAAGATGGGGGACTTGCTAGAGATGCTTGGAAGGTTCTGGAACATTATGGAGTAGTGTAGAGATATCATGTACCCTTGTAAATATCTTAGATATTTGTGTAGAGTATTCTAGATACTCAATTGTAACCGTTAGATCAAGTAGATCTTAGCCGTCCATTGAGGAGGTGGAGAAGTATAAATACCCCTCCCCCTCATTCATTTCACTCACCCAAGAAGTGAGAAGCATTGTAAGCTTTAGAGAGAGAAAGTAATGCAAAGTTCTTTCTTTGAATCTGAGTTCCTTCACACTTAGCATCTCAATATTCCGCTAAGTCTGAGAGTAGGCTGACTAGCAACATAGTGAAGAAGTTCGCTAGGCCGCACGGTTCGTTGGAATTACGACCAAGTCCGTGACAGTTGAAGGAAGATGGAAGGTGGAAGTGAGACTACCAACGTGACCAAGGGAGGCGAGAAGAAGACCAAGACCCAGAGATCTCGCTCAAGGGAGACCATGGACGGTTTCGAGACAAGGCTAGCAAGGGTGGAACTTGTTATCGCCGATGGGGAGGAGAAGTTCGAGGAGCTAGGGCAAGGCATGGATGAGTTCCGTGAGGAGATGCAAGCTGCCATGAACAGAGTCCTCGCTCAATGTCTCGATCAAATCAAGGCCATGGAAGAGTCTCATAAGATTGAGGTTTCCTCAATATGAGAAGAGCTCGAGAGAGTCTCGCGCAAGTTAGAGAGCGCCGAGGAGGAGCTCGTGTTGTGCAAGAAGGCTCTTGCACAAGGTAGTCTATCGACGTCCGAGGTAAGGACTTCACTTTCCAAGTTAGATATTCCACGACCCAAATCCTACAAAGGGTCAAGGAAATGCGAAGGAACTTGATAACTTCATGTGGAGCATGGAACAATATTTCCGAGCTCTTGCCATTTCCGAAGAGAAACGGAAAGTTGATATGGCAAGTCTATTTCTTGAGGACACTGCCATGGTGTGGTGGAGAAGGAGACAAGGAGATATGGAGAAAGGGACGTGCACCATAGACATTTGGGCCGAGTTCAAGAGTGAACTCAAGAAACAGTTCTACCCTAGTAACGTAGAAGAAGAGGCCCGGGGAAAGTTAAGACGACTTCAACATAAGGGAAGCATACGAGAATACGTGAAGGAGTTCACCGAGGTACTTCTTGAAATCCTAGACTACCTTGATAAAGAAGCTTCCTTTGCCTTTATGGATGGGTTACAGCAATGGTCTAGACTTGAGCTTCAAAGACGTGGGGCTCAAGACTTAACCACTGCCATTTCCATTGCCGAATCCCTCATCGAGTTCAAGAAGCATGAAAAACCAAAGCCAAAGGATAAGGGTGGCAAGGGAAAGAGTGGGGGAGACCACCACCGAGGCAAAGAAACGACCGAAAAGACGAAGGGATCCAAGGAGTACAAGGCTGGCGAGAGACCTCCACTAAAGTGCTTCTTTTGTGAGGGTCCTCATCAGGCAAGGGAGTGCCCGAAAAAGGCAAAACTCTCGGCATTGATTGAAGAAAGGGAGGAGCAAGAACGTGAAGAGGAGAGAGTAGGATCCGTACAACTCCTCAACGCAATCAAGGCAGAGGTGGAGATGCCAAAGTCCGGCAAGAAGGGCCGATTGTTCGTAGAAGCCAAGATTAGAAGACACACCGTGAAAGCTCTTGTAGACACGGGTGCTTCCAACAACTTTCTAAGAGAGGAAGAGGCAAGAAAGCTGGGCATTGATTACAAAGGAGAACGTGGCGGGCTCAAGGCAGTCAACTCAAAACCGATGGCTACCTTTGGAGTTGCTCGAGATGTCAAGGTAAGCTTAGGAGATTGGCACGGCCCAATAGACTTCTCCGTCATAACCATGGATGATTATCCAATTGTTTTGAGTATAGAGTTCATGGACAAAGTCAAGGCCATTCCAATCCCCTTCGCCAACACTATGTGTATCCAGGATGAAGGCAACACTCGTCTAGTACCGCAAGAGCGAAAAGCCCGACTCCGAGAAAAGCAAATTTCAGCCATGCAACTCTCTAAAGGCATAAAGAAGAGACAGCCCACGTACCTCGTTGCCTTGAAGGAAGATGAAGTCCCTCCACCAGGAGAGGAGATGATGTATCTGTAGCCGAGAAACTGGTGTTGGTGGACCCAAGAACAACAGGAGGATTAATAAGTTGGGGTTCAACCCGCTCAGAAGAAGTGGGGTTCTGAGAGCTGCCAGCATCAGAGTCAAAGGAGATGGCTTGGGCTGACCTAGAAGAAATGATCCCAAGAAGTAAAACCCAGCCTGCCTGAACAGGGGTTTGAAGGCGCTCATGGTCAATGAGGGCAGTATCCCTCATCTCCTCAAATGCTCTCAGCCTTTGAACCCTTGGAAAAAGGGGTTCGGGAGAGTTTGGTCCTACGAGGCTCAATTGGAAGGTCAACGAGCAGTTGAGCCTTCCTTAATACGCCACTCGACCTTGGCAAAAAGAATGCATTTCTGATTGGGATATAAATTAAAGAAGGGGAAATTACATCCGAGGCTAATGAAGTGCATGAAATCCCTCACAGTCCTCACCCACAACAGTGCAAGATGTAGGATGTCAGATATTTGTGCACATTGGCTGTAAATTATCAGGGAGAAGATCCCAACTTCTAAACACCTCGCGAATGAAGGGGTAGAGTGGAAGTTTGAAGCCGTGAAGAACTGAGTCGTAATGCATCACCATAAAATGCTCTGGTGGCAGATTGTGGGTAAGTGAAATTCCACCAACGGCATTCGGATGGTGGATTTTGAAGGGCACCCCCAAGAGATCGCGCATGAGAGCAAGCTCAGCGCTTTTGAACTTGGAGGGACCGAGTTCTTGGTGAGCAATTTCCATGGCTTGGGCCATATTGCGGAAAACATGTGGAAGAATGGGGGATTTGCAGAAGAAATCGGGGACAAATCCGGAACAGTGCAAATGCCTAAACGGCTTAGCGAGTTGGAGCGGGAATAAAAGCGTCACTACTGAAGTGGGAAATGTAATCATTTCCAACCCAGCACTCAGAGTGTCTCAGACCAAGGGCGGAACAAAAGTAGTTCCTTAGCGACGTGTTGCTAAAAAACTAGAGGCTTGTGATAGATATTCGAACCCATTAAACAAATATAAATGGTGCAATCCACAAGAGAGTGGAATTGGGCCAGTACGGAACGGGGATTTAGCGACGTGTCGCTAAGAAACTAGGGGGCTTGTGATGGATATCCAGACCCATTAAACAAATATAAATGGCCAAATCCACAAGAGAGTGGAATTGGGCCAACACGGAACGGGGATTGGTAAAGGACCCAGTTCCTGTTGATAGGCCAAGGCGAATAATACTGATCGTGGCAGCCCAAAGTTGTGGAAGATCACAGGATCATGGTTGTCAAGTCGTCGCCTAGGCCACGACTAGTCGCCGACTAGTCGTCCGGGCGGTTTCGCGATGGGGATTTGCTGTGCGACTAACGACTATGGCCGACTAGGCTATTAAGCGCGCAAAGCGACGCTTAGCCGCGATTAGGCGACGCTTAATCGGAGAAAGAAATCGGCAGAATTTGACCTAATCCAATTGACCCGACCCAACCCTACCCGACCAAAATTTCATTAATTTTTAAATTTTTTTTTAAAAAACGCTGCCTCCTCCGATGCAAACCATCCACAATCGAGTCGCGCTAGTCTTCCAGTTCCAGCGTGACTTCCGCGACTTCAACGCCTCCTGCGACTCTCCTCCATCAGCGATTCTCCTCCATCTGCCTCCATCAGCCATTCTCCTCCATCAGCGACTCTCCATCTATGGGTAAGATTTCTTTTACTTTGTTATCATTAAAGTATTTCTTTTAATTTTTCAGTTTAAGATTTCTTTTAATTTTTTTCTTCTTATAGTATTTTAGTATTTCAGTTTTTTTTCAGTTTAATTTTTCAATTTTTTTGGTTTTGTACTAAAATACTAGAATAAGAAAAAAATTATGAGAAATCTTAAACTATAAAGTGTAAGATTTAATTTTCATTGATTTGGTTCATGAAACTATAAAGTATAATATACTTTAAAATTTTCAGTTTTCTTTTATTTTTTTAATATTTCAGTTTTTCTTTTCTGATTTCAGTTAATATTTTAATTTTTTTTCTTATTCTAGTATTTTAGTATTTCAGTTTTGTTTTCAGTTTAATATTTCAGTTTTTTTTCAGTTTAATATTTCAATTTCATGTTGGGTTAATGCAGATATATATAATATTAAAAATTTCAATACTAATTGTGATTTGTCGACTAGTCTACGACTAGTCGCCTAGTCCACTAGTCTCCCCGTCACCGACTCGACTCGACTTGTCGACTTAACAACCATGCACAGGATGAACTGCTAACCTCCACGATCGACATACAAGAGATAATGTCCAAGATTTATACGCACGACAAGTGTCCATCATGTATGTAACTATAATGTGATATAAGTAGAGGGAGAACCCTCCATTGTAAACCAGAAAAAGACAAGCACAGACAAATTAATAAAAATACATCAGGATTCTCTATCAATGATATTCATTTCCTAAATCTGTTCTTTGGCACCATAGTTGTTGGGCTAAATCCCATCATGAAGAGTAAAAAGTTTTCACTGTTATTAATGAACCCATGACTAATGACTAATAGAACCAAACAGAAACACATTCATGAATTTAAAACTGAATAAAATGGAATTTGAAATGTATTTTTCAAAACAGGATATATGTTAATCCATGTGAAAAAATAACCCAAAACATTTACCTTGTTATGACCCATTGCAGAGGCTACACTATATATCACTCGTGCATCAGCAAGTTCTTGAATAGATGGTATGCTTGGATCCTTCTCAAATCCACATGAAGATGAAATAGAAGTTCCAATACTTCTTGTACAGTACTTACTCCACATCATTGCCTGCTTCTGTCCGTTTTTCCAATTGATTGGGTCACACCTTGCTGAGAACATGATTCCATGAAAAAATTACAAAGATTGAAAACCAATTGTTAAATATTATTGTTACAATGAAGGATTATTTTTGGAAGGAGGTATAGTATTATGCACAAGTAAAAACACAATAATGGAGTAAAATTGAGAGCAACAAACGAATAAATGAATAATCATAAGAGAATGAAGTCTATGCAAGTGTTGAGGTCCAATTGCATAAAATATACTCCCTCCATCCACAATTTTCCTACCCACTTTCTTTTTTGGGTCGTCCACAAATTTCTTTCCCGTTTCTTATTTTGGAAAATAACTTCTAATGAATTTGCCATTATAGTATTATACCAATCACTTTATTCACCTTATTTGTTCCTACCCATCACCTCAAGGGAAAACATGGAATGTCTTTACACTTTTTAACTTGTCTTAATAAGTGTGTAAAGTCAAAGTGAGAAAGAAAATTGTGGACGTATGGAGTATAAATTTGAGTGCAAGATGCAATGAAGAATGGTTGATGCACAAAAAAGTTGCAATTTTTTTCATTGGTGTTTTGTAAAAATCAAAATTTAAAACCAAAATATCTTTAGTTCAGCCTAAATTGCATGTCGATTCACCATAAATATGTTTATGTTATTTAATTTATTTCCACAAATGAATCATTTGATCCCAAATATGCCTAATAAATTTACCTACTGATCTGTTACTAAAAGCTGGTGTAAATCTCTACTCAAAAAAGTAGTATTAGTTCAAACTCAAACATGAGGATATTTTTCAGGAGATCATTGAGTTATGGTTCAAATGACATTGGCACCCAATGTCATAGAATGACCCAGAGTACCTACAGAGCTCCGTTCAAAAAATTGATGGTTGCTAACCCCCTCGCCTCACCCCTCCCCCCCCCGTCGATTGGCTAGGGGGCAGAGGGGAGCTCGGGGGGTTCAGGGGTAGGAATTATCAATTTTTCGAACAGAGCACCGTAGGCACCCCGTGTCATGCAATGATATTGGGTGCCAATGTCATTTGAACCACCCTGTTGTGAAAATAGCAAAAACAAAATCTAGTTTCACGAGGATTTGGATTAATCTGTTTTAATTTAAAGTAACGAGAAAATCAAAAAGTACAACACTAATACAATAAAAATAAGACAACAAACATCTAAGAGGAATTTAATCAAACATTTTGCAACCAAAAGAGAATATTGAAAAAAAATACAACTTTATTATTGAACTCCTAGTGCAGTTTGAAGGAACAAGACTAGTTTCAAAATCCAGCAAACACAACTCAAATAAATCAGAGTAAAATAAAACATACCACAGATAACAACTACTACGTGTTATATTTACTCAAAAACATGGGAAAACATTTGACCTTAAGCCAACAGCAAGCAATTTTTTACATTACATACCAACATATATTGCATAACTCAACTCTAAATACAAAATTGCAACGCAATAATGGTACAAATGAGCTAATTGAACTCACTATTTGCAATCCTAAATATTATCTTCTCTATAAAATAGTTTAGGGCATAAGAAATCAAAATTAAATGGTTTAGCCAAGATAAAAAAAAGATTTTTGAGCCATAATATTGAGAATTTGGTCAACTTAAAGCAAGCAAACAAATTTTATTCAAAAAAATTACCTTTATACTTAGGTATACAAGGCTAATGACTCAAAATACGATCAAATAAACAAATATAGTGATCACAGAAAAAATGGAGTAAGAAGCATACCTGCATAGAGGAAAGAGTGGAACATATTCAGCTTGTACAATGTATAAACTGTAATGGTTCAATGTTTCATTAATTACAAGGAACATATGAAAACATATAATCAATCAAAACTATACAGTGTTTAATCATTCAAATTACATAATACAAATCAACAATATTTTTATTTTTATATAATCAGCAACTACAAAATAATAGAGAAGTTGTGACCAGACAAGAGTCTCTTACTCCCTTAACAGGGAGCAAACATGCTGAAAATTGAACAATAATAAATGTAAAAGAAAGATACTTACAAAGCAAACACAAAGAAGAATTTAGGGTTAGGTGAATCTCAACAAATTTAGACTAGAAATACAATAGAAAGACTGAGAGGAACAAAATTAGTTTTCAATAGGAAACCTGTCACAAGAATTCTGAATAATAAAAACTTTCTAATAATCTAGAGAATCCTAAAACAATATGGAAATCTGTAAAACTTCTAGAAACTATATACTCCTGCAACACAATTCACAAATCCTCTGCAGATTAAAGTCGATTGAATTATTTATGCCACTTGAAATTCCTTACTAATCCACAGTACTAAAAAAAAAATTTGCTTAGCTGTTTAGGGTTAGATTAGGTTAGGTTACAATGTGCAAAGGTTGACAATAATTGTTCTGTCCCAACCATTGCAGAATTGAAAAATATAATATATCAAGTATAGAATCATCAAAGCTTCAGGTTTTGCTCTGCTATGGCCACAACACATGGGATATGCTAACAATGGGCAGAAAACCCCAACCAAGTGTGAACGAGAGAAATGCAAGTGGTGATTGGTGAATAAGTGAAGGTTATGAGCTTTTTGAATTTTTTTTCCAAAAAAAGAGCTTTTAATTAATTTATGGAACATAGTGTGACACGATAATGAAAAATACTGACGAAATACACACTTGGTTGGTAGAGCTATACATCTTTGGGTGGATGTGCCGAGAAGGTCAAGGCTAGTCCACCTCCTTAATTATCAATGCTACCAAATTTTTGTGTAAATGGGTAGAAAGAGATGAAAAGGGAATGCAATTGAGTGGATGCAACGTCCTAGATGAAAATGCTTATCTATTCCAATCTCATTATGTATCTAGAAAGTGAAGGTTCAATAAAGTTAATTTCTTGATGCAGTATTGCAGTCTATCCTATTTTTATCCTAACCAGTGCTTAGTGGGTGCTGATCCCAAGCAGATTCACCTATCTGTTTACACCCCAGTTCAAATTGTAACAACGACCCATGTCTCAACTCTAAGATATACCAGCACGAAGCCCCTCTCTTAAGTGATAAAACCATTTGGAGTCACAACCTGCTTGAAGGATCAATGACAAATCGAAAACATTTTTCAAATTGGCTCACATTAAAACCCAAGCCCGATATAATTTGCGGAGTAATAAAACACTGGTCCAAAAGAAGAGATCTGGAGAAGGGAACTGGGCACGCCAGCCCGTTGGAAGCCGATGCCTGTAGAACCAGCATCTTTTATAAATCTATGCTTTCTAATTCATTTTAACCAATTTTAGATTAAGCTTTTTAATTAAACAGAACTCCAAGTGAATAACGGTCATAAAAAGATTTGGACTAACTGTTCCAATCAAGATCAGTAGCAATTAATGAAATGAAATATAGCATCCATCTCATCCAAACCACTCAAGCACAAGAGTAAAATACTCCCTCTTTTCATATGGCTGAGTGGAGGCACTAATGCACAAACAAAAACCTAACAACCCAAAACATGCAAACTATCAACACTGATCCTCCATACCACTAACATGCCAAAGAAGACCCCTAGTTTTCCACATGTCCCAATTTAGCCCCTAGAATTATTTATCATGCCAATTTGAGCCCCTAAATCATCTAACAATGCAATCAAGGCTCTTTAGCCCTTAAATGTGTACATGGACAACAAACAAAATAAGAAAAATTAAAAACACAAATCCCTAACACAAGGATTTAAGCAAATCTACCCATTCTCACATCAGGACATCGTGAAAAATATTATTTTTTTGTCAATTATAGTGCTGTTTCGTAAAACTAATCAAACCCTAATCTGGAGAAGAGAGCAGATTTGGGGAGGAACCACTAGATTCCTAGCTAATCTGCATAGTTCCGTGGCAAACTCCCCTGCTTTTTCAAAACCTCGTGATGAATAAAGATGAATAAAGAGCACAACATTCTCGTTGATCAGATCAAAGGCAAAAGTGGATTTACATGAATCTAAGATTTGACAATTTAGACGATTAGGGATAGACTTTTACCTAGTTCTAAGATTGAGGGCTGAGACTGGATTGAGTATTGTCTTGAACTAGACTCGTACCCGTGCGATGCACGGGCTATTAATTGACATATAATTACTCAATGTTTTTTCCCAAACCCTACTGTAGTGGGATTCAACTGGGTTGTTGTTGTTGTTACTCAATGTTTTGAATAAGGAAAAATGTTACAAAAACCTGAAAGATTAGAGGAATTTAATCATCGTCATGGACAGAGTTATCGTTCCGATCCTATCCTGATACTCTATTCTCAGGATACTAATCTCTTTTGTTATCACCTGTCCGACTTCACCATTGTCAACTTTGAGAATGGATCAAACCCATCTCTCGCCTAAAAAAAATCCAACACACGGAGTATTAAAATTTTTATTAGGCATTTTCAAATTATAGTTCAAAACTTCAACAAATATATATAGATGATCTTAGACCTTGAAAACAAATAAACATTCACCTCAAGGAAATGAAATTTTCAATTAGTGACAATTATTATACCACTAATCCAAATATGCTTGAAAAAATATAAGTTTCTTTTGAAGATCGTAAAAATATTTACAAAAAAAAAAGATGAAAACATGCATATAATGCATATTTCAAATTGAAAAAGAGAAAGGGAATTACATACCCAAAAATGATCCTTTGGTCTTGATTGAATGTTTTGCATTCACAATCAATCTCAAATGTGATACTAAATCATGAAAACAACTTTTAACAATGTGCTAGTAAATTATCAAATTTTTGTGTGGGAATAAGGCTAAGGTCATATTCTCCCTAACTAATTTTTTATTTATTATTTATTCTTATTGAAATTAAATCAAATCAGAAATAATTTTAAATATAACTACATTTAAATTAGACCAGATCATATCAAATCAGACCAGATGAAAACTTATTCCAATCAGATCATAACCAAGGTGAAGAGAACATAGCCTAAATCCACATTTCATTTGGCTAAAAACACCTCATTTATTAATAAATGGTTCATATTACCTTTCACATCTTTCCTTGCTTTTATAAATAGTTAAAGGCACACAAAAAATGTTTTTTTAAAATATCTTCAGGTTGCAATTGTCAAATAAAGAGTGATTACAACAATAACTTTTTGCAACACCCAACGATAGCATATAAGGAGTAAAAACTATTATTTTACAACATCAATGTGTAAAATACTCATATCTCATAAGAAGAAAAGAAAACATTAAACATCAAAATGAATACACGATCAAATTTTATTTAAAATGTAATGTATAAAAGTACAGCAAAACACAAAGTAATATTCAAATTTAAATTTGATCATAATTGTACTCGTATATAATTTTAATTTGACATTTGAGTACATGAAAATCATAGAAAAGTAATTTGTAATATACTTTTGAGGTAGAGTGGCTAAAATGTACTCCAGGTATTAACCATTCTTATTTTCTTACAACATCTTGAAAAATGATACTCTGTATAATCTTTCCACAATACAAAATCACAAAAATAATTTCATTAAAAAGTGTAAATTTGACAAACACAAAATCTCTGCAAAACATAAATACATAAATGAGCTTCCAAAATAACAAAACATCCGCAAAAGTACAACCGCAAAGAGCCAGACTCGCCTTCTTTGGTGCCTCTTAAGAGATTAGAGTGTCTATCTGGAGAGCAAGGTGATCTAGCATGTTAGTTCCAAACCAAAAGACAACCTCAATTCAATAAATGTAACCAAAGAGCCTGCTAAGAGGATGGAAAGCTTGCAAAGCTATTAAAAATCATGAAAATTCATATAATAATTTTTTTTGCAGAAAATTCATATAATAACTGAGCATGTGGATTCATCAATAAAGACCTGTCAACAAAAGAGATGATACTTCGTTTGAGCAAATAAATATGCTTTGTATTAAAAAAGAAATAAAAAAAATCTAATATTGAAAGAAAATAAAATGAATAATTACCTTGAAGACAATTATAATTCTCAAATTCTTGCCAAACAACATGTAGAACGAAATGATCAACTTGGCTCATTTGGTATAATGAGCTTTGCCCCAACAAACTAAAACTCATAGAAATTCTAATAAAATTATCGAAAATAAACAGTTAGATCCGAAATAGAAGCTAGAAAGTAAGAAAATAGAAAAATGCACGGGTTATAGCGCTCGCACCTGGATGGGAAGTGAACGATTGTTTCAGACCAAGAATTGCCTCTGTTATATTAAAAAAGAGCATAAACGTTATCATAAAAAATGATGTGATCAATGTGAATAGAGATCAAACCAAGATTGGTGTTAAAATACCCACAACAATAGATAGGCTAGTCGGGTAACTCGAGGAAGAGATTTTCAAACAAAGGGCATTAGACCCAGAACCCTTTAAGAAGATGAAGCAATGGCTCCTTCCATTTCCAAACTCACTATCACCTTCCTTAAAAAGAGAGCAAAAAAAGGTATTGATATTAGATAAACATAAATGGAAGGAGAAGATAGTAGCACGGTTACTCTAGGAGAAACAGTGATGGTTGGCAATTGTACTTGCAAACACAATGCACAACTCATGCACGCTAATACCTTATTAGAAGAAAAAGTATTTTCTACGACCAATATGCCATGGTGAAGTAGAAGAAGACCAGAGTAAATGATTTCCTAATAGTAATATGTTAAAAATTAAATTTCCAAAAATGCTGATAGTGCTCCTGGCTTGAATAAATTAAAGAGAGTATGCATATAAAATAATAAAGTGAAAATTAGTGAATGATGATAAAGAGTATACATAAGTGATAATTTACATTCTCTTGGGATAGATGGTAGAACACTGTCTTTTGTAACCTACAAAGACAGAATCATAAAATTTCTTTAGCTCAGAAATTTGACACTAAATTTGATAAATTCAATGTGAATGAGAAGTTGAAATATGGAACCTGGGCGTCAAACTCAATGAAATGGTAAAGTACGACAGCAGCATGGAAAGGAGTGTAGATCTCTTTCAAATCCTTCACTCTCCCGACGGGGAACTACAACACAGTAAGCCTTTTCCCTCTGTTCCCAATAACCACAAATTTAGGCAGCAAAAATGAGGCAACGGCTCTCCCAGTTTTCACACCTGCAATTACAAAACTTATCCATCAGTTGTTTGTAAAAAAGATTAATCTCAAAGAGACAACAAAGGTATGGGATTGGACTCACCATGAACGGTAATTTTTGAAATAATATGGACCAAAATCTCTCAATGTCTTCCCCTGCGTTTGTGCGTTATCATTATTCATCAACAATCTATACTAATTTTAAACAAAACATCAACAAAAACAACCACCAGTGAAATTAAATACAAAATTGAATGAGATTTTTTAGAAAATTAGAAATCAGAGAAATAAAAAATGGACATAATACACTGAATAAGATGGATATTTGACCTCCACATTTTTGGTTGTGTGACGCTTCTTCTTCTCTTCTTTTACGAACAAAATAAGAAAAAGTTAGAAAGCATATAATCGAAGAGGAAAGACCATTGATGCTTGGGCTAGGGTACCAAACCCTAGTGCCATCCATAGATTCCGCCGGTGAGCGTAGAGATGCCGAAGGCAGCCGACATAGATTTCGGTGAAGTCACAACGACAAAGGGAGGGCGAATCGAGGGCTTCACCGTTTCATTCTGATTTTGTGAAAGAGTTATGTGTTAGTGGGAAGTTGTAAACATGGGGTGGTTTTCAGTATTCAACTTGCCTCTACAATCTCATTAAAGACGCAAATAATCGTAATGAAACTCAAAATGTAATAACTCAATGTAGCATACACTCTTGATATCCATCATAGTTAAGTGTCACCACACTCTTGATATCCATCATAGTTAAGTGTCACCACACAAAAATCTGGATCAAGTGCGCTATACATTTCAGTTTTAGCCATACTGTCTAATAAAAAGTAAAAAAATCTTGAAGAGTACAATTCTATTTTAGCCATATAATCTTATGAAATACAAAAATAGTCTTAGGAAAATCTAACTGTAGAATACTAAAGCTAAATAATGAGTCTAGAATTTGTACTTTCAATGGATGATTACTTACCCGTGCAAAGCAAAAAGAGGATATTCTCCATTTGCGCGTTGCAACCTGCATTCATCAAAGTACATAGATTACCTAAAGAAATTTGGCATTGAGCCAAAGCATAGCACGCTGCAAGTTGAGACTTGAGGCCCTTTAAGAATCTAGAGAACTGTCACAACACATTTAAAGCGAATTACCCAGAGAAATTTTACTTATTTTTTACACATAAACCCACTAATAAAGATCCAATTCTTGTGAAAAGAAAACAAAGAAAAAAGGAAAAAAATTCATCAATAAATATGCCCAAGTAAGATAACAAAATAGACATAAAGTGAGAAGGAAGCTTCTGAGATCTTACCAGCAATATGAGGTCCAATTGTGTTGATACTTTTTTTATTCAAGTGAAAACCTGAATAGACACACAAAGCTTTAATGAATCCATGATTGAAAACCAAGTTTTCATTGTGATAATTTGCTCCATATATGCTTCAGTACACAATTATCATCGAAAACATAATATATACTCACTAACAGGCCCAATTTGTAATTTAGAAAATATTTTTTTCAAAAAAAAATTATAAAAAATCACCAAAAATACACCAGTGATCGACCACCTCTTGTGTTAATATGTATGTGATCGACCACCATTTTTCGTCCAACAGACAGAGAGGACCAAAGACCGGAAAACAAACCTTTAAATATTAATTTATACAGAGTAATTAATATATATGAGGTAATAAAAAGCGATACCGAAGAAGCTTCTTTGACGATGATGAGTAGCACGAAGGTAGAGAATCAATCCAAAATCGCAAACCCTAGTTCGGCAATAAAGATAGATCTAAGAGCATGAGAGACCAGGAAGGAATGAAATACCTAAGAAGGAGAATGAAATACCGAAGCCACCAGACCAAAATCGCGAAGCCGTATGAGCGAAATCCCAGCGCCTTAGCTTCTCTCGTGCGCCAGTACTCCAGTACTCCAAAATCGCGTGCGAAATCCCAGACCGAAATCGCCAGTACTCCAAAGCTTCTCTCGTGTGAAATCCCAGACCAAAATTTCGCGAAGCCGTTCAGAAGAAACCTAGAAAATCGGATGATGCGTGGGTAGGGATGGACGCAAAGCTTCTCCGGTACTCCAGTTCATCTAAAATGATTGAGTATGCGGAGGATTTTTTATCCGAGCTGTCCAAAACTCACGGTTACTGTAGCATATAAAATGGCGGGAACACTGTAGAAAATGGCATCCTACCATTGTATATAGAAGCTTCCTTCTCACTTTATGACTATTTTGTTATCTTACTTGGTCAAGTCACCAAACACCAATCTTGATAACTCTTCTTCGAGAACGATGAGTTTCTTGAGGTTCGATTGATTTGCGAAGGTTTAAAAACACTAGGTTTGACCTGACTGTGCAATTATGCACATCCAGTACCTAGTACACTCGATCATGGGCCCGGCTATCCGGCCAGCGCGCAAAATAGCAGGCTTGGACCTTATAAATTGCGGCCCGAATATTTTAGGGCCGGACTCGAGTTTATGCTCAAGCTCATAGCCAGTCCGGCCCGAATAAATTAAAATATTTATTATTAATATAATTATAATAAAATAACAATAACAACATTAATAATAATAATAAAGAACAAACCTATTTCAAATTATTATAAACACACATACATACTTCTATGGAGAGAAAAAATAAACTATAGGTTTATATAATAAAATGAATGCATCTTTACTACTCTGTATTTTTTGCAACGTCTCACACATTGATTATGACATTCTAATAGATAATATTTTGTACTACATACATAGTAGCAAGATCAAACAAAATATATTTATATACTCCTTATTAATTTTTCTTTCATTACTCATACTAGTTTTTATATCAAATATCTAATATATTAACTTGTTACTTTATTTTAAAAAAAAATATATTTTAAATTATTTAGAAGTTTTTGTCGGTCGGGCCGGGCCGGCCCGAAGCCCGCGAGTAACCATGCGGGCCGGGCTCGGGCTTCAATTGTTAGGCCCGTTATACGGGCCGGGCCAAGCTCGGGCCTAGAAAATTCTCGTAAAGTAGTGTCTCGGCCCGGCCCGCACTTTGATCAGGACTAGTACCTGGCATTGCTTATGGTCGTTTCCCTCAATTCAAAAAAATAAATTTTTAATTCTTAAAGTGGAATCTCAAATTCTTTAGAAGGAAAATCGCACGTAGTACATTTGAATTTCATAAAAACTTTTGTAGAAATGTCCAATCGTCAGTGAGGTTTGCAGAAAAATTGCGTGTAATACATGTGGATTTATTTTTTAATTTTTTGCATGTACTATATGCGAAAATAATGCTCTACTTTAACTCTATAGAAATCATTCTAAATAGGACTAAAACATAGATAAAAGTACCAAAATAGGACTCTCATGTTTTTTCCCGGAATAAGACTTTGCACTGTGGTAATGTGACCTTGCATTGTGGTAATGTGGCAGTGTACATGTGCAAATTTCTTTGTTTTTTGGTAATGTATATGACCATGGTTTGTAATGTAAGTCCTATTTCGGGAATAAAAACATGGAAATCCTATTTTGATATATTTTCAAAGTTTTAGTCCTATTTTGGTCTTTCTCCCTTAACTCTACCATTTCCATTTTTTAAGAAATCAACTTTAACTCTACTTTCCTCTCATCCACACGTTACAACCACCATACTTCTCCAACCATCCAACTTTACTCACCCCTTCATCTTCTTAATAATCACCAATATATCTTATTTTAACCACCATCCTTCCCCAATCACTTTAACTCCACTTACTTTTCAAATTTATCTTATTTTCACACTACTTCAAAACATTTCCCAATTATTCTTTTATTACTTATATTTCACTTAGCTTTTGGATATTAATAATATGTGCAAAGCTAGGGGTACACCAACATGGGGTACCCCACATATACACCAAGCCAACACAAACACACACAAACACAAAAAGTCTATGCACACAAACATTTTTGCCTGTGTGTGTTGGCTTGGTGCACATATGGGGTACCCCATGTTGGTGTACCCCTAGGTTAATTCTAGTAATATTGATTATATATAGATGTTATGTTTTTATTAGTTTCCATTTTTATTTGATTTATTAAGATTGTGTTTATATTTCTAAATTGTGTCCTCCATGATTTTTTCTATTTTTTTCAAATTTACGAAAATGTTTTAAAGAATTATGAATATATTTTTTTGAAATTATGAAGATGTTTTAAATGAGTTTTGTATTCACTAAAAAATAAGAATAATAAATTTTAATTTTTATTATTTTATTTTTGTAGTGTTACAATGGATCATCTTGAAAAAGAAAGAGAGATAGTTGGTCCTAGAATAGATTACATGTTACATTTGCAGAATACTCATCGTTCTAGTCGAGTATGAAAACATAAGGAGTTTTGCTACAATAAACTAATTTTTGTGCGATAATATAGTCACATCCCTATTGTTTTTCATGACCTTAGGGTTCTCCAAAATTTACAGAGGGCTGGATTTTATGGGGTACACCGTGTGTACGCTATTAGATTTGACCATGGTTTAATCACCGCTCTCATTGAGCGATGGAGACCGAAGGTGTATGCTTTTCATTTCCTATTTGGGGAAATGAGTATCACTTTACAGTATGTAGAGTGTCTCTTGGATCTCCCCATTAATGGGGTTGTATTTCTTGGTTTGAGAAAGTGTTGGATGGACAAATCGGGAGGTGGAGCAATACACAACTCAGGTTTGGGAGACTACAAGAGGTGCCGGATCTTCCATACGCGTATGTGCCTAATCACCACAAGAGCAATGGGACATCAAGCATCAACATTGTTACGCAATGTGCACAGTTGTGGAATGATAACCAATATTTATTTGTTGCCATTGGTCACATGACAGAAGTCACTAAACAAAACACTGTTGGTGAAAATCTCGGCATGGATTATCGAGACTGGTATGCAGAACACAAACGACGTCTTATATGAAATCCTACTCACCACCACAATGAAGGCGCAAAGAGCTCTGTAGCTGCCCTAGCTATTGTGGTTTGCTAGCTTATATATTTTGATTATGAGGTTGTCACATTTATAGGCTATTCTGATTATGAGGTTGTTACATTTATAGGCTATGTCTAAAATATCCTTAGTCGAATACTATGATAATACAGACGTCATAATATATAAAGACTAATACATATGAGACAAGATAACTGCGTGTAAAGCCCTAGAAACCGGTATAGCAGTTATTTGATAATTAAATAAATAAGAATTATTTATTTACGACAACCTATTATTTTAAAGAATTAAAAGGTACTTTAGAGACTTAATCGTCTCAATATAATAAAACTAATTAGATTATATTTGGAAAGATTTAAAGTAAAAGACTGATCGATACTAATTAAACAAAAGAATTAATACAGACCAGGAGGAACCGATAAATACTTGTTGAATGATTATAAAAGTTATACCGTTGGGTAGGAATCGACGAATCAAATCCAACGATGAGAACGGATCTCACCGTTCTTCTTCTTCGATCGCAGCATGAGACGACACCGGCGATGCGCAGCGGGGATCGACGACTTCTCTCTGGCGGCGAGGAGCAATCCAACAGCGGGGGAACCAGCGACGAGTTCCGACGGTTGAGCAGCAGCAGTCCTCCAATCCGGCGATTTGAGCTGGCCGACGAAATTCCCCCACCGGTAGAGTAACTGCCGGTATCCAACGGTGACGACGAACCAGCAACTCCGACGTATCCCTGTCCGGCGAGCAACAGAGATGGCGGAACAAACCCGGCGCTGCTACTCCTGATTCCAGCGACGGCAGGTCAGCGGCGGGGCTGCCTCTGTTGTGGCAAACCAGTAACTCCAGCGACTTCCCTTCGTGTTCCAGCCATTCCGGGCAGCGGTGGTAGTTTGGGCAGTCGTATCGGTTCGGGCAACGGGATGAATCTGTTCTGACAATGAATTCTAATCGACGAATCGAGGTGAGTACGTGGACATCTAACACTAGAATGTGCATATATGATTGAAATTCTGTTCATAATTATTATCGTGATTGATCTGCGTGAATTACGTGTCTGAAATCGATGGTTGTTTCGGGTACTATGCCAATTGAAAAGGGTAGTATGCATGATTTAGGTGCCGATTGATGAAATAATGTGCTTGATAATAATTAGAATGGTAATATGAATTAATTGGTGGTTATTGCTATGAGGTTTGACGCTGGAAAACGAAACAGGTAAAAAGCTGGAATCTGTTGTGTCGGACGGTAGGCGGTACCGCCGGGACGGTACCGTGCTACCGTCACACTCTGTTGATTCTTCTACCTTTGCCGGTAGCTGCGACCGTACGGTACCTAGGTACCGGGCGGACGGTAGGCCCTATCGCCCCAATCAGTAGACGGCTACCGTGGCAGTCCTACCGGAAGGGTTCATATAGTTTGGACGGTACCCCATTACCGTAGGACCGGTACCCAGGTACCGTGAGGACGGTACCCCGTACCGTGAAGGGTACCGTCTGGTACCTGATGTCGGGTCTGTCGTTATGTGTTTTCGTCAAGGATTGATTCCGAGACCTTATGTGTTGTATGACGGTAAGTTTGGGTATCAATACCCAATTCTAGGCTGCTATGTGTTATGATTGTGATTGCTTTGTGTTGATCCAACACTTATGTGAACTAATGTTATTATGGTGATCCAACACATGTGTGATTATGTAAAATACATGTGTTTGGATATGATATTGCAAGTATGAATGGGCTGATCCAGCACACAGCAAACAGGTACTGCGTGTTGATCCAACGCATTTGGTAAGGTAAGTCTACCCAAAGGGAATCTTTGGGACTGACATAAAAATAGGAAGTTAAGAGTATAAACCAGGTGGATGCCTGCCGGGCTCCAATGGTTAAGTCGAACCGGGTAAAAACGTACGTACGGGTATCCTTGAACTGACTGGTGATCCATCAGGTGGGGATTCCACCCACCCAACGGAGAACTCCTTCGTTGGTTGAGCATGACCCGCTGATCTAGTGGGAACCCTCATGTCTCCCAAACAGTAAAGTTATAGTCCTTATATTAGTATAATTAATAGGAACAAGTTCTTGGTGATCCACCAACAGTGAGAACTCTCTCTTTTGTCGAGCATGATCTGCTGATCCAGTGGGAACAATCATGACTCCCAGAAAATTAGTAAGTCCTTAGTCTAGTGTAGAGTTCAAGTACAGATTACTGGTGATCCACCACTGCAAGAGACGCTTCGTTTTGATGAGAATGGAAAAAGGGCAGGTGCCAGGTAAATTACATGATGAATTGTTTATGTGAACTGCATGATATTAAACCTATTTGCATGATATCATGTTATGATTATGAATTAGTGAATTCGCATATGTGTATGTTCGAACTGTTGGATATTTCTCATTCAGCTTCGTTGCTGAGCGTGTAGTCTCTTTTTCCCCTTGTTACACGTAGGTAATCATGGAGGGACTGACTTTGGAATCCATCCTGGAGGGTAGCACGACGAAGGAGATGTATGGATGCAGGGACTTAATAATGATTGGTTTAATTACAAGGCTTCCACACTGTTTGTATAAACTTCGATATGTAAATTAAATGGTTTGAATTGGTTTAGTTTTTAAATTAAATGTTTTTATTTATTGAGAAATATTGTATGTGGATACCAATTTAGTAGCAACCCGGTTCGCTAATCCATTTATTCGGGTTATGCGGGTTGGGGTGTTACATGAGGGTGTTTACACCCGAGACTAGGCCGCTAATTGATGAATATGATTGCCTATTTAACTTGTTGAAATCTCGTATGAATTTGGAAATATGAAATTATGAACTCGAATACGGATAGGCTACCTAGATGAATCATAGGTAAACCGAGAAAACAGAATAAAGATACAGTTAGGAATAACTGGTCATGTGATGAGCCGGCGTGCACGCATGATCAGTTGAGTAGAGTGTGCGCACGGGGATCGTCGTAGATCTGCTCATGGATGTGAGTATGTAGGTGGTCCCACCCAGCCGACGTTGGATGACGTCATATCGAGCGGGTTCTTCCATGGATGTGGTTGAATCAGGACTCTAGAATAAAGTAGTTGGCCTTAGCCTAGGATAGGTTATGAGCCTAGAGATAAAGAAGTGGATTATGAAATAGGTTTGTTGATTATGGTAATTATGCTTAATTGATGAATTATACTCCCTCTGTCCGGAAATGATGTTCCCATTGTACGTTTTTTTCGTCCGAAAATGATGTTCCCATTCTACTTTTTATAACAATTTTTCCTAAACTACCCCTCCCATTAGATCTCTTTTATTCTTCTTTCATTACCCATTTTCTCTGCCACCCACATCAACTACTTCATCTCTCTCCCACTCGTTCTTCCCCCAATCCCCCCTCCCCGATCTTCTTCTCCTCCTTCTCTTCTTCTCTTTTTCTTTTTCTCCTCCTCAACTTCTTTCTCCATGTCTTCCTACACCGACCTGCTTCTTTTTGTCTCCCCCCTCCTAGATCTATTCTAGATCTATGGTCTAGCGGCGGCGATAGTGGACCCGATGGCGGCGGCGAGAGCTAAGGCAGCGGTGGATCTACGGTGGATCTATGCTAGATTTGTGGAATCTCTGTTTAATCTTCTTTTTCTCATCTTTCTCCTCTCCGTTTTCTCTCTTTCCCCAAAAGATTGTGCGATGGACGTGGGGGCTGACGGAGGTAGTGCAGCTGTGGGGCGATTATGGTGTTGGCGGACGGGGCTGGCAGATGCAGTGATGATGGGGCGGTCAGGGCTAAGGAGAGGGTGGGGCGCCGGCGGCCGGTGGTGGACGCTGGGAGGTGGTGGCTGCTAAAACTCTAGCAGGGGATAGGCAGTGGTGGGGATGTAAGGGTGTTTTGGACATTTTAATGTTAAAGTCAACACTTCATAAAAATGAAGAAAAGTCAAACCAGGAACATCATTCCCGGACGGAGGGAGTATGATATTAGTGATGTTAATGATGATGTACTTGTGTGCATGATATTGTATGGAATTATGAGCTAGTGGGTTCGTCTATGTGTGTAGTCGAAACGTTAGATAGTTCTCACTTAGCTTTAATGCTGAGCGTGTAGCCCTTTTTCCTATTTGCTACACGTAGGTAACAAGAATGATGAATAAGGAACTATCCTGGAAGGCAGCAAGGACGAGAGATGGATGGATGCTGGCTGGAGGAGTTATCTAGTTTATTTATTATTGCATTTAAATTTATTATGTTTTAAGAGCAAGAACCCAAAGTTGTATTTGATTTAAGTACTTAAAGGCTTCCGCACCGTTTGGTTAACTCCGATGGATATTTAAATATTGTTTTGAATTAAATGTTTTAAATTGTTTTGAAAATTATTGTGTCTAAATACCAATCTAGTGACAACCCGATCCGCTGGTCTTTGTATCCGGGTCACGCGGGTTGGGGTGTTACAATATATATATATATATGTGTGTGTGTGTGTGTGTGTGTGTGTATGTATGTATGTATGTATGTATGTATGTATGTATGTATGTATGTATGTATGTATGTATGTATATAAGGGATTTTTATTAATGAAAAAAGTAAAAGGAGCAGAATACAAGGGGCTACCCAAAAGTGGTAGCAAAAAAAAAGGAGAAAAAAAGGATGTAAGGGACGCAGCCCTTGCAAAGAAATGAGCAAAAGGATAAAAATAAGGTAATAATGGGGATGGATGATGAAGTTAGTAGGCTCGACCACGGCCTCTCCTACCACGTCCCCGATGACTACGAGTTTGAATGGTTAATTCGGGAGCATCAAAGTTATTGTTGTTTTTTCTTTTAACAAGTGTGAAATCTCCCTCGCATTGATATTCTTCAAAATCGAATCTAGGAGTCGCTGGCATTTCTTCTTCCACACTAACAGTTGATAAATCCATTGAGTCTTTGATCGGAGTGATTGGTCTCTCCACCGAGTTACTCGGTTGTGCAATCTCAACGTTGGTTTCATTTAGGGAGTTTGGTTTATGAACACTGTTTGGCCCGTCATTGTCTTCTGGGTGAGGGTCGTCTAAACGTGCATTAGGAAGCTGAATAGCCTCCGCTAAAACACTTGTTGGTTCACCAGCATCTTCAGTATGGGCAATTTCACATGTGTCTATCGGAAGAGTTGTGATGAACAGGTGGCCATCCACTTCTACAATGATATCCTTGAATTTTTTCTTTGGGGGTGCAGGACTAGCAGATTTGTGCATCTCATTTTGGACCTCAGTTTGAACATCACATTGAGCCTTTGGAGTTTGAGTTGTGGTACAGTCATAGTTGTAAGGATTGGAAGTGACAAAATGAGAGGCTTCCCTGGGGTAGTCAACAGCAAGACCATTGTTGGGGATATCCTCTACCACTAGCACTTCCTTTGAATCTACAGTAGTTGTGATCATAGTGCTACTGCCTAGGTCATCACAGGGGTCCGGAGAACCATTAGCAACTGTCACCTCAGGCTGTGTAGGGACATGACTCCCTAGACATATGTTTTCCAGCTCAATGTTTGCAGAAACTTTCTCCTTTGAAGTGGTGTTTGTTGCATTATTTGTATGGGGTTTTTGAGCAGCACCACTTGGTGAATGGACTGGTTCAGAAGACAGGTTGGTCTTGGGTCCCAAATCACATGGAGGTTTCCTGAGAATAGGTTCCTTGCTCAAGAGAGGTTGCCCCTTTATCTCTTTGTTCTTGTATGCTTCTGATGAAAGAGAATCTTGTTGTTTACTCTCCTTCTCATTGCTTTTTCCGGTGAGGTGGCCTGACTTCCTACAGAAACATCAGTAATCTGGGATGTTTTCGTAAGAAATATCTTGGAAGAAGCCCATCCCACCATTATCAATCCAAATTTTCTTAGGAAGCTCTTTAGATATATCAAGTTCAACACAGAACCTAGCTACTGAGGGCCTTGTTTTTGCAGATGTGGAAGCATCCATCATCAAAGGATTGCCAATTGACCTTGCTATACAGTGAAGGGCCTTGGCCTCTTGAAGATGGATTGGCAAGTGAGTTAGGGACACCCAAACTGGAAAGATGGGATTTTCGTTGTAACACCCGCCTTCCGTGGACCCGGTTCACCCGCGACCCGACGGACCGGTAGGGTTACATGGGCGGTCCCAGAACCGTCCGTTACAAAAACATTAATGATTATTTAATAAGAAAACGGTTACGTTTGATTAATGGGATATTAACGACTATTTATTATGAAAACGTTTGTTTTACTTGGTGTAATAAATGTTAGGAGTTATTCCTGAAAACGTGACTGATATAAATGCAGAGTAAAAGCGGAAGTAAATAAATGAGTAAAACGACAAATGGTGGGTTCATGCCCAAATGATTAATTAATTAAATGTATTTAATTATTGAACTTGTCCATGCGCCGCCCATCTTCCCACCATCACTGTCCTCCAGGGTTAGCACCTGCACCGTCATGTCTACCTGCGTGTAGCAAAAACAACTACACACTCAGCATAAGCTGAGGAGTGAATCTAACAAAAGAACATTAAGTGATAACCCATATGGCTATACACATATTAATACCTGTACCTAACGTACGGAAAACCACATGTTTACTAACTGTTTAATTTGCACTTGGTGGGATATTATTACACATAAAAAAATGAAAAGCAACCACATTGAATGTTGATGTGACGTGGAACATACATGATGATGACGACCACATTGAATGTTGACGTGACATGAAACATACATGATGACAATATGACTTGATGCATGACTTATGATATTAGGGACACCCCTGACTTAGTCTCACTTGACAGGATCACCCCTGCACTCCGGTAATGCCCCGGGCTCGACAGAACGTCGCAAGTGAACTAGCAAAAACTGGGTGGTAGCCGTAGCCTGACTACCATGTACGTACACAAAGCCCACCTGATGAAAACCCATTGGATCCCAAAGGTTCCTGGACGGGCCCACTGTAGTAGGCGCACGAAAGCCTGACCTCCCTATAGTGGTATGCACATGATGAAAAACCTAGGACATGCGTCTTGAATGAACATGATGAATGCTTGATGTATTTACCTTTGGTCAACGCCATGAATATATCAAATAAATAACATACATAATGAAGATTAACATTTCGTGCAAACATACAATCAGATTCTGAGTCAATATGGTCTACGGGGATCGTTTTACAACTGCCTGGAATTCTGCCCGCAGAACGGTCGATCGTACCCTACCGGCGGTCGACCGTGGACTGCATTGTGGGGAACTGGATGGCCGACGGTCCACCGTGGTCTTCCGTCGTGACCGGCGGTCGACCGTCACGGTGGTGACCGTCGGTATGCCATGGGAACGGTCCATTGTCCTTAGCGGCGGTCGACCGTCCCGGAGACAGTCCGCTGTCCTTTGCTCCGTTTGGGTCCGTTTTGCTAACTTAACACCTAGATTCTTTTTAGAACAATAATGTAAACATTGATAAATACATTCCTAGTGATTCCTAGGCCAATATGTACAAGTTTTACGTAGTGAACGTTTTGATGGCTAACCTACGAACATGCATAGATTCTACGTAGGTTGCATACGATATTCCTATGAATATAACAACATAGATTATAACTTGATGTTCTAGAATTAGAGGGGACAACTACTCACCTCTAAATGAAGGGATTGATGGAATAATGAAACGAGATGGATGAATGACATCTAACGAATGGACGAACAGTCAACGTACGGCTTCTCGTGTGAACTTCTTCCTTCCTTCTACCTCGACTCCTCGCCGGAATGTCTCCCTTCTTGCTGCTGCTTGGCCGAACCACCAAAAGAAAAAGGGAGAGGAAGAGTTGAGGGTGTTAGATGCTTGTGTGGGAGTTACAAAATTGGTGAGGGGAAGTGAAAAGAGAGAGGGTTTAAATTGAGGACATGAATGGAGGGTTTTAATGGGAAAATGAATGAGAAATGAAGGAGTATTAAAGTAGGGAAAATGAAGGGTGGCGTATGGATGATGGGGGTTACATACTTTATTTTACTCCGTTATGTTAAAATCTGGCCTGAACGGTACACGTTTCCCCCCCCCCCAAACGGGTCCGAATTGAGATTCGTTTGTGTTTTTGGAATCAGACAGTCAAAACAAATTTAATGATATGTTCAAATAATTTTTCTAAGAACTTTATTTTCAAACTTCTAGGTCCACCCCAATCATTAATTAATTCATTTAATTAATGTTGAGATGTCCGTTATTAAAACATCTTTTTTGTATTAAAATACATTAGCTTTGAAAAGCCATTTAAAGAGATCGAAAATCTTAATATTGATTACTAAAAATAATGAGTCTCAATAAATAAATAATATTTATTTATTTAAAACTAGGCCGGTTTGTAGGGCGTTACTTATTTATTTATTTAAAACTAGGCCGGTTTGTAGGGCGTTACATTCGTGGTCAGGATGGAAGTTAGGACTCCATTTTGACACAACCATCTCAGCTCCATTAATTTTCCAAATGCGTCTCTTAAAGCATCGTTGGTACTCCGATGGGCACCGGAAATTGAGAAGAATAAGGGAGGGTGCTAAGAGACCAACAGAAAACCCTGGTTTGAATCCAATTTTTTCGAAGCATTTTCTGATTACCTCCAAAGGAGGTCTGGATATATATATATATATATATATATATATATATATATATATATATATATATATATATATATATATATATATATATATATATATATATATATATATACCTTATAGTAAGATGACATGCTTCAATCAGATGACACAACACACACAACTGTAACACCCTCAAACCGGCCTAGTTTTAAATAAATAAATATTATTTATTTATTGAGATTCATTATTTTAAATTAATAAATATTGATATTTCGATTTCTTTAAATGACTTTCTAAAGCTAATGTATTTTAATATAAAAAGATGTTTTAATAACGGACCTCTCAACATTAATTAAATAAATTAATTAATGATTGGGGTGGACCCGGAAGTTTGAAAATAAAGTTTAGAGAAAAATATTTTGAAGATGTCATAAATTTAGTTTTGACTGGTTATATTCGGAAACGCAATTGGTTTTCAATTCGGACCCGTTCGGGGGGAAAACCACATACCGTTCAGGTTAGGTTTTACACAACGGTGTGGAATTTAGGGAGATAACTCCCATTCAAACCACACGCCATTACACTCTTCATTTCCCATAACCCCCCATTCATATCCCATGATTATTCCTCCATAAATCCCCATAATTTCACATGATTATAAAACTCCCTCTTCCCCTTCATTTCTCTCATCATGTGTAACCTCCCCAAACCATAACACCCATCTCTTCCTCTCCCCTTGCATTTTCGGCCAGGCCATAGCAGCTCCAGAAGGTTTTCCGGCAAGTAGACGGGGAGGTAGAAGAGGAGAAGTTCACACGAGAACCCGTACGTTGTTCGTCGTTCAACCGTTTATTCATTTGTTCATTCATCGTCATCCAGTGGTTCATCTCGTCCTATCGTAGTGAGTAGTTGTCCTCTATAATTTTAGAACATTTAGTTATAATCTATGTCGTTATATTCATAGGAATATCGTACGCAACCTACATAGAATCTATGCATGTTCGTAGGTTAGCCAACAAAACGTTCACTACGTAAAACGTATGTATATTGGCTTAGGAATCACTAGGAATATATTCATCAATGTTGTATTATTGTTCCCAAAAGAATCTAGATGTTAAGTTTGCAAAATGGATCAAAACGAAGCGTAGGATAGAGGACTGTCTTTGGGACGGTCAACCGCCGATAAGGATGGTGGACCGTTCCCTCGACCATTCCGACGGTCACCACCGTGACGGTCGACCGCCGGCCGTGACGGAAGACCATGGTGGACCATCCGTGACCCAGACCCCAGATTGTAGCCCACGGTCGACCGCCGGTAGGGTACGGTCGACCGTTCCGCGGGCAGAATTCCAGGCAGTTTGTAGAACGAGCCTCGTTGACCATGTTGACTCAGAATCTGATTGTATGTTTGCATGAAATTTTAATCTTCATTATGTATGTTATTTAATTGATATATTCTTGGAGTTGACCAAAGGTAAATATATCAAGCATTCATCATGTTCATTCTAGATGCATGTCCTAGGTTTATCATCATGTGCATACTGCTGTAGGGAGGTTAGGCTTCCGTGCGCCTACTACAGTGGGCCCGTCCAGGAACCTTTGGGATCCAACGGGTTTTCATCAGGTGGGCTTTGTGTACGTACATGGTAGTCAGGCTACGGCTACCACCAAGATTTTGCTAGTCCACTTGCGATATTTCATCGACCCCGGCTCATTACTGTTGTGGTATGATAACCGGAGTGCAGGGGTGATCCTGTCAAGTGAGGCTAAGCCAGGGGTGTCCCTGATAGTTTAAGTCATGCATCAAGTCATATCTTCATCATGTATGTTCCACGTCACATCAACATTCAATGTGGTTGTTATTCATTTTGTTATGTGTAAAAAGTATCCCATCAAGTGCAAATTAATCAGTTAGTAAACATGTGGTTTTTCCGTACGTTAAAGTATATGTATTAATATGTGTATAATCATATGGGTTATCATTTCATGTTCTTTTGTTAGATTCACTCCTCAGCTTTTGCTGAGCGTGTAGCTGTTTTTGCTACACGCAAGTAGACATGACGATACGGGTGCTAACCTTGGAGGACAGTGATGTTGGGAGGATGGGCGGCGCACAAACGAGTTCAATATTTAAATACATTTAATCAATTGATCATTTGGGCATGAACCCACCATATGTCGTTTTTACTTATTCTGGACTTATTTATTTACTTCCGCTTTTACTCTGCATTTATATCACACACATGTTGGGGTTAACTCCCTAGCATTTATTTCACCAATTAAAACCAACCGTTTTTTCATAATAAATACACATTAATGGTTTACGTTACGGACGGTTCTCGGATCACCCATGTAACCCTACCAGTCCGTTGGGTCACGGGTGAACCAGGTCCACAGAAGGCGGGTGTTACACACAACACTGCTAATGGAAAGCTCACCAACTGCCAATACAAACCTCACCTATTGCCAATGGAAAGCTCACCAAGGAACAATGCAAAGCTCACCACTTTTTTAAATAAAAAGAGTTAAAAAAAATAGCACTACAATTCAACCACCACTCAACCACCGGTCCACGGCGACAGTGGGGGTCATCGGTGGTGGCCATTGGTCATGGGCGGCCAAAGTGTAAAGCTCACCAACTATCAATGCAAAGCTCACCAACTGATAATAGAAAGCTCACCTAGGAACAATGCAAAGCTCACCACTTTTTTTTTTAAACAAAAGCTAATAAAATTGCACCACCAGTCAACCACCGGTCTACGGCGTTAGTCTGCAGTGGTTGGAAGTCAGTACCACCACTTTTTGTTTTTTTTGAAATCATTTTAATCTTTAAAGTGTGGTGAGCTTTGTGCACATATTCGGTGAGCTTTGCAATGAGAGTCAGTGAGCTTTGTTGCTAGGCTTTGTGAGCATTTAACCATCAAATTTTGAAAAAAAAAAGTAAAGTGTTGGAAAATCATAGTGAGCTTTATAGTGGACAGTGGTGAGTTTTGCAGTGATCAGTGGTGAGCTTTGCAGTGATCAATGCTGCGCTCCAGCGTCATCTCACTGAAACATGTCATCTTACCACAAGGTGTCATCTCACCGGAGTCAATCCCTATATATGGATTGACTCCAGTGAGATGACACCTTATGGTAAGATAACATGCTTCAATGAGATGACACAACACACAACACTGCCAATGGAAAGCTCAACAACTGCCAATGCAAAGCTCACCAACTGCCAATGCAAAGCTCACCACTTTTTTTTAAATAAAAAGAGTTAAAAAAAATAGCACTACCATCAACCACCAGTCAACCACCACTCAACCACCGGTCCACGGCGACACTGGGGGTCATCGGTGGTGGCCTTTGGTCATGGGCGGTCAAAGTGTAAAGCTCACCAACTATACATGCAAAGCTCACCAACTGACAATAGAAAGCTCACCTAGGAACAATGCAAAGCTCAGCACTTTTTTTTTAAAAAAATCTAATAAAATTGCACGACTGGTCAAACACCAGTCCACGACGAGAGTCTGCAGCGGTTGGAAGTCAGCACCACCGGCCTTTGTTTTTTTTTTGAAATCATTTTAAACTTTAAAGTGTGGTGAGCTTTGTACACATATTTGGTGAGCTTTGCAATGATAATCATGGAGCTTTGTTGCTGGGCTTTGTAAGCATTTAACCATCAAATTTTGAAAAAAAAGTAAAGTGTTGGAAAATCATGGTGAGCTTTGCAATGGACAGTGGTGAGTTTTGCAGTGATCAATTGTGAGCTTTGCAGTGATCAGTGGTGAACTCCAGCGTCATCTGACCGAAACATGTCATCTTACCATATGGTGTCATCTCACCGGAGTCAATCCCACCGTAAGTATAGTACATCCATCCCAATTTAAATCAACTATTTGAATTCAGAATTAAGAAAATAGTTATGTGTACAACGTATTTGAGAATTAGAGCGGAATTGGAAATTAAAGTTCATATATTAGAAAGCATAAAAAGTTCTAAAAAACAAAATGTGACACAACTATTTTATTTTACCGAATGAGTAACGAATATAATGACAGCAAAGAAATATTAAAGAATACTCTTCAAAGGTCCTTATTTAAAAAATTTTGGATACAAAGTTATTATGAAAAATCTTTGGGGGCTGGGATTCCAAAAGTTTAAATTACCCATTCAAAGGGCTTCGTTTGGGGAGGGGTGGCCGGGGTGGGGGCAGGGGAGAGAATGAGTGTGGGTGGGGGAAAAGTTCTCAAGGAATTCGAGTACTCGAAGATTGAGTAGGAAAATGAACTTTAATCTAAAACAATTGGTACTCATTTTCTCCTCTAAGAGAAAATATTTTTCTTAAAAAATTATTTCCTACCACTTTTTCAACGTAACATAACAAATTATTGGAATTTTTTTGCAAAAATATTTTTCTCTCAACCAAACATATCCTAAGAACTATAATCCAAAAGAACGAAACCTTAAAAAATTTAGAATTGACAAAAAAATTCTATACCCTGTGCGTTGCACGGGTTAAACACTAGTGTAGTTTATAAAGAAGTCTTTCAAAATTTGTAAATCATTTTATTTTTGTACTTTAAAATAATGAAAATTCTACATTCCAATATATACAAATTTATATCTTTAAAAATGATCTTAATCTAGTAACATAACTATGACCCGTGCAATGCACGGGTGTGATACTAGTATATATATATATATATATATATATATATATATATATATATATATATATATATATATATATATATATATATATATATTCAAGTTTCAATATTGATTACTTGGGCCATTTATGGGCCTCTAGTACTTCCCCAAAATAATGTTCCATTTTTAGGGAATAAAGGTAATATATTTCTTAGCTTTAAAATGTAATGTAAAAATATAAATCTCAAATCATATCCTATCCTATATATCCTATATATATATATATATATATATATATGTAAAAGAGAGTTCCATGGTTGTGGTGATGACACGTGTCATGCCACACGTGCATACTACTAACATGTGTCACGCCACATATAAATCGCATGACACATGTTTTTCCATGCATGCATATTTAATTTTTTATTAAATAATTATTATTTTTATTATATTTTATAAACCCTTCACTTTTCAACAATAAAAACCCATTATTTTTATTAACTTTTTATAAACTTTTCGCTTTCTCACTATTTTAGAAATATATTTTAATTGTTTTAACATATGTTTTAAATATGCATGACTATTTTATAATTTTTAAAAAATTATATAAAATTTATTTATTAAAAAAATGTTGTTTATAATTTTTTAAAATTATCCATCATCTCAAAAGAAACTATCATATATAAATTTAATCACACTTGCATCTTTATTAACTTCATAACATATTTTAATTTTTTTCTTATTACATTACTTATTTCATTATATATTTTTTAGCAAACTAAACAAAGGAAAAGTTTAAGTGAAGGATTACATGTGGCACATGACAAATATGCATTATCGAATGATGTGTCATTGCTTAATTGATCTATTTGAGATTTTTATTTTTTTTGTTAATTAGAAAAATTTTTATAATTATTTTATTTGATGACCATAAATTTTGTATAAAATGTTTTTGTCATGCATGCACTACACCACCCATGATACCAAGTTGGTACCAGGCAGCCGGCAGCTACCGACGTAGCTAGGGGAAGGAGAAACCGGCGGCAAGGCTGGAGGGAAGAAAAGCCAAAACCCTAGGGGTTTCGTGTAAGCCAAGGAGAGAAAGGAGAGAGTTTAGAGAGAGAAAGAGTTAAGGGAGTAGGGAACTTCTTTATTTCTTCTTCTGCATGAGGTGTAAATACCTCTTATATAGAAGAAGGTTTCCCAATCCTAGTAGAACTACGTTATCTATCCTGTCGGTTCAAGAAAAGCGACGAGGTAAAGAACCGAAAAGAAACCCTCGAAGGAGCTTATAATTACGCTCACCTAGGAAAATCTAAATACAATAAATAAAAGATAATGACGGAAAAAATAATCAAACATAATCTTGATACTTTCTTGGCGGACGAACGGCCCGCTTTGGACGACCCGGCGCGGCTGAGACGGACGGGTTAGGATCTTCGTCTTCGAGTGATACGTCGGGGTTGAGGCCCGTATCAACTCCCCCGGGGTTAGAAACCGCCTTGTCCTCAAGGCGTAGGTCGGGAAAATGACGTAAGAGATCTGCTAACGGCTCCCATGTTGCATCCGCATTAGACCCATCCGACCAACGAACTAACCAGTGCTCCTGGGCGACTCCGTCCACCAGTACAGTGCGACTAGCAACCGCAGCCATGGGAACAGAGAGTGGTCGGCCTTTATAGAAGGTAGCTGGAAGAGGGGTTGGTGGTGGCAAGGAATCCCGTGGCACAAAGAGCTTGAGTAGTGACACGTGAAAAACATCGTGGGTCTGGCACCCTTCCGGCAAACGGAGTCGGTAAGCAACTTCCCCAATGCGTTCTAAAACCTCGAATGGCCCATAGTACCTGCGGCCGAGCTTGACGGAGCCGGGACGAGCCAATGAATGCTGCCGATACGGGTGTAAACGGAGAAGGACCATGTCGCCGACGTTAAAGGAGATGTCGCGGCGGTGCTGATTGGCTTGCGCCCGCATGCGCTGCTGCATGCGTGAGAGGTGGGTTTTAATATCCTGGAGCAACTCAGCGCGTTCTTTCAATATTTCCTCGACGGCGGGCACACGAGAGCGGACGGGCATAGTGGGAAACAATGACGGGGGTGGCCGGCCGTAGAGAGCTTGGAAGGGGGAGGTGCCCAGCCCCTCATTGGTGCTGCAATTTAATGCCAATTCCGCCCAGGTGAGAAAGGACGACCAGCGGTTGGGGCGCTCGTGGGCGAAGGCGCGCAAGTACTGTTCAAGGCTGCGATTAAGGACCTCGGTTTGGCCGTCTGTTTGTGGATGGTAGGCAGTGCTGAATTTTAACGAAGTCCCACTTATCCGCATCAATTCTTGCCAGAAAGTACTCATAAAGATCGGGTCCCGGTCAGAAACAATGGAGCTGGGGAACCCGTGGTGCTTCACCACGACGTCAAGGAACAATTGGGCGGCCTTCGGGGCGTCGAAACCGGTGGCCAACATGCCAAAGTGCGCGTACTTGGTAAGACGGTCCACGACTACCATAATCACTGAAAACCCACGTGAGATTGGCAAGCCGGTGATAAAGTCCATAGAGGCGGATTCCCAAACCTGATCAGGAATTGGTAGAGGTTGAAGTAACCCCGCCGGCTTGCGTGTAGAATATTTGGTTGTCTGGCAGACCTCACAAGAGGCGATAAACCGGCGCACGTCATCCTGCATGCCCGGCCAATAAAACCCATCTGCCAACCGGCGGAACGTGCGTTCGACGCCTTGGTGCCCGGCCAACGGCGTAGCGTGATACTCATTTAGGAGGTAATGCCGAAGAGGGGAACCCGCACTGAGAATTAGCCGGCGTTTGAAGTAGAGCAGTCCATTGTGCACCGAGAAATGAGGAGGGGCTGTCCCGGCAGTTACTGCGGCATGCAACGCCAGAAGGTCGTCCGCTGTGGTGTTTTCGTGTTGAATGTCCTGGAACAAGGAGGGGAACGGCCGGGCGTACGTAGAGAAGAGGGTAGCAGTATCTGAGATGTCCTCGCGACGGGAGAGAGCATCGGCGGCCCGGTTGGAAGCGCCGGTCTTGTATTCAATGCGAAACTTGTAGCCCATTAGTTTGCGCACATAAAATTGCTGATCCGGTGTTTGGATAACCTGGGAGAGCAACTCCTTGAGGCTACGTTGATCGCTGCGGATGACAAACTCCCGACCCAGAAGATATTGGCGCCACTTTTGGACCGCTTCCACAATAGCATATACTTCCTCCGTCCCACTATATTTGTCCACTTTCATTTTTGCACACCATCCAATGCACTTCTTTAATCCATTTTATCTTGTAATTTGTATATTAAAAATTTATAGAAATTATATATTAATAATCTATATGTTAAGACAAATCAAACAAGATCACACATGACTATATTTAGGCTTACACATTGAGAAAATTTGATGAGTCAAAGTGCTTAGATGAACAGTTCTAAAAGTCAAAAGTGGACGAATATAGCGGGACGGAGGGAGTAGTTCTTTGTGATAAGTGGAAGCCACCCGTCGTCGCGGCCCGAGTTTCTTGCTGAAGAACGCGAGCGGATGGCCTTGCTGAAGGAGGACGGCGCCCACCCCGGTGTCAGATGCATCCGTCTCCAAATAAAAAGTTTGTGAGAAATCCGGGAGACGCAACACCGGTGCCGTAGTCATCGCTGTTTTGAGGCGCTCGAAACTGTCTTGGGCGGCCTGTGACCAGGTGAAACTGTCCTTTTTTAAGAGGTCAGTTAAAGGCGCGGCGAGCATGGCGTATCCAGCGATGAAACGGTGGTAGTACCCTGTGAGGCCGAGAAATCCTCGAAGGTGTTTGATGGCAGTGGGTTTGGGCCAGTCAAGCATGGCTCTGATTTTCTCGGTGTCCGGATGGAGTTCCCCTGCCGTGATAACATGCCCCAAATAATTGACGGTAGGTTGACAGAACGAACATTTACTCATCTTAAGGAAGAAGGTATGTTCTGCCAGAGTATCCAAAACCGTGGCAAGGTGCGCCGTGTGCTCGTCCAGCGTTGGGCTATACACGAGTATATCGTCAAAGAAGACAATGACAAACCGCCGAAGGAAAGCCCGGAAGATGCTGTTCATAGCTGCCTGAAATGTAGACGGCGCGTTGCACAAGCCAAAGGGCATCACTAGAAACTCCCAATGACCATCATGCGTGCGGAAGGCCGTTTTGTAGGTGTCGGACGTGCTCATCCTGATTTGGTGATAACCGGAGCGGAGGTCCAGCTTGGTGAATACCCGGGCATTGCCCAATTCGTCAAAGAGCTCATCTGCCGTGGGGATGGGAAAGTTATCCGGGACCGTGGCGGCGTTCAATGCACGGTAGTCGACGCAAAAACGGAAGGTTCCATCTTTCTTGCGGACTAACAGGACGGGAGAAGAGAACGGGCTGTGACTTGGTTGAATGATACCCTGTTGGAGCATTTCCCGAATCTGGCGCTCGATCTCGGATTTTTGAAAGTACGGGTACCAGTAAGGTCGCACATTCACAGGCTTGGAGTTGGCGGCTAGGTGAATTTGGTGGTCCCAACTTCGAGAAGGAGGCAACCCCGTAGGTTGGCTAAAAATTGCCAGTCGTTCCCGCAGCAATTGGCCGATCGGGTTGGGGAGGTCTGGTGGCAGATCCGTGGCAGCTGGAGTGTCCCCTGGTGGCGACGATGTGGTGGTCACCAATTCGTACATATCCAATTTGGTGTTGGCGCCAACGAGGGAACAAAACTGGCTATAGGAGATCGGCCGTGGCCCGGGAACATCACCGCGTAGTATTATAGTTGCCCCCTGCCAAGTAAACTCCATGGTCATCTTGGCGTAATCGTGTGTCACCTTTCTGAGTGTTTAGAACCATTGAACACCCAAGACGATATCCGGACCGTGGACCTCTAGAAGGTAGAGATCGATGTTGAAGAGATGTCCCTGGAGAAGGAGCGGGGTTTGCGGGCATGAGTATGAGCAGCGGAGGGAGTCACCATTGCCGACGTAGATGCGGAACGGAGAGACCGGATGAAGAACCAGGGCCAAACGTTCCGCCACGCTGGGATGGATGAAGTTGTGCGTGCTCCCGCTGTCCAAGAGCACCTGGACGGCGTTGTTGTGGACTGACCCAGCGACTTTTAAGGACCGCGGGCTCGGGCTTCCGGCAAGGGAGAGAATGCTAGAGATATCCCCGTTGAGCAGAGGAATATCGTCCTCGTCGGGGGGGCTGGTCAGTGACGGCAGGGGCATCATCGTCATCCTCGGGTCCCATGAGAACAAGAAATCGACGACGACAATTATGGCTGGCATCCCACTTTTCATCACAGTAACAGCAAAGCCCTTTCTTAGAGCGTTCAGTCTTTTCGGCGTTGGTCACACGAACCACGGGTAGCCGGGAGATTAGTGACCGGTCTGGAGGACGAGGAGGGGGGGCGGTACTGGTGCTGCCCGACCCAGGCGTGGGCAAGAGACCTGCTGAAGTGGAAGACGGTGGTGGCGGCCGAGGAGGCCAGGGACGCCAAGGAACCTGAGTATAAGTGGCTACTGCTTCGGCGTGGCACGCCGATAACTCCCGGGCTAAGGCAAAGGGGGACGGCAGTGTAGTAGGATTTTGGACGACCCGGCGCGGCTGAGACGGACGGGTCAGGATCTTCGTCTTCGGGTGATACGTCGGGGTTGAGGCCCGTATCAACCCACATGTCACATCGTTTCATTTAGAGTTAATGTGTTACGCCGTTTTAAAATATATTTTTTAAAATATGTTTCATACATAATTAGTTATACATCTAAAAAAATTTCCAAACTTTATTAATCTTTTAAAAAAGAAAGCCTGATGTTGTTTCTAATAAAGTATTCATCATTTTCTATTTTATTAAATCTCAAAATAAAGGTTTATATAAATTTTAATACATGTACATCAATAGTAAAACCAAAACTTTTCTCTCAAAAAGAGATATTTTATACTAAAAAAATATTTATCAAACACATCATATATCATTAGAGAATTTAAAATAAATAATATTTTAGTTTTTAGATGTCAAAATTTAGAAAATATGCCAGCCCGTGCGAAGCACGGGGTTAATACTAGTACTCTGTATACCAAAAGGAAAGAAATTGAATCGTACAAGAAAGGTAATGGCCGAATTAGGACCGTAGATCATGGAAGTGCATACAAACTAGAAAGTTAGAAACACTCTTTGCATGTGACACCAACTTTGTAGAATAAAGTCAATAGTGCGCACCTTGGATGCATATTAATTTTGTAGATCTTCTTACATAAGGTTTTTTTTAGTTTTTTTATTTGAAAAATCAAATGTAATTTAAGTAGTAAAAATGTTTATTTTTTTCATATGTAGGTCCATGGTGGACATTAAATCTACCATAGAATTTGCCTAAAGTCAATTAATATCTTCTCTTCTTTATGTTTTAGTTTGAAAAGGAGTCCACTAATAAATATTCCCTCTATTTTGATTATGACAAACATCTTTATTGTTCGAGGCATAAGTACTTGATGTCTTAACATGATAAGCAAACTAAATGACAAATTTGTGTTTGTCAAGACTAGGGGTGTTCATCGGTCTAAAACCGGACCAGACCAGACCGAACCGGACCGAATACCGAAATATGCCAAAACGTAGACCAAAGACCAGACCTAAATGTACTCGGTTTTGGACCGGACCGAATTCACATGGACCGAACTGGGAAGACCGAAAAGACCGATTTTAATTTGTTAGGGTATTACTATTATCTAAAATGGCTGGAAATTAGGATTGGAATGCTGCTACTATGCTGCCGACTAAATCACTGCCGATTGTCGAAGGCCAATGTGCCCACTTCCATAGTTGGAGAAGAAGATTAGAGAGGGCATGCAAGAATAATCGTGATTAATACATACCTTCGCAGTCCAATTGAAGCCTTTCGACACAAAGAGATGGGAAATCTAAGAAGCCTCGGTCGTCGCCCGTCGTCGGTCTAGCAGCTAGCGAGGTCGGCCGTCAGTTTACTCCCAGACTAAGAGCGTGTAAAGTGACGATTGGGAATTGGCTTTGGGATGGGGTTTTCAATATTTGGGTATTTGGGCTTTAAAAAATAGATATGGACAGTGGGCTTACTGGGCTGGACTATTGGACCAATTGGGAATTAAATGGACTATTCGGTCTAATCGGTCCGGATCGATTGTCAATCGGGTTTGACCGGACCGGACCGAAACCTGAAATGTAAAATACATAGGACCGAAGACCAACCTGAAATCGATTCGGTCCGGGTTCGGTCTGGACCTATCGGTCCGATTCGGTCAGTTTTTTCGGTCTGGACCTAAACATGAACACCCTAGTCAAGACACTTGATGATAAAACACATAGATTTTAGTTTGTTGGACATAGAGGCTTGTTTGACAATTGGTGGTTGGTTGTTTGTATTAGGGGTGAGCAAAAACCGAACCGATCTCGATATTTCTCGAAAAACCGAGAATACCGAACCGAAAAATATCGAAGCGATAAAGTACTGAAAAAAAATCAAACCGTACTGAACCGAACAGTCGGTCCGGTATTTGAGAACGGTACGATGTTACTTCTCATACCGAAATTCTTGAACCGAACATATATACTGATATATTACTCCCTCTGTCCCGCTATATTCGTCCACTTTTGACTTTTGGAACTGTTCATCTAAGCACTTTGACTCATCAAATTCTCTCAATGTGCAAGCCTAAATATAGTCATGTCTGATCTTGTTTGATTTGTCTTAACATATAGATCATTAATATATAATTTCTATAATTTTTTAATATACGGAGTACAAATTATAAGATAAAATGGATTAAAGAAGTGTATTGGATGGTGTGTAAAAATGAAAGTGGACAAATTCTCTGGGACGGAGGTAGTATAAAATAATTATCTTTTTAGATTTCTTCATTAAATAAAAAATTTATATAGACAATTTAGTTTATTTTCATTATGTTTAAGTTGCACTTAAATAAGAATTTTATTTTTTTGTAGATGAGCATAAGAATATTAACAAATATTTGAAATAAAACTTTGTTATCACTCGTTCTCTTTAGTTCGTGAAATATAAACTAACTTTCATTAACATTTCTTGCATTTTATTTTTTCATTTTTAAATTTTTTTGAAAATAATTTCATTCTTAGTCTTTTGAGACTATGAGTGGAAAAATATTTGGTCAAAAGGAATACTTATGGAATATAATTCAAAAACTGGGGACTGCATATAAAAAAACTACAAGTTATAAAGACCATTTATAGAACTTAGAACTTGTTTTGTTCAACTTATTCTTATTAATTATTTTTATTGGAGTCAGATCACGTGAATAAAACAAGCACTTACTCTAATAAAAAGCAAGAATAAGTTGAAGAGAAAAAAGTCACTATCTAACATCTTTAAATCGTAGAAAAAATTATCCAAAATAATCTCAACTTTACTTTGTGTTTCAAACTCAACTTTACTTTGTTTTTCAAAAATAATTTCACCTTTTTTGTAATACATAATGATCCCAACTTTAATGAAATTTGCAAATTTTGGGTCGTCGTTAAGTTGCTAACGGCCGATTAACGGAAACAGTCTGTTTTGCGCAACAAAGTGAAAGTTGAGATTATTTTTTATGAGCTTTAATTTTTTTGTTAGAAATTTTTATTTAAATTCTTAAAATGACTTACTACCACTATTATTTATCTTTCTTCTTTTAAAGATGAGTAAGTTCTCAAAATGATCTTCTCTTATAAGGCATTTTCCAAATCAATCTTCAATAAGCTTTTATTACCTACGTGGTCCTCTATAATTGAGATTTATTCCTATGTTAGTCCTTCATAAATAATCTTACTCAAACAATTAAAAGCCCTCTCCTGAGGTTGGCCCCATCCACCTCACGAGGCACTCAAGCCCTTGTCTCCCAAGGCAACTAAAAGCCCTCTCCCGAGGTCGGCCCTAGCCACCTCACGAGGCACTCGACTCTTTTCCCAAGGTCGGCCTCGGCCACCTTGCAAGTTGCTTAAGACCTCGTCTCCCGAGGCACCCAAAATTCCTCTCCCAAGGTCGACCCCATCCACCTCACGAGGCACTCCATATTTTTCCCGAGGTCGGCCTCAGCCACCTCGCAAAACACCTAAGCCCTCGTCTCCCGAGGCACCAAAAAGTCCTTCCACGAGGTCGGCCTCATCCACCTCATGAGGCACTTAAGTCCTCGTCCCCCGAGGCATCCCGAAGTCCTCTCCCGAGGTTGGTCCCATCCACCTCACGAGGCACTTGACTCTTTTCCCGAGGTCGGCCCCAGTCACCTCGCAAGCACTTAAGCCATCGTCTCTCGAGGCAACCAAAAGTCCTCTTCCGAAGTCGGCCTCGGCCACCTCATGAGGCACTACAGTTATCTCCCAAACGACTTCAACTGCTTTCCCGAGGTTGGCCTTGACCGCCTCGCAAGCTAGGCATATAAGCCCTCATCTCACGAGGCATCCTAAGCCCTCTTCTCGAGGCACTCTTCAATGCCGTCCCAATGCACACCCCCTAGCCCACTTTCTAGGGCACAACCTAACTACTCACAGGGTGGGTGATCTTGTCAAGCTTATTGGCCAAGCCCACCAGTTTATTTTTTTTTATGAGATTTTTTCAGGTAAATCATTATATGAAGGGAAGTCACCACAGAGCAAGGGGACCAAAGACTCCCACCGGAGCCGAGCATGGGCACTACTCCCTTTCATCTCAGAATTCTTCGGCTTAGGGAGTGGGGGACTCCGAGTACTCGGCTCGTGATTGTTACACCGCACACCGTGAAAGTTTGGCAGATCAACATATTGATCTAACATGGCACCGCAGCAGTTCGTGTCATCATGCACTCTTTGGCAATATGGCGAACAGCCCTCGACTCTGGACAACGAGTCCGGGGGACTTGAAGATCACTTCTGAGATTCACACACTTTCTTTACTCAAAGACCTCACACCCTTTTTTCAATGTTTTTCTTGATCCACTTTGTGGGATGAGGTGTACTCTTTTCTTGACTGAGGATTTTTTCCCATCCTCATGGGTTTTTTCCTCGGCAAGTTTTTAATGAGGCATCCCCCGTGGAGTGGGTCACACATTAACGGGATTGTAGGAGGATTTTTGGAAGATGACAAACAGACTGCAGATGATGACTCCATCACCCACTCTTATCGTGATCGTTGTGCGCTGAACAACGAACACACAATGCCCTTTGTACAAGAGCAAATCATTTAAAGACAATGAGCAGATTGAGGCAGACTTTTTTACCGTTATGCTCCGGACAGCGAGTCGGCGGCGCACTTCATGCTCATTGCCTTAATTTCTTTCACTCTGCCACTCTGGACAGCGAGTCGGTAGCGCATATCTTGCTCAGTGCTACGATTTCTTTTACTTTGCCGCTCCGGACAACGAGTCGGCGGTGCACCTCGTACTCATTGGTGCAGACCCTTTCACTTTGCCGCTCTGGACAGCTAGTCGGTAATGTACCTCATATCCATGGGTGCAGATTCTTTCACCTCGCCTTACTCCGGACAGCGAGTTGGCATCATATTCCCTGACTGATGGCGTTGCTTGCCTTACTTCACCGTGCTCAGGACAGCGAGTCGGCGGTGCACTCTAGACAGCAAGGAAGACGGTGTCACTTCACCTCGAGTTCCTCTCAGCTTGGAAAGTGGGGGACTCATGATGGATACCCGGGGCAAGGGGTATCCGGTCTTTGTATAATATTAGTTGAGGCGGTCCAGTCTGTTGGGCCGACCCATTATTCGTGTATTTGTTATTTAGGGCGGCCCAGTCTGTTGGGCCGGCCCATTAATCCGAAACCCTAACCCTAGCTCCTCTATTTATACCCTCTTCTTGGAAGAGGGAGAGGAAAAGGGGAAAGAGGGAGGCTACACAATACCCACACTATTCATCTTCTTCTCCACATTCTTCTTCTTCTTCCCCTACCCTTGGATTCCTTAACCCAACACGCTCAATTTAGAATAAGTTCTTAAAATGATTATTTTTAATTAAGTGTTTTCCTAAAATGGTTTTTTCTAATTAAAGATGTGTACTTGTCAATGTATTTTTTAATTTTACATCTAGTTGTATAGAAAATGACCGTATCGAGAATATACTTTAAATTTACATGATAAAAATACCAAAATACCTCCAAATTAATTATCATTTAAATAACATTATTTACGTATGACTATTTAGAGAAAAAATCTTAATTATTGAAAACCACGTAGATAACTCAAACTTATTAAAAACTGAATTGAGAAAACACCTTATAACACAGAACTATTTTGGGACTTACTCCTTACTAATTAGTCTAACTTTTGAAGAAAAAAATATAAATAAACTAAAAAATAAAGAAAATGAGAAAAAAAAACCTAAAATCAAACACAATTGTTGATATAAATAATGTAATCAATAAAAACTAACCAAAAACTAGTAAGCAATAAAATGAAAATATATGGAGTGGTGGGGTTTAACCCGTTCTTTAAAAATTAATCTTAACTTTACTAGTTCTTTCAAAAAATAAGTAGTACATTAGTACTCTTTATAAGGCATAAAATGCTGAACCCTCCACTTCTTATATTTTTATTATATTTTCTTACCAGTTTAAGTTTAAGTTTTATTTTTTATCTTATTTATTTCATTAATTTTGTATGGTTTCGTTATTTTTCTTATTTCCTTTTCTTTTTATATCTATTTCTTTACTTTTTCAAAGGTAAGACTAATTTTTTTAAAAAAGAAAAAGAAATGACTGTAAAAAGCCATTTTAAAAATTTAAGTTAAAATTTCTATAAAAAAAATTAAAAACAAAAACTCATAAAAAATAATTCGAACTTTTATTTTGTTGCGCAAAACAGACCATTTTCGAATTTTCGTTAACCAACTGTTAGCAACTTATGCATCAAAGCTAAAGCGTGATTATTTTTGAAGAGTAATGCATACATGGTTCCGAAGTCCATATTTAAAATATAGATCTTCTCATATGAATATTTTCATCTTTGCTAAATACTTACTTTTTTTATGTTATTAATTTATTAAGATCCACAAAATAAGTATGAATCTTATGTCTAGGGAAGAATTTGCCATTTTTAAAAGAAGTGTAAAGTTGTTATTATTTTCTACCTGAGTACAATTTTTCCTAATAAACCCCGGGCCTGTTTGGGAAGAGCGTTAGCGATTAGCGTTAGCGTTTTGAAAAGGCTATCTACGGGTAGCGTTTAGCGTTAGCGTTTTCAAAGTAATTTGCACCGTCAAAATTTTATCCAAAACGCTAACGTTAATCTCTAACGTTATTCCCAAACATGCCCCCATCTTCCTTCAATCTAACCGTATAAATATACTTCCCTCTTTACCTACCGTTCTCTACTTGGCATCTCCCTCTCATTTCCCATGGATGCAAATTCCCTGCAGAGCTATCGGACCCTCTCACCTGTGCCCCGAAAGCAATTATTCCATCCGCCGGCAACAGTTCGAGCCGTGGTAACGAGAACAGCAAGTGGTATTAATAGTAGCGGTTCTAAAATTACAACCTCTTCCAATTCCAAGAATGTTTACCGGGATAACTGGTTTGATCGTTTGGCCATCAACCATCTCTCCCACTGTCTCCGAGCTGTCACAGGTTCTTTCTATCTCTCTCTAGTCTGTTCTGTGGTAGTCATGATTTCTCTGTGATTTTTTTTTTAAAATTAAATACTCCTAATTAATTTCCCTATTTTGAAATGACGGATATAGATATACCATATAGGGGGTAACAGGATTTCACAATATCCAATGCAATATTTACATAATTGATTATAAAAATTTCTTCTCGAAAAAATTAAGTGGTTACTAAGTCCCTATATTTTTTCGAAAGTATTTCTTGAATCTTAGAATTATTTTAAGTCCTCACAAGGTTCCTATAAAATCTTTGATGGTGGGCCTCAAAAATCTTTCCAATAGAAAAAAGAAGAAGATTAATTTGGAACAGCCCCAAAAAAAATAAAGATTAATTTGAGACGGGGAGTAGATTTTAGCAAATCAAAATGGCATAGTTGGGGACGCTTCTTCCATCTAAAATTTTGTTGATTTTAAAGTCAATAAAACTAGAGTCAAAATCATATTATGATATGAACTCCCATTCTCCCAAAATTAATAAAAGGGAGCTCTATATATTGAATTGGGAGTGTTAAATCATTAATCAAACGAGATACAAATTACAAACCATGAATAAAATAATGATGCTAGCTTCCAATGGAGAGGGTAAACCACCATTTAAATTGACAGGACTGGGAAGTGGAAAAAATGGGTATGATGGACTTGTGGAAACCACAACAGCGGTTTACCGTAACATTGATTCGGCCCAACAGCAGAAAATTGTGCTTCAAGCTCTGGAAAAATCTATACCCAAGCCCATTCTTTTGCTGGCAAGTACTCCTTTCCTTCTAGTTTAATGTTTTTCTTACTTTTCTTTTTCGTCCCTATTAAAATCAAGTCATATAAGTATGGAACAAGTCACAAAAATTTATTCTCTGCGTCTGAGTGTATTTATTCAGTTTGATTTTTTTCGAGTCAACAAGATAAATTTTGAGCTTCAACTAAACAAAACTTTTAATGCATATTAATATAAAAATGATTTTATTGGACTAATCTTGTTGAGATCTTTCAAAATTTAATTTTATTTTACTAATGTGCAACACAAATTGAGAATAATTGATGTTCAAAATTTATTTAATTTGACTTTAAAAAATCAAACTAGACAAATACACTGAAATGATGTGGTTGGTAGTATATACTCCCTCCGTCCTATAATGTTCTTCCCGGTTCATTTTATGAAGTTTGACTGACTTTATTTTCAATTCAATTTATTTGATTGTAGGTGTTAAATTTAAAAATAAAATTTATATATTTAAAACTACATCAAAAGTATTACAAAACAAGTGGTGGCAAGACTATATTATTTTATCAAATACCTAATGAAAATAGGTAAAGAAAGTGATTAAAGGTTGACCATGTAAAATGTAAGTAGGAAGAACATTATAGGACGGAGGGAGTAACAAGTATGGAACTTTATTTTACACAAATCACGAAAGTTAATGGAACCAGTCACATGCTCCATAAATTATTGTTGTCATGTTGCTCACTTGCTCATTGTGGGTTAAATAATGTGCTCTATATTTTTTCTTTTTTGGAATAAAAGTAATGAGTTCATACCAAAAATATTACCCTCATTTTAAAAAAACCCCAAATAATATTTAATTTATTATCCAACCAGACATGTCTCCCAACTAAGACATTGTGGTATTTGGGGGGGGGGGTGTGGGAGAGGCTTGACCGCCGACGTGGCGTGACACCACGCCGGTTGGGGGGTGACGGCAGTCACCAGGTGAAGGGGGGATTGCTTTGTTTTGTTTTGTTTTTTAGTTCTAACAATTCAAAATTTAACACATCTCTACATTTAACACCTACAATCACCCCACCATATCACATATTTTTTTCATCTCTATATCATACCATTTATATCTAATCATCGCCCATCACCCCTCTTTTACCCCTCCTCATACCACATAGCCTAGTCTCACAGGTAATTAAGATTGGTAAAATAATTTTACACGCACTATAAGTCTAATATCTAAGGAATGGTTTGAATGATTACTTGTAATAATGCTTGTATTAAGTACCCCTATATGTATGCATTATTCTAAAGTGGGGTTTTTAATAATGGATTACAGATGAGAACAGTGCTTCCACAAACAACGTTTATAAGAGAATGTTGCGCCGCCTTCACCACAATATTTTTAACTTGGCTCGTGGGTCCCTGCGAGGTGCGTTGTTAAGATATTTCCTTCTTTTTGAGATACAATGCTACTTAGAAGTGGCAATTGGGTCAACGGGATCGGTTTCGGATTGCATTATTTCAGTTCGGATATATCTTTTGAATATATGTTATAATCAGCTCGATTCAGTTTGGATCGATTTAATTTCGTTTCGAAATTGATTCGGTTCTATACATTTGATGGGATAATATCCCCCGGGCCTAACTAAGCTATTGGGTCAGTCCACAAGAGAAGCCTGCTGGGGATTCCTAACCCTAGGTTCCTACTATGATACTATATAAGGGGTACAAATCCAAGAAGAAAGAGAGCCACCTTCTACATCCCCAACCCATTGTATTCACCCGTTCATCTTCTCCTTCTCAATGGAGCTTCGAGCTCCATCAATGGCTATCCTGCCAATATGCTGTACAAATATGCCTCCGATATATAATAAAACATCCCCATTGGCATGGTACTGCCGAAAAAGGCCCGTGGTTTTCACCGATTTGGTTTCCACGTAAAAGTCTATTGTCTATATTCGTGTTCATACATTTCCTATATTTTATACATATATCGTATAGACCAAAAAATACACACCCGGGGGGTTTTGGTCTATCAACATTTTTTGGTTTTGGTTCGGTTTCGAGTCGATATAAATCGGTTCGGATAGGTTTTGGTTTGGATACAATTTAAATCAGATATGTTCGGTTTTGGATCGGATATATTTCAGTTTCGAATATGTTTCAGTTCAGATATATTTCAATCAAATATATTTTGGATATATATTATTTTAGAGTAAATTTCATAATTGGTCCTTTATAACAAGGGGGTTTCCATATTTAGTCCTCTATTATCAAATATTACTCCCGTAGTCCTTTTTTTAAGGGTGTCTTTCCACAAATGGTCCTTTTTTTGATCTTCTGCCATGTTGGTGTTAATTTAAAGGCTAACAGTATAATTTGACATCAAGATTATGTCTAGTGACGTGTTCTGATATTGGTTAAGCGGATAACACAAAAATAATGACTATGATTGTGGACTAGGATTTTGACGAAAAGAACACATTTATAGACTATGGTTGTACTAGAAAGCTGCTGTAATTCACAAACGACGCAAACAGATGAGTCTTTGGAATTGTGTATGACAAAAAAGATATACTCCCTCCGTCCCTAAATAAACTTCCCCTTTCGTTTTTTCTTTGTCCCCAAATAAAATTCTCTTTTCCCTTAAAAAACTCCTTTTACCTCTTACTTTTTCATATCCTATCTATCACATCATATCTTTTTACTAATAATCTACATATCACATCTTACTTTTACACATCACATCAAGGGTATTTTTGGAAAGTCAACACAAAAATATTCCTCCCTTAAATCCTCAAAAAGTCAAAAAGGGAAGTTTATTTAGGGACGGAGGAAGTATTATCATTGTGATATTACACTTTTAGCCCGCAAATTAACACCAACATGATTGAAGGTAAAAAAAGACTATTTGTGGAAAGATACCCATAAAAAAAGGACCATTGGGATAATATTTGATAATAGAGGACTAAATAGGGAAACCCATGTTATAAAGGACCAATTATGGAATTTACTCATTATTTTAAAATTAAATGTAGAATAAATTCTCAAAATGGTCCTTTGTAATTAGGTGTTTTCCTAATTCAGTCCTCAATACATTTTAAACGAAAATATGAAATGAGCACCTTCTTTGCAGTTTTAGAAGAAAAAAAGGTGAGGCACAAAATAATAAACGAAAAGTATGAAATGAACAAGAGCCCCCATATTGTTTAGAAAATAGGAACCAATGCTTCTTCTTTGCCAGAAAATGACTGGAAAATAATCAGAGGGGGTGTAGGTGCAACGTGTCGAAACCACGATGACTTTAAAATAAGTCTTAAAAATAGAGACTTTAAAATAAGTTTAAAAATAGAAGGGCATTAGTCTCAATTTTCCAAACCATACGGGGACTAGAGCTATTTGGCCCATGAACTTAGGATAATAACTTAATTGTTATTTATTGTAGGAAAAATTTGCATGAATACTCCAAGAAATTTGTGATTTTACGCTAATACTCCGAAATTGAATAATTTACACTGCTGCTCTGAAAAATTGTTTAATTTTATACCAATACTCCGAGTTGCTAACTAAGCAGAATACATGACATTTTAAATGATGACTGTAAATTATTAAGTATGTGTTGGTAACTACGGAGTGATATAAAATTAAAAAAACAATGTATCAGACAAAATAAGGAATTTTAAATTACATATTTCATATCAAATTTATATTCGCTGGAAAGATCTTTAAAATATAAATTCTAGACTATATCAACTTTAAAATGCTCTGATTTTTTATCTCAAACACTATTTAGCTTTAACAAATTTTTGTTTAAACCGACATGGAGGAGGGTAATTATAACGCATTCAAGGTATTTTCTCTATTTTTGTAATTAATTACCAACTTATACTTAATAATTATCGTGTCACCATTTAAAATGTCATGTATTCAGCTTTGTTGGCAACTTGGAGTATTGGTGTAAAATTCAGTAATTTCTGAAAAAGTAGTGTAAATTATTTAATTTCAGATTATTATCGTAAAATCACAAATTTCTTGGAGTATTAATGTGAATGTTTCCTTCATTGTATTTATCATATATGTATCTCTCCCCTATTCAATGTAGCATTGTCTAATGATCGAGGTGATTTCATCCTGCAATACAATAGCTTCCTAAATGCCATATAAGAACAATATATTCAGAGTATATACTAATCTATTTTGCTTTTTCTTAATCTTGTCTTCGGTTTTAGGTTCGGGAGGGAGACTTTATGGAAAGGAAAGAAAAGAACACTGTACACGTTGTGAAATGCAGGTTCTTACTTTTTCTTCACACGCATTTACTCCTATAGCCCTATATTAATGGTCTCTTCTTTCCAATTGAAATTCTAAGGTAAGATGTTAGAAGAAACTAAAAAGAGTCAAAAGAAATTGGAAAACACTGAAAGAAATTGGAAGAAATCAGGAGTTCTCTTCAACTTATTACTTATTCTTATCAGAATCATCAGACCAGATCACATCAAAAAAATTTTAAATATAACTACAACCAGATCAGATCAGATTTTATTTTAATCAGATCAAGTGTAGAAAACAATTCCTAGAAAGAGTTTAAAGAAAATGGAAGATGGGCCATATCAAAGTTGTGCCTCAGTAAATGAATTTTTTGTTCTCATCGATCAACAACTATTGTTGTGCAATAATGTAAATGAAGGGGCATAAATTATAATATTTGTCCAGTTTTTTCTTTTGCTCTTAATGAGGATCGACTTTTAAATTATAATTAAACAAAAAATGCATTTATATTAATTAAATAAATAATATTTTGAAAAATTATTTACAAGACAAATCTAATAAAATTATTTTTATATCAATATCTAATATAAACTTTGTTTAATTAATGGTCAAAATTTGTTTTTGACTAAAAGAACCAAAAATTGACAAATACTTAGGGACAAAGGAAAAAAATTATTAATCGAATGTGAAAAATTAAAGACTAGAAAGATAACAATTGATTTAAAAAAGTGTTTTGACATAGACAATGAAAAAGTAATTGTGTGATCGCGATCCAATATCTATACATAATACTATCTCAGTCCCAGAATATTTTTCTACTTTTAATTTTTTCCATTTATTATTCACTTGATCAAACTTTGTTTACTTTATTTTCCTATTTTTGTTACTTATTTGATAAATAAATTTAGTAGTGTCACCTCTTGTTTGGAAGAAATTTTGGTATAGTTTTTAAATATGTAAATTCTATTTTTTAATTTCATCCCAATTCTCAAACAAAATGTTTTGAAAGTAACTTCAGTTAATAGCGAAACAGGTGATTTGAAATTGGGATGAAAGGAGTAAAACAGTAATGCAAATTTAATCAACCCCGTCTTATGGCTTAAGTTTTCACTCTTCCATTGCTTCGGTGGCGAGCCTCACAACAATGTGACCATACACCATGGGTGGCCCGGAGGGTGTGCAAAGTGGTCAACCGCACAGGACCCCTTAAAATTTAGGGCACCATATTTTTAAATTTGTTAATAAGTTTAAAGCAAAATTATTCTAAAAATATAAAATAGGGCACAAAATGTAAATTTTGGACCGGGCCAATTTTATTTTTTCATTTTTCGGGGCCAGCCCTGCCATACACACCACAATGAACTCTACCTTAGGACGCAACAGCGGCACTACTTCCATGGCATGCCCTTAGTCCTTAGCGTCGTTGGGCCTATCGCAAGTACGAAACTCTCCCATACCCATTTGGGCCTCCCCGTAGGCTTGGCTCAAACCCTAATAGGCCGTGTCACCCTAGTGACGCGGGTACAGAAAAGGAAAGGTAAAAATACCCCTCTTTCTCATTTGTAAAACAATAACGCGAAACGTAACTAATCAAACCCTATCCTATTGTTCAAGCTTTCATGCATATCAAAATTTACCTTAGAATTGAAGTAAAATAGTTAAATTGATCATATCTACACTTTTAATTAGGTTCTTGGAGGAGACCAACTGTGTAGGAATGTGTACCAATCTATGCAAGATACCAACTCAAACGTTCATCAAGAAGTCCATGGGAATGCATGTTAATATGGTCCCTAGTAAGTGCACTATATATAAATAGAAGACTGGAAGTTTTCATAGAAAACTTAGTTTTCAAATAATACAATATTCAATAGTAGTGTACATACATGTTCTACTAATTTTTAAGGGCTCGGCGTTTATTTTTTGCAGATTTTGATGATATGAGCTGCGAGATGATCTTCGGGCAGGTTCCTCCCTCTTCATCGGAAGATCCGGCATTGAACCAGCCTTGCTACAAGTTATGTAACTTGAAGAGAAAGCACCACCAAAATTATTGTAGCAACGAATGATTATAAGTATCGAAACATATATGGAGACACAAGCATAACCAATATTGCGATGTCCGGTCCAATGTTGCGCGTGGAGGATTTAAACCCGAATCTAATCATTATCAATCTTACTTCATGTAGGAGGTCCGGGAGGAGTGATAATATTGCGTAATAGCGTTACAAGTAACGGTATATGAACAAATGTGATCGCTTTAAATTAAACTTATAACAGGCTTACCAAAATGTTTGAATCAAATAAGATGTTGGTATCTAGAACGCGTATGGAAGTTCTAAAACGCTTAAACGTACCAATATACCATGATACTCAATATGTATAGAATATAGATAGACTCTCTTGACCAAACAACACAACTTTACACAATACATTCAAGTATTTTGGCCAATACACTTGAATGCGCTTTGTATTCGAAAGTTATTGTTAAACATTGGTTTTCAACGATTTTAAACATTGAAGCGTTGTGTCTATTCGCGTAACATTCAAACGTTTTATGCCTTTTCGCAAAGGATGCCAGAGATAAATTACACATTGGAATGTATTACTTTAAACATTTGAATGTTGCCTTGCTTTGTACTCTCTTTACGAAAATCAATCCCAGTTAGGGGCTCTACATCTTGAACCCTGCCAGGGACAACGTAACCACGCCTTGGACCCTAATACCAAGGGTTGTTGCCCCTAAACCTCGCTACAGAATTTGTAATTTCGTGGAACAAGCATGCACCTTCACCACCTAACTCGTTAACAACGCTAATTGAATTTCTCATCCGATATTTGTAATCCAAATAAATAAAGTAGCCATTGATAGTAGAATCACCAACACTTCATATTGCCTTCCTATTTGAATTTTTTGACATACTGAGAGGAGGGGGTGGGAAGAGGGGGGGGGGGGGAATCAACCCACCTAGGGTAGNTAAAAGGGGTCCATATAAGATAAGAGCCAGTGTAGATAAATCTCTGTCAAAGCACAACATTTGTAAATAAAACTCCATGCTAATTAATTAAGGTAGAAAAATGGCCCAAGCCAAAATATAGTTGTGTCCACACAGTAATTCAGTTGTCATGAGCATTATAAATATTACAACCTACTCTGTCCCATTCCCAGGACTGAAGTCGTCATATGAAACCAAACCCCTCTTACCATCCGGAGAGCTGGCAGCTCTGGGACTACGATGTGATGATGCAGGCCTTGCACTCTTTGTTTGATTCCTGGGAGCAGTATCCGGTGAACTCGAATTGCTCCGAGACCTTAAAATTGACCTTACTCTACTTGAACGTTTGTGATGGTCATCCACACGAGGCCCGAGGCGAGATTTCAATCCATCGCTGATTGGGGCCCGCCTTTCCACGGGGCTACGGCTGCGTGAAGAGGCCCTCCTGTTGTGCTGCTGCTTGCCAACCAAGTCAGAATTCTTCGGGCTGCGAGAAACACTCCTGCTCCTGTATCGACGGTAACTATACAAACAACGAAGAGGAAAGTACATAAAGTGTTTAGTCTTTAGTTGATTAAATACAAACTAGTAAGATAGAACCTACTACAGGCAGAAACACACACACACAAACAAAGATGCAGTGACAGACCTAGATGGACTCCTGCCTCTTGGAGACCTATAGCGTCTTGGTGGAGAGCGATGCGAATAGTTTCTGTAGCTTGAATACCTAGAATAAATAACACAAAGCATATTTTTCGCTTACCTTGAGGTCACTAATTCTAAGGAGCCTGTCTAGGTACACTTTAATGTACCCACTTTACCAATGTGGAAATAAAGCCAGTCCACATGAGTCTCATGTTAGTTTAATAGGACGCACATGATTTTTTTACCTCTACTCCGTATTTGGTAGTGTAGGGGCATTTAAGTGCGCCCACATGGAATCCTTAGAAGGATAACTACTTTTCATGTCAAACAGAACTCCCTAAATATTACCTCTCAGGATTTCTCTGCTGAATATTCCTTCCACCATAATTGGGCCTATATGGTTGGCGTTGTGGAGATGGAGTGCGATAGCGTCTTGCAAAAGAATATTCTTTAGTAAAGCCACGCCCTTTCCTTATACGCTTGGGATTCCCATCAAGAGATTCATTATGTAAAGGCTGTTTATCAGGACTTCGAGACCTCCCGGTCTCTCTCGTTTGGCCAGAAATTTTAGAGTTTCCCCCAGCCTGTTGCTGCTTCGGGCTTCCGTTAGGAGTCAGGCTTGAACTTTGCTTGCACTGTCTTAGTATTGGCTTAACTTCAGCTATTGGTGAAGCATTCCTGTTAATCACACACACGAAACAGAGTTTATACGCCACCCATGATAAAACAAGCTTCATATGGTTCAAAATTTGGGATGAAACTGAATAACTGTTTCCATCATTAAACTAAGGTCATTATCCTAAATAAGATTCTCAAAGCAACCTGGACTTATTTGAAGGATCAGAACAAAAATCCCTTGCAACAGCTTTATCACTGCTTTGTTCTCTTCCATGACCATTATTCACAACCTTATCATTCTTCGGGGAAAATTCACAATGTTCTGATGGATTTCCCTCTTTTTGCTTGTCTTTTTGCAGTTCTCTCTGAGCTTTTCCAGGAATTTGCACCTTCTTAAAATCTAAAGGAAATGGAAAAGAGCGTAGCAAAATTGTAGAAGCTTCAATAAAAAGACGTGCAATCCAATTCAAATGTGGATGGTTCTCCCCCGGCAACATGTTCGGGCAGAAATATCATTGTTTTGGGGGAGGTTATTATTATGTTGAACATAGTTATTTTCAGACCTTTATGTGCGGGAGATCCGCGCCCATTTGCATTTTCATCATCAGACCTGCTGTTAGTGGTGCTTGTACTTAGACTCCCTGTACTGCTGGAAGTCTCAGAACTGCTAGAACTCTCAGAACTGCTAGTCAAAGTGGGAAGTTCCCCACAGCCAATATGAAATACTAATATGAGATGGTTAAATTTCAAATTAAAAGCAGAATACACCTTTGCTTAATGAAAAATATTATAATACCGATTTCTGCTGTGCTTCAATCTTTTACGACGGATGTTCTTTTTCTTAATACTCTTCCCATTCTTCCTATGAAGTTTCCTTCCTTTTTTTGATAAACCCCGCCTCTTTTTGTGCCTTCCATAACTGGAAGAACTTGAAGAGTATGTTTCGGAAGATTTAGAATAGGAATCAGTTCCTGACGAGTACGAATCGGAACCTGTATCCGAGCTGTCTGTCTCAGACGAAGAGTATCTCTTTTGCCTCTTTGTATCTCTGGCAGACCATTTGGCTTTTCTCTTTGCAGGATTATCAGAACCATCATCAGACGAAAGCTGTCTCGCTGATTTTTTTGTTTTAGCTGGGAATCAGGTGTCGCGTACCAAAGACATACGTACAATAGATGATGAGTAATATTAAAGCACCTACATGATAATGCAGGTTGCATAGGAAAGAAAGACTAAATCGGTTTCCAAATAAAGTAATACCTTTTTCTTCCCCAGTTTTGCCATGAGTCTTACTCTCTAAGATCTCTCCACAATCAACAATTTTCACAATCTCAGTTGATTTTCCATTGGACGTTCCTACCTGTTCCATTTTCCCTAAAACATCCATTCCCTTCACAACTTTTCCAAAAACTACATGCTTCCTGCAGGTCAACAGGAACAATAATTGAAAAGTAACAAGTCATGCCCAAAGCAAAAATTCAATTAAAGGCCTTATGAGTCACCATTATCATTTATGGAAACTGGAAACAAATAATGCATCAAAATCAAAAACATATGACATACCCATCAAGATGTGGTTGTCGTTTAAAAATTATAAAGAATTGTGAACCATTTGTATTTGGACCACTATTTGCCATAGAGAGAAGCCCAGCCTCAGAGTGGTCAAGTTTGAAGTTTTCATCTACAAGGACAAAAAATATCAATGAAAAATAAAACTAAAAAAACCATGTAAACCTCCCTAAATAAATGACCCTACCTGCAAATTTTCCTCCATATATACTTTCTCCACCAGTACCTGCAAACCAGTAAACGAATGTTTCCACATAAATACGTGCATGAGGGATGAAGTTGAGCAAAGCACCGGCACCAATTCAGGTCTAGGAGGACCCTGAAGACTGGAGAGCTGAGAGCATACCATTTCCTTTTGAAAAATCACCACCCTGCAAGGAGAGAGAGAGAGAGAGAGAGAGAGAGAGAGAAGAAGAAGAAGAAAAAAAATATTAGAATATATATTTTGCCAAACTGAAAACAGCTGAGTAAACCTTCTCAAGAAGAGTGTAAGGCACGACAGAAGATAACAGTCTGTTGAATTTTTTATCGAGACTTAACTCCTGGGCAAGATGACATCATACCATTACCACAAACGTAGTAAAATGTGAAGATTCAACTGATAGTCTGATAGTCAGGGGAGGTGAACAAAATTAATGTTTCAACTAACATGATTATAAGTTCATAACAATGGTTAAATTTCATAATAATTCTTTTATAGACTATTAAAATCATTCAAATCTAAAGTTAGGTCCTAGAACTTGTGACTTGAAATCGAATTAGTAAATCAGCTTCTTCTTAAGTTATGACACCAAAGAGAGAGAAGAAAATTAATTTTCCATGAAACACTGAAACATACTTGTGCCATAAACCCTTTGATGATGCGGTGAAATATGCATCCTTTATAATGAAGAGGTTTGCTAGTTGAAACTCCAACACCTTTCTCACCTGGGAAGCAAAGCATAAAACCACATTAGTGACGAGTGATGGCATAAACCATCTGAAAGTCTGAAAGTAATGCATCCCAGTCATAGCACAAGTGAAAACAAACAAATGAAATGGGATGGGCCGATTGGGTTAATATTAAATACTGTAGAAGAAAAACAAGGATTGTAAAATTTAGACATCTGCCAGACTAAATCTCTCCCCTTTGGGCGAATTTCCAAATTTCCACATACATAACTGGAATCAAGAATAATTTCTGCATGATTTAACTAGGAGAACTTTTATGTGAACCCATTCAGACAATCTTGATATCCTAAACTACAAAGCAAAGATAATAGCAAACCATGAATAACACTTTCTGTACAAATCAGAATAGGAATATAGGATTTCAGCTCCCTTGGGAGAGGTATCTTGGAATTACACCAAAAAACAAATCCACAAAACATACCCTCAATGAGGTACCATGTACAGATGTACTCCCTCCATCCCAAAACAAACTTGATGGTTTGACTTCACGGAGTTTGGTGAAAAATGTATGGTTAGAATTTGTTTAGAAAAAATAGAAATGATTTGAGCCACACAATTTTTCCTTAAAAGAAAATAAGGAAAGTGTGAAGTTTATTTTGGGACAAGAGTACCTCACAAGGTACAGTATTTATCTGGCACTGGTTCACAGCTGTCCACCTGTCCCACACATTCTACACCCAAAAAATGATGGGAGGAAAACCTAAAATGGCTCCTGAGATTAAATGAACAGTACTCTATTGACTTTTTTATTGCACCCTTAACTTCCCTTGTTGATTTGATTAGCATAAGAAAATGAGGTTTCAACTTTCTACAATTTACAAACAATATTGGGTGCAAATCTTACCTGTGCAAAGTGCCCGGAAATTTTCAGCTGTCCTAGGAACAATGTCCGAAAACAACTGCACAATCCCACAAAACAAATTTTATTGAGATCAAGTAAAAATGAGGTTGCAGTTAAGGAACTTCAAAAAACAAAAGTGTCAGGGTTGATAACACTCAGAAATGATAACAAAAAATGGCTTCATATCAGAATGACCTCCATAACAATCCTTTGTGGGGGTCCTCCACCAAACGAAACATTGAAGAAGACAAGTGGATTTCCTTTCTTCATCTTTCAACAAAATGCTGAAATATGAACAATTAAACATTAACTCAGAGCATAAAAATTGACTATTTGTTAAGTGGTTACGAAGTTGTACTCCGTAAAAATTAAGTCCATTGGGTCAGTGTTTGACAAATTATGCACTTATTAAATCTTTAAAGCATATAATCTTTCCCAAGTTAAGCAATTATTGGGGTGCAACAAAATCTCATTCGCCGATTGCATAATCCAAAAGCATCAAAAAACACAAGTACACAACTGCAAAAGCAAAAACCTAGCTGAAAATGGATTTCCAAACCTAAAAAATCATAATGGACAATTGGATAATCTGTAATCACTAGACAAATTGCAATCTCAAACATGCTACTGTAAAAACTATCATAATAAATTGCTTCTTGAATAACTAAATGACTCGTATTAGCTAGAATCTTTCACTAACTACTGCCAATTTGTGAAGCCCCACATGCTTTCAGAATCTCTATAGTTGCGGTCTGCAGTTCATTATAGTAATTGAATGTGCAAAGGACAAGTCCCATGGCAATAAAAAGAACAAGGGAAAGAACTCCAGTGCCCTAAACCCTAAAATCCATCCGACTGTCAAGGAAAGCAATAAGCGTCAATCAGCCTTAAAACATAGTTATAGAGAATAAATAGGCACAGTAGCAACGATTTTGCCGGAAACAATACGATTTGGAAGCAGAAAGAACACATTAAGATTTATAGAAACTCGGGCGTAGAGGAGATTCGGAAAAAGGGATCCGTACAGAAAAAGAGAGTCGGGAGCTCTATCAACTCGTCAATTACAACGAATCAGAATAGCTTGGCCTCCATTGATTCCACTGGTACCGCAGCACTTAGGTGTAGAAAAGTACCGTAGTAGGGATTGGAAAGCAGGAGGGTTCTTTCACTCCGTAGTCCTTCGTTCGTTTATGCTGCGGTCCTGCGGGCTCAATGTAGGTCTGTTCTTTTTTGTATGGGACAGCTAACCTATGACTTGGTTCAATTCTAAAACCCGCATCGACCCGCCCAAACTCGGTAGATCCGGCAGAACCAGTGGATCTGGTCGACCCGGCTGACTAGCGGGTTTGGTCTGAAACTTTTTTTTTTTGCTATAAAATAAAATGAAGGTGATAAGATTCGATTACTAAATCTCACCATAAATTTTCTAAGATTATAAATACTTAAGCTACTAAACACTTATTACCAAAATCATGCAGAATAGTATATATAGTGTGTTTTATTTGTGTTGAGAGAATTAAAAAAACTTCTAATTATTTGTAAGAAAGAACATGTTTGTGTTGTGTAGTTATTTTATAATCCCTTAAAATATTTCAAAGTAAAAAATAAATATCATTTTTTCTATTAAATAATAATGAATAATTAATTATATCTAAACAAATATTATCATCTATAAAATGAAGAAATAAATATTAATTATAATAAAACATGAAAAGTGTGAACCAGTATATGAACAATGACATTGAAAATAATATGGAGAAGAAAATAAACACAATTTTAAATATTTTATTTAACATTGAGAATGACATTTACATTTTTTCTTAATATGTGTATCTGGTTCAAATGGGAAGATTAAAGTTAGACGGAGGGAGTATGTGCTTCATATTATTTAGAAATAATAGGCATATTTAAGTTATGTGATAATATTTTATTATCTTTAAAAATAGTCCACAAAACATGGTATTATTTAATTTTTAATATCTAAACATAAATATGAATGTTATATACCAAGTCATGGGTTGTTGACCGGGTCGTTGACCCGAGTGAACCCGGTTCGACCGGTTGACTCTTGACCCTGTGGCTAATCAAGTTCGATGTCCGGTCCGATTTTTAAAAAATTGGTAAAAACATGAGTTAGGTTGAAAAACCCTAGTAAAAGTGGAAATTTACCTAAATAGTACTAAAATATAATTTCTCAATTGATGGGTGTATTCCGCACCAAGAACCGGTCAAGGAAGGCGCTCAAATATCCAACTGGTCAAGGTTGATTTTTTGGAATGGGAGACCTAAAACAACAGTAAAAAAGTAATTGGTTGACCAAAGGTTTGATCGGTACACTTCGGAAAGGCTACTGGGCAAACTACTTTATTCCCTCATTCATCTCCAATTTCCATAAACCCATCCCTCGAAAATCACCCGGTATGATTTTGGGGTTGGAGAGTGTCGGCAAGGGATAATCCAAAGGGAATTAGTCTGTATCAGCCAAATTCAACGAAAGATCATTGGAGATATTCGGATAACCAATCCAACGCGCTAAGTGACAAAGGAGTCACCTTCCTAACTAAATGACAAGGTCACTAGAGAACAGAGGCAATCACCTCGCACCACCTAGGAACGTGCCCTGACGTGGTTGTGCGGCACCTTGTCTCATCTAGCTTACTATAAATATCGTTGTAATCCTCAAGAAAAGGGATTCGATTTCTTCTCACTAAAGCTCCCGGGTAAAAGCTCTCGCGCACTCGACTATATTTGAATATTAATTGGGCTACAGGTACGGTGTCTCCACCTACAGTCCTCCCAGTTACTTCGTGTGTTTTTACCTTTTACTTTTCCGAATCTAGTAAACAATCCTAGACCCGGTCTAGTACTGTTTACCCGGTTAGATAATTTACACCATCATTTTTGGCGTCACCCATGGGACCTTTAAGGTTTCTTTTACCATCATTACACAAACCTACTAACAAAACACCACCTTGAAAATGTCTTCAAGCCAGTTGAACAATACCACTGCTCCGATGCAAGCCACTTCTGAAGGGGTAACCATCCCACTCGTTACTACTCAACTGGCTAACTTAGCATATGTTATGCCGATGGGTTTGAGTCCCATCCCTACGCCAACCATGACTGCGCCATTCGCAGTCCCCGTTCCATCTGCTGGGACAAGGGTCACGTTTCCCTAAAGCATGACCCAATTCCTAAATGACCCGACTAATTTGCAAGCAATTCAAGGATTTGGCCAGGTCATGGCCATGTGTCAGCAAAACGGAGGAATGCCATTCCTCCCGGGTATGTTTCCTTTTGCCCTACCAAGTGCTGGAACATTACCCCTTCAAACCCCGATGGGGTTGTCTCCCTTTCAGACACCAGTACCCCTGCCATCACCTTTCTAGCCACAGGTGGTCAGTGTTGTGGTCCCTGTCAATCTAACTCAATATGACTGGTGCACTCAACGTCGCCGGACCATCACGCCCTCCACAAAGCGCTCACCACCCGCAGAGCACTCCTGATGGTCATTGTGTTTCTGTTGAGAGTGATGACGGTGAGTGGGACATTGCAAGAACCCAAAAGAAGAAGAAGGGTAAGACCCTAAGACTGGCAAACTCCCATGACTCCGCCTTCAAAAGGCTTGGGGAAAGGGAGAACGATCTGAGGAAATCAGTGAAGCTGAGGCTGGGGCAAACGCAGCCCATGTTAGCGCTTTTGCCCGGCGAGGCGAAGGGAGGGAGGTCGAGCCTGCCCGTACCCAACGCACCCGGTCAAACCGGACGAAACCTGCAAAATCACAGGTTTCGCACCGTAAAGAAGAAGCTGAGAGCAACCCTGCGAGCAGGTGAGGAACATGCTGGAAAACCCGGGAGATCGCGTTCAGCAGATAGAGGCGAAACTGGAAAGGTTGGAAAGAAGAGTGGGGGAGAAGAATTACAAAGAAAAACCCCTTGCTGATTCTCCGTTCACTCCGAGGGTCCACTTGACGCCATTCCTGCGAAAGGTCAAGGTGGATGCATCAAGGTTCACCGGAAAGGAGGATCTTGAGATTCACTTGGACTCCTTCAATCAAAGTGCAACCATGATGGGGTGCACAGATGAGGAAAAGTGCCTCTTTTTCTTTCAAACCTTGCGAAATCAAGCCACAGAGTGGTTCAATAAACTCCGTCTAGGAAGTATTGACTCAGTCACAGAACTGGCCTCAAAATTCAAGGCCAAGTTCGAGGAGAACTGTACGAAGAGGAAGAAGTTCACCTACCTCAGTACGGCCGGTCAGAGGAAATCTGAGAATCTCACTCACTTTCTTACCCGGTGGAAAGAGGAGGTGGACAAGGTCGAAGAAATGGATGACAAAACAGTCTTGTCTCTCCTGTTGAATGGGTTGCGTTCCAGAGAATTATACAAAGAGTTTTGCCAGAGACCTTCGGCCACATATCAAGAGGCCTACCACACGGCGTGGGAATTTGTTGAGGCTGAGACCGAGGTCTGGGCAAAGAAGGAGGTGGAGCACAGTTTCAAGCCAAAATCGGTGCAAGTGAAGAAGGAAGATGCACCGGGACCCAGCAAGCCGAGGCACCATTATGACCCAGTCATTCGAGTGGTCAATACGGAGGAGTGCTAGGAAGTCAGGAAGGCACTAGTCAATTCTACCAGTAATCTGGGACGCCACTGGTCGGGCATGTATTGTTCGTACCATAAGTCCGACTCCCATAACACTTTAGAATGTAAAAGTGTTAAAGGAGTCATCCGACAGATGATTGAAAGTGGAGAGCTGGGTAAGGAATACATTTGATTAAATTTACTTCTTGATTAATTAGATTTTAATTCATTAACGTATCCTATTTCTAGCACTTATTAATGTGTCTAAATATGGCTGGCTAGATTATTTGTCCTAACTTATACACAAGTGAGACCAATAATCTGTAATGATTAATTAATAAATTGGTCAGATCTATTCATTAGTTAATCTCATTTTAGACAAATAATCCAATTAACCTTCGATTCATACCTGTTTCTAAATCATTGATTGAATTAATTTCGTTACTGCTATCATTCTGCTTGAATCTTAATTGCTCTAAGTTTTTCTAGTTCAAGATTAATTACTCTATTAGGCCTCGGTTTGGTCCTCCCCTCACTTTGTGATGACGATGATATCTTAATAAAACTTGGTAAGGGTTGCCTAGACCTTACCCCACCGAGCTTGGTGGTTTGCCCACTGGGAGTAATAAAAAAAAGTTAATTAACAAATATTTCCCTTTTCCAATCCTTGAGAGACGACCCAAATTATTCTCCGTTAATTTATTGACTTTCGCTATATTTAGCTTTGTCACTATTTTACTTTGAGGATTTCATCTTTGTTAACATAAGGCTTTAGATTCATGAATAATGAAAGTAACTTTTTCCAATGTAACTTTGGGCTTGTTTTAGAATAACGTTAGAGATTAGCGTTTGCGTTTTGAAAAGGTTATCTACAGGCAACATTTAGCATTAACGTTTTCAAAAAAAATATGCACCGTTAAAATTTTATCTAAAACGCTGACGCTAATCTTTAACGTTATTCTCAAATATGTCCTTGTTAACATAAGGTTCTAGATTCAAGGGAACCCCACCGCCCTACCAATGTTTATCCTCATTATTAACAATAATATTTGATGTTAACATGTACTCCGTATATTGATAAGAACTCCCAGCAAACCAATCTAACCAAATTGGTTAGTCTTTGGCGTAAATATGAATCTTGTTGTTTTTATTAATTATATACTTATACTTATCCATTACATTGTATTTGTTCCATTACTTGAACTACATTTTTTTTAATGTGGGTCGTGAATATGATTGAAGATTTGAAGTTTTTCTCTACATTAATTCTCTCTGATGCAACAAGAAGTGAAATTTATTTTCTTTTATATCATTTGCTATGTTTTTATACTCGCTTGCCTTGTAAATAAATATTGTACTTCTTCATTTTAGATGTCCAATTAAAAATGGAAGAAGTCAATCGGAACTTACCGAACGGTCACCTCAAAGAAGGTAAATTGAGCTTTAGTCAATTTTTGAGCTTTAATCAGATATTGACTGACAAGAGTAGAGTCTGCACCTCGTGTTGCAGAGGCTATATACTTATCATAGTTACGAACCAGTGTAATATATTAGTCACGGATCGAACTCGGGTGACTCTTTATCTAGAATGTAAAAGTAGAAAATCACAAAAGTGTTTGCACTAAATAGTACTCCAAAATAGGCTTAAAATTGCACATTATACACACTGAGATGCAAATTAAAGCTAGTCCTCCTCCCAATTATCATCATCAATTTAAAGCACACATATTTTTTTCTTCTTTTCTTATGGATACATGATGTTTGTAGCTAGTTCAGAAGTGAGGTCTTTTTTTCCTGTCAGCCACAATAGAGAGAAGCCTTGAAACGCCTTGAGTCCACATCTCATATTCTTTGTGATTCTTGCACTCAAACTCAACCAAACCCCTCACCTGTGTCCTCAGCCCAAAGTATCTAAACTGCTCTCCCCCCTCAAACAAATGCCTCCCTGGCCATGCCTCTACATTCTTGCACACCTCTAACACTACATCTGCACGTCATCAACAATTAATTAATTCAATCATATTTATCAAATTTTGCCAAAAGGAATTCTATATTGTCATATTTTTGGTGAGAGGACTCACTCTTCTTCTTTTTGGTGATGGTATTGGCAACATGCTTGCTCTTCATCTTTAGCACCACGTCCCCGCTGCGGTGGATGTAGACGGACACAATTTTCCAGTGTAGATCACCTGTATCGTGTAGATCAGAAAAAGTCAAATGTGAAGTTCTTTTTAAGACCAAGGGAGGGAGTACTCTGTAATTCAGATGAAAAGTTACCGTTCCGGGTTCTCTTGAGCAGCTCGCGGCCTCGGGCTAGCAACTCCTGGTTGCAAACACCCAAGAAATTCTCTTCAATGTCGAGTCCCTCGCAATACCCGCCATTGTTGTTGCTCGTCGTCAGACCTCTACTTGTTCCGTGTCCGTCCTCTGGCGCTGGGGTGACCGTTGCAATGTTCCACACTTCCTTCAATGCCCTTGCCTTCAGAGTAGCAGCTCCCCGCAATGCTGCACGCATGAAAATACCGACACTGAACGATTACGATGATGCATGAGAGTGTTGAAAAATTGGTGACAGAAACCTCTAAAATAAATGGTTAGTAGTAAAAGACTCGAGTCGCGTCAGATGCTATATATCCTCAAGGAAATATTATCCGGCACACTGGAACTTTTTCCCGGGATACAAGGAGTGTCAAGAACCAACTCAACCAAAACCTCAAGCTTATGATTGTAGGTCCAGGAAATGTTTTATACTTAGAAATATTTGCACTAAATAGCACTAAAATTTAAGTCATTTCCCTAAATAGCACTTTAAATTGTTTTATTCCCTAAATAGCACTTAATAATGTCTAGTGATGGCGAACATTTACTTGAATAATGACTAATGGATAATGACTAAAAGTGCTACATTGAAAAAAAACATATGTGATGCTATTTAGAGAAAGTCATTATGTTTTAGTGTTATTTAAGTAAATCCCCTTATACTTATGGATAATGGGCTGCACCTGTGGCGGCGGCGGCGGTGAGAGTGGAAATATCGCCGTGGGAACGGACACTGACGGCAGAGCTAATGGCAGAGGTGAGGTGATCACGGTCGGCTCCCATGGACTCTGCAGCCTCCACACACTGCGCAGCCACCAGCATTGCAGCTGAAGCCACGGCCATGTCCGTCTTCGCGGCGATCTCGTCGCTTCCCGTGGAGGAAGCAGCCGCGGTGGCGGCTGCAATGGCTGCCACCGAAGCGGCCACTCCGGCGACTTGGATCACTGCGTGGAGCTGCGCGTTTTGCGCCCGGCTCTCCTCTTTCTTCTTCTCTCTCCTTTCTTTCAGCCATCTCCCCACTGTTCTGCCACCGGCGGGGGTGCTTCCTCCGCCGCTGCCAACACCGCTGGGGTACCCACCCCTCATGTTGTTTGTGAATAAAGGCTGGAGACTGTTGTTTGCTTGCAAGTACTGCATATATGAGTGAATCCATGCTTCAAATTCAGTGAAATAGTTTGAGAGTGAAAAAACAATGAAAATGTCAAATTGTAAACCAATCAACCGGCAGCAGATAGCCTTGTATATATTGAAACGGAGTAAAAAATGAAGCTTTCAAAATCCCGCTAAATTTTGTTTGGGAACTTTTGGTTTGGATTTCAAATCTTCAATTCTCGATTTAATTCAAATTATATATTTAGGAATCCAAAAAAATTTTGGGCTAAGATTTTCTAATTATTAAGAAAGCTCAATTACAATTGAGTAATTTACCTAAATACGATTAAAACATAATGACTTTCTCAATTTAGGACTATATGTTTTTATTTTCCAATGTAGGACCATAGGACCATTGGTCATTATTCTTTGGTCATTATTCAAGTAAATGTCCACCACCACTGAGTATTATTTCTCCTACTAGACATTATTAAGTCCTATTTAAAGAATAAAAAAGTTTAAGTCCTACATTGGAAAATGACTAATATTTTAGTCATTATTAATATGTAAGCACACTCCACGGTGGCGTTTTGTATTATTGTTTATTTACGCAATTTTATTAAGTATTTGATAAAATAAAATATTCTTGTCACCTCTTGTTTTGTAGAACTTTTGATGTATTTTATTAATATGTAATTTTTATATCTTATTGATTTACCAATTTGTAAATAAAATAATTTCAAAAAGTGGAAAATTTTTCCTCATAGCCAGCAATTTGTAATCAAATCGAGGACGGAGAGAGTATTTAATTTTGAGTTAATGATTAATCTTAGTTAATTCCAAAAAGTTAAAATTGAAAAAATATTGTGGGGTAGATAGGGGTGTAAACGGATATTAATCAGATCGGATGTGCCATTACCAAATCCGTATCCGTTTATTTTTGTCGGATATCGAATTCGGATACGGATCTTGACGGATACTGAAAATCAAAACCGTATCCGCATCCGTCGGATATCGGTCGGATATCGGATATATCCGTATCCGTTTCCAATTTTTACAATCAAATTAAACAATACTTTAATTTTAAATTAGATTAAAGTCAAACTATTATTAAATCAACTCTAATTTGTTATAGGATAATTATTTTCTTTGTTTTCATGATTTATGATATTCTACGATAACTTCATATGATAAAAAGATATACACAGCACACATATACGCATATTTTTATATGTTTGCACATATTTTTATGTGTCTACACATTTATTTTGTATATAAAAATGTCTTATACTTTGAAATATCAATAGAGAAACAAAATATAAACATAAAAAAATTAGGAAAAACTATATATAACGGATCGAATATTCGGATAAACGGTTATCGCAACGAATGCATATTCGGATCAGATTTTAAACGGATCGGATATACAATTACCAAATCCGTATCCGTTTAGTAATCGGATATCCTTAATCGGATACGGATAATATCCGTTTAAAACGGATGCGAATATTTTCTATTTAAACGGATACGAATGCGGACGATAATCAGATTTTCGGTTATCCGTTGACAGCCCTAGGGGTAGAGATGGATGGTAGACAAATATTGTCAAATACGGAGTATCTCGGAGGAGATGAAGTAGTAACTAGTGAGAGAGATGTTGTTATAGTGGTTGAAAATGAGGTCAAAAGGCGAGGGAGGGGAATGGGCACACAGACACAAATTAAAGACGATTTCGAAAGAAGAGAAAGTAAATAGGATTGCAACGAAAAGTAGGGTTGGATTATTCCTATTTTTGTGATCCAAAACAAAACAAAACCCGTGATGATGATTATTATTAATTGGGCGCGGGGACAAAAGTGGGAACTGAAAGTAACAATCCTACAAAAGCTAGTGTGGACTATCCTAAAAAGCACTGATTTTCCATTCATGATAGACTCATCCCACTCTAATCCCTATGCCACAAGCCTTCATTCACTCATCACATAATCCGTCAATTCTCAAAAATAATTAGAGTACTATTGTATGTGGTCTTCCGTACCTAATTCTTGTGTTTCGTGCCCATTTAGAAAATTTGACCAAAATGATAATAAAATTTGGGGTGCAATTGGAATTTAGAAGTCATAGCCCGAGTAAAAATCTGGTGGGAAGGCGGGGTTTATAGGGAGATTGAAGGTTAGAAATCACTTCGATGTCTAAGAGAGCACCCTATAAGGTTGTCAAATGAAGCCAATGTCATAAGATGACACTAAATTTTAACGTCAAAAGAAGTCTTACTGTTCTAAAGTACGGAGTATACGTAGGAGGAAAAAGAATTATGAAGTATTCCCTCCGTCCTAAAACTTTCTTCCCAAAGCACTATTACAACTTCACGGGAATTTATATTTATTTGTGTCTTTTCATGGCCTATATGATAAAATAAAATATTCTTGTGACCACTTGTTTTGTTGAACTTTTGATGTACTTTTTAAATATGTATGTTTTATTTTTTATTTCTATACCAATATTTAAATAAAATAGATTGAAAAAAATTGGGATTTTCTTCGTTTTGCGCAACGAGAAGAAAGATATAGGACGGAGGGAGTATATTTTGAGATTCCAAAAAAATGTCCTCTATAGAGATGATCAAAAACAAGGGGAATCAAAAATATTGAAGTGGCTATTGAGATACTTATCTTATTATGTTAACCTCTTACAATAAAGTAATTAAGGTATACATCCAACCATAATTAAATAATAAAATATGGCATACTATACGTACGTAGGGGCGGTCCCACACGGGTCTGAGTGGGGTCAGCCGGTGACACCACTAAAACTTTGTATGGTCTAATAAAGTTAAGTGACACCATTAAACTTTGTATAAGTAACATTGTACGGAGTATGTAGTATGACAAATATAAAGAAGTGCAACATAAGTGGCTGGGCGAGCGTTTAGCTTGTTATGTGGAGTAGAGTTCAAAATCTAGCTTAGGGACACAAATTCTTTCATTTTTTAAAAAATGAATTAGCATTGACTCTCTTTTCTTTTAGAAATATGCAGTATTTTTTACCCTTTTCGTCATGATTTATGATTTGATAACATGGAAAAATGTCTATGTTTATATTGCAACAAAAAAAAATAAAAATGTAATTTCATAAGTACAAGCTACATCAAAGATAAATTAATCATTTTATTACAATAATAATTAAAGTGTATAAATAAGAAAAAAAGATAGCTTGACAATGAACTCGATCATAAAAGTAAAAAATTAAAATAAGAGATGAAATATTATAAAAGAAAATTATTTTGGTTTAAAATCAATAAAAGTTCTATTTTATACTGTATATGTATATATTACTCCCTCCATGTCAGAATATTTGTCTACTTTTGACTTTTCTGTCAAATTTGGCAAACATTGACCCCAAATTAAATAAAAATGATATTAGATATTGATACTAAAATAGTTTTATTATATTTATTATATAAAATATTGTCAAAATATTATTTTATCTAATTAGATACAATATATATTTTATTTAATTATAGGTCAAAGATTAAAAATGGTTGGTTGAAAAAAGTTAAAACTAGACAAATACTCGGTGGGATGCTATGATGTTGTTTGTCTTTTTTATTAAAATACTTCCTCAGTCTTGAAATAGTTTACAATCTTTTTTCTTTCTTCTTTTAATAACTTTTGTTTATTTGTGTGTTTTTATTGAATATTTGATAATATAAAATATTCTTGTCACTTCTCGTTTTGTAGAACTTTAGACATAGTTTTGTAATATGTAATTTTTACATCTTATTGATGTATCAATTTATAAATAAAATAATTTCAAAAGATAAAAAAATTTGCCTCTTAACTCCCAATTTATAATCAAATTAGAGATCGAGGGAGCATTTCTTGTTAACTTTTTCTTTAATGGAATTTTTTAAGGCAATAACGTACGTATAGTACTCCGTACATTTCGTGTTAAGTGATGACAAGAAAGGGAAAAGGTGTACCCCAAATGTACACCACATGCTTATTCACCATCCATTTTTATTTAAATTTTATTTATTTATTTATTTTGAATTTACTTACCAATTTTTGTGGTCAAGGAGGGAGTGTGGTACATTTATCAATGAACTAGTAATCCATGGGACAAATTGTGGTCAAGCATTTTTTGACAAGAAATTCTGTTTCACCGTCTTGCGTGTCCAGGACAAGTAAACAATGAACAACTAGTAATCCATGGGACAATTCACTTCACTACTTTTAAGATATGGCACATGAAAAATGTTAAATGTAGGCCAATTTTGATTTCACTTTAAACCCCCTTTTTTTAATAGACATTCACTACTGTGAATGTTCGTAAGAAAAATAGGGTAAAAAAGCGGTCAATATTAGTATCCCCAAAGTATAATTACTCACAAACATTTGGTGCGTTAAGGTTTGGTTCAGATTTTTAGTACAAAGTAAATTTTTAATGTTGTTGATCAACTTTAAAAATAAAAGTGTAAATTCCATAAAAGGTCCCTAGTTATAGGTCGTTTTACATATTTAGTCCCTACATATCAAATATTACTAATTTAGTCCCCAATTGTTAGATTCATTTCTACGAATGGTCTTTTGTTAACATTTCCATTAAGAATGTGGATAAAATTGTAAATTCACACTTCTTTTTCTCCTTAATTAAGCTTCCTCCCTTCCCTCGCACTCCTTTCCCAAACCCGTCGCTGAGTTTGAAGCTTTGAACTCAAAACCGAAATCATGACTCTTCTCTCAATTGTTTGTCGAACTGGTGGAACCCAAATTCGAAACCAGTAACCTTCATTGATGAGTTTTAATGTTTATTTTCTTTGCAGTTTCTAGAGACTAACCGATAAAGCTCATCCATAAAGCTTATTAGTTTTGATTTTAGGTTCCACCAAGAAGGCTAATAATTGAGAGAGGAGTGATCATTTCAGTTTTGGGTTTAGAGCTTCAAACTCAGCGACGAGTTTGGGAAAGAGTACGAGAGGAGGAAGAGGAAGCTTAATTGAGGAGAGAGAGAAGTATGCATATACAATTTTATCCACGTTCTTAACAAAAATTTTAACAAAGGACCATTTGTGAAAATTAATCTAATAATTGAGGACTAAATTAGTAATATTTGATATGTAGGGACTAAATATGTAAAACGACCTATAACTGAGGACCTTTTATGGAATTTATTCAAAATAAAAACACCAAAAGTTGCAGTCGTTTACTAATAACATTTTCAATCTACAAAAGCTATTGCAAAACAAAATCCATGTTTTACGAGTAATAAATTTTCAAAAATACAAATTATTTTTAAAAAAGCAAAAATTAAACGTAAAAGAAGTGATAAAACAGACACATGCCAAGATGGTTACTCCCCAATTAATTAGTTTAAGGTTGATGATTACTCCGTATTTTCTGTTTTCTTCAAATAATCCATAAAGTACGATATTAGAAAGACAGTATGTAATCAGTGTACCTTAAGGACATCTTCGAGCTCGTCGTCGGGAGAGACAGGTGGGCTATCAGTTCCCTCTGTATGGGAACTGTTCAAAGGTCCACTGCTGCTATGCGACAACCTTCCCGATGTTAGCGGCGATACTTCTTGCCCATTCTGCATCTTTATTAATATTATTATATTAACCCGGTTATTATATTAAAAAAATATTTGCACTAAATAACTGCAAAATTTATGTTACGGAGTATTTCACTAAATAACATCTAAATTGTTTTATTCCTTAAATATCACTTAATAATGTCAAGTGATGGTGAACATTTATTTGAATAATGACTAAAGATTGATGACTAAAAGTATTACATTGAAAAAAAATACATGTAATGCTATTTAGGAAAAGTCATTATGTTTTATTGCTATTTACGTAAATTCCTCTTATATCAACCCGTTTCATTACTTAAATAACACTTAATAATTTTCAGAGTGACAAATAATGACCAGTGATGACGAATATTTACTTGGATAATAACTAATGGATAATGACTGAAAGTACTACATTGGAAAAAAACCACGTCTGATCCTACTTAGAAAAGGTTTTTACTCCTTCCGTCCATCACACATCTTCTTATTGCGCGTTACGAGGTTTGACCGACTTTATTTTCAATTCAATTTATTTGATTGTAAGAATAAAATTTAAAAATAAAATTTATATAGTAAAAAAAATACATGAAAAGTTCTACAAAATTAGGGGCGACAACACTATTTTATTCTATGAAATGAGTAGTAAAAATAAGCAAACAAAGTAAGTAAGGTTTGACCTGTGAATATTTTCAGGAAAGATCTATGGTGGAGAGAGGGAGTATATTTTACGGCTATTTAGGAAAAAAAATTGTGCATTTGAAACATAAATTGTGGGACTTACCGACTGGGACATTATGCGCTCAAGCACCAGCTGAGAGGTGGCAGAGGAAGCAAAAGGGAATGGGCTTCCGGTGAGATTCGCCGCCGGCAGCTCTTCGTCATCTCCGGCGGAATTCTCCGGTGTGGCACTGCCGTTGGGAGCGGCGGCGGCGGAAGTGGTACTAGGTTTGGGAAGCGAATATGCGGTGGAGGAAGGATGGTGATGGGTCAGGGCTTTGCAGACCTGCAGGGCGGAGACGCTCCACGATCTCGACAGGAACTCCATCGGCTGCCGCGGGCTTTCCGGCAGCGGAATTCCGGCGCCGGAGCTCCTCTCCTTCCCCCTCGAATCCATCGAATTGAAACTGCCCGGGCTGGTTAATTGATTGAGGAATTTTGTATTATACGGAGTATTAGCTATTAGCTCAGCTCGGTTCAATGCTTTTAGAAGAAGATTAGCCAGCGCGCTGCCCACTCTTTAATGCGTTTTGAATTTCTTTCTTCTTTTTAGTAAGCTTTTTTGCCATAGATGGTCTATATATTCAATCAGAGGGGGCCTATACTTTCTGGTCCCGCCCCAAAACTCCATTTTTTCTATACTCTGTATTTTTTTTTTAAAATAAAAACTCCAACATCTTTATTCTCCAACAGTTTTGTGTGTGTTTGTGTGTGGGATGTTTTTGAGTATTTCAATGTGTGTGAATGTATTTTGCTTCTCTTTTATTTTCTATTTTTCTTAGGAAAAAATTACAAGAATACTTGGATAAATATCTAATTTTACAAGAATAATTCGAAAATCGATTAATTACATCATTACTCCAATAATTTCTCTCTTTTAATAAAAACATTGCACCTACCACCTTACTTACACTATCATATTATAGAATATCTAAATGTATTTTTAAAAAGATTACTTGAAAAATAAATCATTGCTTTTAGTTTTCATAAAAAAAATTAAATTACTTATTTCTTGGCCAATTCAAATATCAATCACGTCTCTCAATTAGGTTTGTTTTTTTCGGTTGAAATTCTAAAATTGAGTGTTGAAAATTAGAACAAGTTAGAAAATATTAGAAAAAAATAAAGTGTTAAAGAAATTACTTTATTAAATGATCACCCAAATAAATATGTAAGAAACTAATATTTCACTTGGAGGAAGGAAACATAATTTATTTATTTTTTTTGTGATGAAAACTAAAAATAAAAATCTATTTTTCAAATTATTACTTAAAAAATCCATGTAAATATTATACAATATAATTGTGCAAGTGAAGTGACAGGTGGAATGTTTTTTGTAAATAGAGAGTAATTTAAGGAGTAGTGATGTAATTAATTGATTTACGAAGTGTTCTTGTAAACCCAAAAATTTATAGGAGTATTGTTGTAAAATTTTCTTTTTTCTTATAGTATTTTCAATAGAATGCTCACATTCTTTAATTTTCTTTTCTTTAACTTTTTGATCCCCCAACATTTGTCTAAGTTTATACCATATCCCTCTCAATGTATATGTCAAATTTACCTTTTCAGGTTAAACTTGACAAATAATGTGGGTATTTCTCTGTATTAGTGCTTATTGACTTATTGCATATAAGCAGGTTTTAACTTATAAGCTACTTATAAGTTTAAAATTCTTTCGTGTAGATTAAATGACTTAAATGATACTCCCTCCGTCCCCCAGTTTTTGTCCACTTTCATTTTTACACACCATCCAATGCACTTCTTTAGTCCATTTCATCTTGTAATTTGTATATCAAAAAATTATAGAAATTATATATTAATATTAATATATAATTTATATACTCCGTAATTTTTACTTAAAAACCACGTTTCCGTCGCAGATTTTGGCCGAGCGACGACAAATCTGCGACGGACGTCTTTGGTCGCAAAGTTGTCGCTAATATGGGATCTGCTACGGATTTAATATATCTGCGACGGAATTTTCTTGTCGCAGAAATGACAGATTCTTGTAGTGATAATAATCTACTCCGTATATGTTAAGACAAATCAAACAAGATCACACATGACTATATTTAGGCTTACACATTGAGAGAATTTGATGAGTCAAAGTGCTTAGATGAACAGTTCCAAAAGTCAAAAGTGGACAAAAATTGGGGGACGGAAGGAGTATATAGGTCATTTGTGAATATTCATAATAGGTGAGAAATAATTTTGTAAGTAATCTGGTCAAAACGGAGAAACAAAAAAACTGACTTAAAAATAAAAAATCTATTTTTCAAATTATTACTTTCTGGTCCCGCCCCAAAACTCCATTTTTTCCATTCTCTGTATTTTTAAAATAAAAACTCCAACATCTTTATTCTCGTCATTTTCAAAAAAAAAATAATTTAAGAAATTGTCTTTTCGAATTGAGAATTCCCACGTTTAATCCACTAACAAACTAAGTCATTGTTCCGTTCATTTATTTTTTCTGTACTTTTCTTAATCTTCTAAAAATCAGATCATATCAGATCGCAAATCAGAACTACGAAAAATCAGATCAAATAAAAAAAATAAGTTGAACGGAACGAAGCCCAGACTCCTTATTTCTAGTTTTTTAGGAAAGTTGGATGTATTAATCATTAAAAATAATGTCGACTACAAAGTCCGGAGGAGATGAACACCACTTATTGGAAAATATTTGTATATATTTTGTGTTTATTGTATTTCCATGTTTATGTAGCACTACGAAAAAACGTGGTTTTGGCACGGACGGTAGCTTTAATTTCCCGTGACAAAATGCTAAAGCATGGATAAAGAGTGCTGCCAATTTCGAGGCTCCAAACTTTCTGGCATAGATTTTGATTCCGTGCCATGATTAAGCACGACTTTGTCCGTGCCTATACGTTCCAAACTCACAGCCCCAGGAAAAACATTAAAGTTAGTAGGCACAGTTTAAGCAGTGCCAAGGGGACATTCTTAGGCAGACACTACAAAACGATGGAAAGTATTCGTCACAAATAGGCACAGAACGTTTTCGTGGGAAATATTTGTTCTTGCATAGCCATGACAAAGCAACGGTTGTTTCCGTCGCAACACCTTACCTTACACATTCTCATATGAACGAACCATTCCGTGCATATATAAAAAATTTCAACCCGTGAAAAAATTTAAAAAATTGAATATTTTGTCACAAACATATTCATGCCTAAAACAATTTAAAAAAATTTAAACAAATTAAAAATCAGCAGATATTAATATAATTATGCAACACTAAAAGCACCTAATAAATCACATCATAGACAGTCATCATGATCTGAATATCACAAAGAAATAATCTCAATCACATGCATCAAACAAATCACAATAAAGTAGTTTTAAAAATTATTTGTGTTCAAAAAATTGTTAACATCACGGTAATTTAAACTGTGTCCTTCAGATAAATTTTGAACATTTGGAATTAGGGAGTGCTGAGGTTGATGAAACATTGGCATGAGAGGTTGGGAGGCATAGAAATAAGCAGGGGTGAGATGTTGATTCATCAGAGGGCTTGGACTTCGGGGGGTTGCATTAAAGGCCAAACTTGAGAAGAAGACAGGCCTTGGGTCAAAATATTGACCGAATCCTTCAATCCCTGAAATTGAGCTAACAATTCTTGGTATTGAGCCTGATATTTCTTCTCAAGATTGGCATTTTTTCCATAATTTTTCTTCAAAATTCTTCTCTAACTTCTGCTCCAATTCGCTCTTCAGCTCGGCAGCATAGTCTTCGTAGCTAGTCCCGCCATAAGACAATGCACGAGAAGCACCAGCTACACAGCCCCTCCCAAAGACCCTATTGTTTTTGTTCCCCGTCACCTCTGTGTACAGGCCAAGGTCATCTTCCACTTCTTCCTTATCAATGTCATCAAAATTTACGGAATTGGAACCCGACCCGGACAGAACCATCACCAACATCGTCATTTCTCGCAGGTCGTAAGATTACGTCTTTCAAAACTATACATCAAAATAAAATCAAATTTACAAAAAGTACAGTATTGTAAACAAGCATCAATTAATTATATTTATTTGAGAAAAGAGTAGTTTTTCACTAAACTTATGTTTAAATATTAAACTCTCGCATAATATAGAAAAACAAGTGAAATGAAATAAAACATTTATCTAAACATACTTTTTGAATGGATGTAAAGAAACTTAAACGCAAGAAAAATCTCGTACCAGAATTGGTTTTGATATTTTATATACTTCGTAAATGAATAGATTGAAATAATTTGTGGATGAGGTGGTTCTCTTATGAGGAATTTACTTATAGAGCACTAAAATATAATGACTTTCTATAAATAGCATCACATATGTTTTTCTTCCCAATGTAGCACTTTTAGTCATTATGCATTAGTCATTATTCAAGTAAATATTCATCATCACTGGACATTATAGAAATTATTAAGTGCTATTTAGGAAATAAAACAGTTTAAGTGCTATTTAGAGAAATGACTTACATCTCTTATATACTCCATAAATGAATGAATTGAAATAATTTATTGCACTGAGAGTATATACGTCATAGGCATAGACGTTGGCACGACATTTCCGTGCCTACAAAAATCTATATATTCCCTTGCATCCTTTTTTTCTTTGTTGCTCCAAGTATTAGAACTATTATTATGGAAAAAAATGATTCTCGTGGAGAAAAAAATAATGAAACATTTTCTGAAAGATATCTTACACATGAAAAAAGGATTAGAAGGCTAGAGAAACTAGTTAGATATTTTGATAGACTTCCGATTCAAAAACCAAAAGACGAGAATGATGAAGATAGATCGCACTGTGCTAAAGAGCTTAGAGAGAGAGAGAATAAAGAGGTGAGCGAAGGAGGCTTTGGAATGGGACATGACAACGAGCCATCGGAGAAAGGTAAGCGCATTTTGCTGACCGAGGTGGTTGTTGGTCATTCCGCTACAAACGGTGAGCATGTCGGTACATCCTCCGGAAAACAGTCCACGGTGGATAATGCGAAGATGGTAATGTTGATTATTAATAGCTTATAGTGTTCAGAATTTTGGCTAACAAATTTATCTTTGAGGGATAGTAGTAGTTGTTTCTCTACATTCGTTTAGGTGCTTGTGAGGAGATTTGCAGCCAAAAGCAAGATCCTAGCAAGCACAATAATTGACATGATCAGAATGCTTCAAGAGGCACTAAGAGAAATGTTTGTGGATGAAAAATTTTGTAAATTGAGAGGTTTAAGACACCGACTGATGGGAGTGGATGACAAGAAGGACGCGGTTCTTGACGTGTCATCTAAATGGAAAGATATTCATTATTTAGATGATGATGCATACTGGAGCAGCGTTGAATTGATGGCAATTGCAAAAGAAATGGAGAGTGCTGTGGAGGTGAAGTCTAAGTATCAGGATTTTTTGAGTGATGTGCCATCTTTCTCCCTCGGAATGACGAAATTGCATTTTCCGAGGGAGAAAGACGGGCTGCTCCAGTATGCATCATCATCTAAATAATGAATATCTTTCCATTTAGATGACACGTCAAGAACCGCGTCCTTCTTGTCATCCACTCCCATCAGTCGGTGTCCTAAACCTCTCAATTTACAAAATGTTTCATCCACAAACATTTCTCTTGGTGCATCTTGAAGCATTTTGATCATGTCAATTATTGTGCTTGCTAGGATCTTGCTTTTGGCTGCAAATCTCCTCACAAGCACCTAAACGAATGTAGAGAAACAACTACTACTATCACTCAAAGATAAATTTGTTAGCCAAAATTCTAAAGACTATAAGCTATTAATAATCAACATTACCATCTTCGCATTATCCACCGTGGGCTATTTTTCGGAGGATGTACCGACATGCTCACCGTTTGTAGCGGAATGACCAACAGCCACCTCGGTCAGCAAAATGCGCTTACCTTTCTCCAATGGCCCGTTGTCATGTCCCATTCCAAAGCCTCCTCCGCTCACCTCTTTATTCTCTCTCTCTCTCTCTAAGCTCTTTACCCGTCCACCCCTTTATTGCTGGAAATAGCCTTGGAACGGTAGCAGTGAAAATAGCGACACGATCAACGTAAAAAACCTGAATGGATATCAATTTATTAGATTCACAAAAAAGCAACATATTATAGTATTAATGCAGACTTACAACTTACCAGCAACAAAACGAATGGCCTAGAAAAATACTTCCCGGGACTCTTCTCCCACTTCATCTTGTTGTCGATCAACTTTTCTAGCACATAGTATGACCAATTTAACCTTTTCACTCTGCCCACATCTCTCAAGTGGTCAAGGACCAAACTGTTAACATAACCATGTGACGTACCATCAACCAAAAGCGACATCACTAACAACACAAAATGTCTAACAAACCATTCACCTCCCTCCTTACACCCAAGCATCTCATCAGCCAACTCCGGTGGGGTTATTCTGTTATTACACTTCCCAAACTTCATCCTCCACTCTTTCAATAAACCAACATCCCTGTTGCTCTTGTTATTCTCAATCTTGACCCCACCATACGGCAAACCAAGTACAGAATGCACATCAGAGGCTGTCATGTGCAACTTCGTACCATCCGGCAGCACCAAACTACTCCTCCGAGCATCAAAATTCTTCACCAGCCAATAACCTAATCTTCCTGGCAGTTCTAGAATATTCATTCCCAAGATTGAACCAAATCCAATTCTCTCTACCTCTTCCCGCTGCAAATCATTCAGCTGCTTCATAGTTTTAGTAATCAGGTGTGGCGATGACCTTGACTTCAACCTAGGATATGGAGCCTTGATATCTGCCAATTTGACTCTCCTTTTCCTCTTTCCTGCACTTTTAATAGGCATGTGGTGGACTTCAATAGCATTGCTATGTTCACTTCATGTGTCCCCCTTTGTATCAGCTTCATCATCCTCATCTGCATCATTATCAGTCTCACCATCATCATCAGATGCTGCAGGTGCATCATTATCAGTCTCAAGAGCATCATCAGATCCTTCTTCATCCTTAGAAGCTCCATCCTCATCTCCCTCATCTTCAACATCCATTCCATTATTGCCATCTTCACTTTCCTGATCATCCAAGGAGCTGTCACTATCATCAACAATCTCCATGCGCACAGGCTTATTGATTCTTTCAATCCTACATCTCACGTTCCTCAACCGATCACTACGGCGAATTGGTGTTGCAAACGACATTGATCATGAACCCTTACCGCCACTAACCTTCACTGCCCTTCCAGGACAGTCCTTCATCATACAAAAAAAACACTCAAACATAAAAAAATGGGAATTATCACAGTGCAATGTATTTCAAATTCATTAAAAACACATTTACTCATTAATTTATCAGCGAGGGTGCAGACATGATCCACCCTAATGAAAAACATAACACACAGTGGATGCATTAAAACACACAAAACTGTAGCACAACCATAGCATTTTATAGCATCACACCATCATTTACAGATTCATGGTCTGCAAAATTATCACAAATCATCTGCACTCCTTAACAACCACTCTCACTGTTAGAATAGATGTCAACATGTTCATTACCATCATTAGCATTTTCTCCAAGCCCTGCCGTTGGTGCCTCGCCAACACCTTGACCTAGAAATGACACACGAATACAAATCGATTTGTATCAACCCCCATCCAAACAATACTGTGTATTTTGACATTCAAAGAAACACCAATGCAATTAATTCAAATTTATTTCAACACAACAAGAATACAAGACATCATTTTTACTCTAAAAATATGCATTTTTTACAAGTTGCAACTTAAAGTCACAGAATTAAAAAAAAATACAAACCATACCACATTACAAAAAATAAATCCTAATTCTCTAAATACCTTATTCCATTTATGCAAACAAAATCGCCAACTAATGCAAACCAAGAGTATAGAAATGCATCAATATAATAGAACCACTTACCATCACAAGTTAGTGCCCCTACATAACTAACCAAATGCATCAAATTTCTCACACTCTCTCTTAGAATCCAGAATCTGAACATGCACTTTTTAAAATATGCATTCAACTTGGTCTACTGATGCAAAACAATTAGGAAGAAATGCACGAATACAAAACACCCAAAACACTCTGTTCATGTAAAGAAAAAACACTCTGTTCATGTAAAGAAATCTCAAACCACTACAGGGCCACAGTATAAACCAACCAGCAACCCTAATTTCTCAGCTTCGTACTACCATCAATTCTTATTCTACAGAGTGCAACACAAACAGTGGGAGAATGATACATGCAAGTAAGATCAATTAACCTACTAGGCGAAGGAGTAGAAGGAATAGAACCAATTTCCAAATGCACCAGAAATTTATGGACATGCAATTGCATCTCCTCACCACCGAAGCATCTCACATCTACAATTCATAGCTAACGATGCAACCAGCACACACAATTGCCTGTAATGCCCTTAAAACCATTTAAACCCCCAAATTCCCCATAAAAAACGCAAAACGAGGAATTACAGTACCTTTCCGGGCAGTTGCATTCTTCGCCCTCCTCAAGAACACCATGGATTTTCCGGAAAGGTATGCATCGTCGTTGCTCGCCATCACTACCACTTGCTACTCCGGTGAACGTGCTCAAAATTGGGATGCAAAGCTCGAGAATGAGTTCTGTAAGGACTCTGCAGCTTCAAAATTGGTAAGGGAGAAGAAATTTTTTAATTTTGGTAAGCGGGAATGGCGGCTTCGTAATAGGCGCACGTCCAATAAAGCATAACGGAATGACGGAAATGACCCTCCAATGGAACGCGCCTCAAAAAATACACCCTAATAATTACCAACCTTATTTAGATGTAAATTGCGGCCCACTAATTGTAAAAAAGACAGCCGCAAGATCTAGTGCATCTAACGGATGAAATTCATTCTCATTTCTCTTCACAAGAGTCATTCTCACAGAAACCGCACCCTATATATATATATATATATATATATATACTGGTTCGACCTGTGAACCAGTATCGTAGTCGGTTTGGTCACCGGTCCGATTATGAAAACTATGTTTATACCACATCCATCTCGAAGTTTATGTTGAATTTACCTTTTCACGTTAAACTGGACAAATTCTGATCGTCAATTAAATAAAATAATATTGAATATTAGTACAAAACTGCTTTATTAGATTTATTTGACAAAAAATATCAAATTCTTTTTTCATTACTCCGTATTTAACATGCAATGCAAATTTAATATAAGATTCATCCATTTTGACTTTTAACTCAAAAAAGTCTAACAAATAATATGGGGCAAAGAGAGTATAAGCTAAGTTACATTATAAATTAATGTATAAGCTTATTTATTAAGTGATTTGAATCTATGAGATAAGTAGAGTATTAGTTTACTTTTGAGTACTGCATTAGTTTACGGTAATAAAAGCAACAATTATAAAATGTTTTCAAATCCTTCTTTCTTGTGAGTTCCACACTTCCACCCTCATTTGCCCTAGACTCCTAATCTTATAAAATAAACATGTTCTTTCTATTACAATGCCTACTTCCTAGTTTTGTTATTTGATATGCCCACAGATTGAAAAACTTCTCTATAAAAGAAAAATCCACTTCATGAAAAACCTCCAACAAATCCTTTCCCTCTAGTCATCACCTCATCAAGAAGTATGTACTCTCAGTAAGCAATAGACAATATCTGTTGGAGACAGATGACCCAATATGTGCTTTCCATCTTGAATTATTGGCTCATATAATGCACCATAGGGGATAAAATTGATTATATTAAGAAGCAATACCATTAAGCGGTCCATTTGATTGCAAGCCTTTACTGCCATAGTATTGATTAGTAGTTGCCCGAGAGAAATCGGCAAATGTCATCCCATCTCTTAGCCTAGATGAAAGTGATGGAACGATACTACGGATCATTTGACTTAGTTTATCCGATTCCTTCTCCCCTTTGGGCAAGTCCTTGGTACAAAGCCTGCTCCTTTGATCATTTAGGTGTAAGTGCTCAAGAGGATACTGCGATAGAGAGAATGTTTTGTTCCATGCAGGCTGCAAGAAAACTACAAATGTTTCCCTGCTCAAGTTGTTAGGTTTCGGAGGTCTGCATACGCGGTGAAGTGTTGCTCGGAGCTTCCCCATGGACAGTAAATCAGCCGCTTCCCCAACCTGCACAATCAAACTCTCTGGAGGTGCCTTCACCATGAATGTCTGATCTTTATTGGCATGAAAAATTTGCAAATACGTGTGTCCACTCGGGGAAGGGGTTTCTTGATCACAAGGCACACACGAATCCTCACTTTCTTCAGTTATCCCTTTACAGTTAGATGACAACAAAAACATTGGCACAGTCAACATAGTGAATATGCCGTAGTCATAATGCCACTGCTGCCACATGGTAGAGTCACTCAACTTCTCATCACAGCTCTCACTTCCAAACCGTTTAGAATCCATTTTCTTGTTCCTTTTTATTTGATTCTTAGTTTTAGATCCCTTCTTCACTCTTCTGTTAGCAGCTTCTTTGATGATTTCATTGTCAATTGTTGAATGGTAATGGATAAGCCGCCCCTTTGCAGTGCCCGATTCCAATAAGCTCTGCTGGAGCTCGTGTCCTCCAATGAATTTATCACAGATTTGTGCAAGATGAAGCCCTACTTCCATCATGCAGTACCCTAGGCCATTGAAGAGATCTCCTAAATTCTTGAATAACACACAATCAGCCTCAAAAGATTCATCTCCTCTAACTACTCCAAGCTGATTTCTTTCGCACGAAGAATTACTCTCAAACCTTTTGTCATACTTCAGATTCTTCGCAAATGATGACACAACCCTCTCTAAATTTTTCAATGGAACATCACTTCCCAATTCATGTTCCTGTAAATTGTGCTTCTCTTAACTACTCGACACATTACGCAATTCATCTACAGAGATCTTAAGCGAGACTGGGGAAAATGTTGAAATTTTTTTACCTTGAGAAGCTTTTTACGATCTTCATTGTTGAGAAGTGCGAGCTTGCGGGACAAAGGAAGTAAATTTCGACGGAAAGTTGCAGCTCCGGGGACTTCGGTGACGGCAAGCAGGCCCGGCCCGTTTGGACCTAGGGTTTCCACCACCATTCGGCCTACAGATTCCATTCGTTGAGATTCATCGGCCGATTCTACGACCTCGTTGGCAGTGAATAGTAAGAGATCCGAGTAGGTTAGCTCGTAAAGCTCCATCGCATCACCGGCCATTTTCGTGCTAGCACCGCTAGACCATTCTTGCACAGCTGGTTATGTCTAAATGTCTAATGGAGGGACCCTCTCAGTTCAACTTATTTTTTCTTATTCTTATTAAAATCAGATCAGATCAGACCAGATCAGATCAAATCAAATCAGATCAGATCGAATCAGATCAGATCAGATCCAATCAGATCAGGACTTATTAAAATCAGATCCCATCAAGAATTATTATTATTATTATTATTATTATTATTATTATTATCATCATCATCATCATCATCATCATCATCATCATCATCATCATCATTATTGTTCTTAAAAATGAAAAAAGAATAAACTTTAGAAATAGGTTAAATAAAAAACTGAGAAAGTAATCCTTAATTATTACACGTCGGAAAAATTAGTCTTAAAATACATTGATAATGTCAATCTAATTCTACTTTTAAAATATATTTTTATTGCTACTTGTAATTTGAGTTTCTAAACCTTTGATCTCTTATAAGGATGAGATATTTTAATAAAAATACTATCTCTTCTATATATTGATTATCTAAATTTAATTACTTTTTAATGTATATCTAAATTAAATATTTATTCTAATGTATAATTCTAATTTTACAAAAAAATAATCATAAAATAAAAAATATTATTACATTATAATATGAATGATTATTCTAATATATGAATTAACTATTTTTATTTTATTAAAAAATAATCATTAAATAAAAATATTGATTATATTATAATATGAATTATCATTACAGTTTTCAAACGTTATTATAATGTCAAATTAAATTATTGATTTGAAATTTTAAATTAAATCATAATTAATCAGATCAGATCCAATCAGATCAGATCAGATCCAATCAAATCAGATCAGATCCAATCAGATCAGATCAGATCCTATCAGATCAGATCAGATCCAATCAAATCAGATCAGATCCAATCAGATCAGATCAGATCCTATCAGATCAGATCAGATCAGATCCATTCAGATCAGATCAGATCCAATCAGATCAGATTAGAACAGACCAGATCATATCAGAACTTATTAGAATCAGATCAGATCAGAAAAAATAAGTTGAACGGAACGGAGCCTAAGTTCATCTTGTCTCAATTTCATCTAATCTCAATATACTTATATTTAAAGTCGTTTATGATTTGATCTCATCCCCTTAAAAAAGTAATAAAAAATAAGAATAAAAGGGTTTTTGCCAATGCGCTGCTTTTAATAATTTAGCTTCTGCTTTGAGTGGAAGTGATTTTATTCTGTTTGACATTTCAGCTTCTGCTTTTCACCACCACTATTTTGTACATAGAGTACCACTTCGGAGAAGCAGGTATGAGGTGCTTTTGATTTCAGCTTTTGTGGAAATCACTTTATACACAAGTTAATCACTCCAAACACCCTCTTAAGTTGAAGAAAACATGATCTAAGTATGATCAATTTTTTCTAATGGTAATTTTTGGAGATGTAATACGATATTAGTTTTGAAGCATAAGAAAAATGAAACTCCCTCCGTCCCCCTGTATTTGTCCACATTTGACTTTTGGAACTGTTCATCTAAGCACTTTGACTCATCAAATTCTCTCAATGTGTAAGCCTAAATATAGTCATGTGTGATCTTGTTTGATTTGTCTTAACATATAGATTATTAATATATAATTTTTATAATTTTTTAATATACAAATTATAAGATAAAATGGATTAAAGAAGTGCATTGGATGGTGTGTAAAAATGAAAGTGGACAAATACAGGAGAACGGAGGGAGTATGAGTTTTAAAATCTGAAATGATATTATTTAGAGATATTTAAAATTATAAATTAATTAAGGACATGTGGAGTACTAGACAACAGGATGATTGGCGTGATAATCGTAGCCGGTGACAGAGAATGGTCAACGATTAAGGGAGATATTATACTATTTGAAAATATTAAATTCAATATCTCTTACGGGCTCAGCAAATACCAAAAAAGTTCCGATGTCTAGAGATATTAGATATCATATCTCTTTTGCTCACCAAATTCTCTTAATAATCCCTTCGCCTGAAAATGATATCTTATTTGACTTTTCATGGTCTCTAATAAAATACTTTGACAATTAGTATCGACAGACACACACACACATATTATAAAAACTTAATATTCTAAAAGTAAATTTTAAAAGAAAATTATTGATATTACATTATATTTGAAAATAATATATTTTTTCCGTAAATTCAAATCAAAGTTTACAAACTTTGACCAAGAATAATAAAATGAGAAGATCATTTTCGGACAAAAGAAGTATAATAAATGGTTACATGTATTGGGTCTCATGAAAAAAGATACGAACATACTAGGTGTACCTCAAAGATTGTACCCAAAACATATTTCAAATATTTACACCTACATTTCCATGCCTTGTATTAATACAAAATATTAACAGGATTGCAAAATTTCACACATTTTGTGTCAATATAAGCAATTAATCTACTACTTACATTGACACAAGATATAAGTGTAAACTTTGAGAGTACGTCTTTGGAGTATACGTACATTTTATTAAAAAAGATATATATACTCCATACAAAAATCAATGGCGTGGATTTCTTATCTCATTATCCTCTCTGTCTGGTAGGGGTGAGTGTCGTACGACATTTGGTTCGTACTGATATCGTACCAAATATTCTGGTTCGGTATGAGATTTTACATTGCACCGTACCGATTCCGATCCCGATGTATCGATTGAGTATGGTTCGAGATGGCCGGTTCGGTTTTGGTAAATACTAGGATGAATATATATACGTATCAAGTTTATACATTTTAAAATATACAAGACTTTTTATTTTATAAAAATCAAAAGTACATTCAAATAAAGAAAGACAAACAATTGAAAAATGAATAATTAAATGCAAAAATGCTTATAAAACTTAGTTTAATTTATACTTCATATTTCACAAACAAAAGAGAATCGAATGATAACAAAATATCATTTCAAATGTTTGTTAATTTCTTTATATTCATCTACAAAAAATAAAAATTCGAATAAATGATTATATAAATAAAAGATTATTTGTAATTCATGTAAACTTGAACCAACTTTTCAAAATTAATTCATTTTTTAATGAAGAAATATAAAAATATTGTTATTTTTATAACATATTTGTATATATGTTCGGTTCGTGATTTTTCGGTAAAAGAAGTTATCTCGTACCGATCTCAAATACCGGACCGATCATTCGGTTCGGTAAGATATGATTCTTTTTTGGTATTTTATCTACTCCTTATTTTGTATTTTTGGGTCCTTAATCTCAATTTCCCGTTTGGTACTTGCTCCCTTCCGTTAACCTCAGACTTGCCCAATCCCACTCGCCTCCTGCGCATCCTCCTCCATCGCACACTATCCTCCTACGTGGCTGACTTCCAACTCAGGTTCTTCTCCCTCCGGCTCGGCGTAATAATTCTCCTCCGACGCGGAGACCTCATGCGCAGCCTCTCCTCCGGCTGGACGTCATCCGAACTTCAGGCGTGTAATCATCAAGTGAGTTTCAAATAGTAGAATTTAATACTATATTTAAGTGTTGGTGGGTTGAAGAACATTAGAAATCAATTTTGGGCCTTAGTGTTGATGAGTTTTAAATCAATTTTTGATGTTCGTGTTGATCAGTTTGATCATCAATTTTGGATTGTAGTTGAGGACTTGAGGTTTTTTAGTTTCATACACTTGAAATTTTAAATACATTGCTACCGATTTAGTTGAAATGGTGTTGGCAGGGTCTGTTTAATGAGATCCAATGCTGAATAATATGGCTATAGAAATCTATGGCTCCAAAATATGAATAGAAATCCGTTTGGTCAAAGAGGGGAGGACATAGGAATGGATCTCTAACTAGTGGAATCTCCAGTTTCTGTGAATGGCTCCTCCCGAAAAATCTGAAAAAGATGGAAAGAAATTGAAGATAAGAAAGATAAAGAACGGCAAGATAATAAGCTCAGTCCATGTGGACAACAAAGCTGTAGATTCGGAGTGGTGGGATACTTTCTGGCTCAAGAACTCTTCATCCCCAGGTTTTCTTCATTTACTCCAATCCCTTTAATTTCATCTTAGAATTTGTCTTCTAGCCATCTTTAAAGAGAAATGAATGAGGTATTTTTGTTTCTTGGATGATTTACTGCTGTTTTTGCTTTGAAGTATCTGCCTTAAGGGATTTACATTTTTCTTTGAAAAAAGCATACTGTAGTTCTTCTTTAGGGTTTAGAGAAGTGTCGTGTTGTGTGTGTAATTTTTTAGGTTTTTACAGTTCATTTTTATTCCTTTATGAGTTGTGAAGCTCAATGAAAAAATAATTCTGTTTTTCCTACGCAATAGCTTTCTTTCTATGAAAAAATAATTCTGTTTTTCCTATTTGATTGATTAAACTATTGAAGACCTATAATACTATCATGCGTGTATATCCCAATGGATTCCATTAGAATTGGAGTTTCAATTGCATTTTATCGTTAAGTTAGCTTTTTCCTCCAAAATGAGGTGTTAAATCCACTATTTTTACCAACCAGGCAACCATGCATTTGTAGGTCTAAACATACAGCCAGATGAGGAAGAAGGATTCAAATATTTCTTTCGTGTTTCAAAAAAGACTTTCGAATACATATGCTCACTTGTAAGAGAGGATCTAATCTCAAGGCCTCCTTCAGGCCTGATTAATATAGAAGGAAGGCTCCTTAGTGTTGAGAAGCAGGTTGCAATAGCCTTAAGAAGATTGGCATCTGGCGAATCACAGGTTTCAGTCGGTGCCTCATTTGGAGTAGGGCAGTCGACTGTTTCTCAGGTGACCTGGAGGTTCATTGAGGCGCTGGAAGAGCGTGCCAAGCACCACCTTAAGTGGCCCCACCCTAATAAGGTGGAGAAAATAAAGTCAGAATTCCAAAGATCCTTTGGATTGCCTAATTGTTGTGGTGCAATCGACACAACCCACATTGTGATGACCCTTCCTGCCGTTCAAACTTCAGATGATTGGTGTGATCAAGAGAACAATTACAGCATGCTCCTGCAAGGGATTGTAGACGATGAAATGAGATTTCTAGATATTGTGACTGGATGGCCAGGGGGAATGTCTGCTTCCAGACTGTTGAAGTTTTCTGGGTTTTATAAAATGTGCCAATCCGGAGACCGTTTAAATGGAAGTGCCAAGATAACAAATGAAGGACTAGAGATTAGGGAGTACATAGTTGGTGACTTTGGTTATCCTCTCCTTCCATGGCTCATTACTCCTTATGAAGGTGACGAACTCTCGGCTAGGATGATGGATTTCAGTGTGGCACATGAGACTGCAAGGTCACTTGCAGCAAGGGCATTCACGCAATTGAAGGGCGGGTGGAGAATCCTTAGTAAGGTCATGTGGAGACCTGATAAGCGGAAGCTGCCTAGTATTATCTTGGTCTGCTGTCTGCTTCATAATATTATGATTGATTGTGGGGATCAGTTGCACCAAGATGATGCTGCCTTGGCTCGGCATCACGATTCTGGCTATTTGAGACACAACTGCAAGCAGATCGATCCCATAGGGAGAACTATGCAAGACAACTTAGCTAAGCATTTGTTTGATGCAAAGCGTTGTTCTTCTTCTTCTTGATGAGTGTCTAACCGTAATGTCTGGATGCAATAACTAATGCTCTGCTTCTTGATCGAATATGTACAATGTGTAATATTTGTGTTGACTTTGGCTTCGTTTTTCAGTTTTTTTTCTACCTATTATTTATTTCTTACTGGAACCAATTTAGCTTGAAAAATGCTAGGGGTACACCAAAGGTGTACCCCATTTGTCCCCCACCACTTTCTCCACCACTCATTTTTATTCCATTTTTATTAATTTAATTTTTTTAAAGTTTCTTGCCTATTTTTGTGGTAATGGAGGGGGTGGGGGACAAATGGGGTACACCTTTGGTGTACCCCTAGCATTTTTCTTGTGGATTCCATATCTAATGACGCAAGCAGAAAATGACAATTAACTGTCTTGGTCCGAAATGGGTCAAATGTAGCGTATACCCACACACATTAAATGAAGTAACTAGACCTGACAATCGGGTCAATCGGTTTGGTTCCGGTACGAGTCTTTTTGGTTCGGGTCTCTTTCGGATATATATTATAATCGGTTCAGGTCTCTTCGGTTCTAGGTTTATTTTGGTTTGACTGATTTTTGGTTTCGGTTCGGTTTCGGTTCGGGTTTGTATTGGTTTGGATTTAAATCGGATCAGGTTTATATCGGTTCGGGTTTGTATCGGTTTGGGTTTATATTGATTCGGATTTGTATCATTTTAGGTAGTTTATATTAGTTCAGGTATATTTTTAATATGTACTAATAAATCAATAATATAACATAAGAAATTTAGCCAATTTATGATATATATTGTAGTTGTTTTATTATTTAATACGGACGTACATAAAAAATAACACTTACATAATTGATTAATTGTTTACATTCTAAAGTTTTCTCTCCTAAAATTTTTGGTGTGACCTTTTAAGTTAAGATTCTACTTCGTACTTCCTCTATTTCTATTTAACTATCTATTTCACTTTGCGTGTCAAATATTTGAATAACTATATATAAAAATATATAATGAATTAAAATATACAGAGTAAAAGTTATTACCAAATTGTTAGTAATAAAAAACACTTTAAGTGTATTATTTTTGATATTTTTCTAATATTTTTGAAGAGACGGTGTTGGTCAAACTTTAAGTTCGAAGACGATAAAATACAAAAATACTTTAACTTAAGTTATAAAATACGGAGTAAAAGATTTGTACATGAAAGTAGTTGCACGGTTTGCACCCATAATTTAAATATTTTTTTTAGAAACACATCAACATATGTAAAAATATATCAGTAATTCCTTCTTCTCCAAGTTCATTTGATAAATGAAATATTAATAAATTTGATCAATTTCGGGTCTTATCGGTTTTGGGTCTAATCGGTTCAGTGTTTCATCAGTTTCGAGTTTAACTGGTTCGGGTTTAATCGGTTCGGGTTAAATTGGATTCGGATCTAAATCGGGTCTGAATACATTCGGTTCGGTTTCAGTTCGGTTTGAATCATTTCGGGTTTTCGGTTCTATTTCGGTTCTTCAGTTTTCAGGTCAATTCGGGTTTGGTTCTGGATTATTGGCCTGTCAATGGGCCGAGTTTAGATCCGAACCTGTATAACACTCATAATTTTTTAGCGGATTTAGAAATATCAAAAATATCGCTTGCCTGTACTTGAACCCAACCCCATTATTTAAAAAAATAAAGGGTCGGGTATAGGATAAGTAGTCCCGACCCGTTTAAATCTCGCACTGATTAAATATATAGATAATATTAAATATTACCAAGATCTACTCCCCGTGTTCTCTACTTCTCATGTTTTCCATCAATTTCTTTCATATATTTCTCTCATTTTTGCTTCTACAATTGTATCTTGCCCCTACACAAACTTGCTTTCTTTTTTATTGTTTTCAAGGAGCCTCAAATAGTTGAATCATGTAATCATGTTGGCTTCTTGATATTTTCTTTATTCTTCAATAAACTTAGGTCAACCCATTTACTTACATTAAGAAGTGCTATTTTAATTAAGATGTTTTTCATTAATTCATAGTATTTTAACTAATTTTTTTCAATTATACAAAAATAAAAGACGCCAATTTTTATCACGGGTATACCCGAACCAATAGCGGGATCCAATAAGTCTAAACCTAGGATTAAACTTCAAGACCCATTAGGTAAACGGGAACAAGTCAGGATCAATTTTTCAAAAAGGATACGGGTATAGAACACGTGCACTATGGATCGGCCCGAACCCAACCCATTGATAGGCCTATTATTGTGATGGCCCATGTATTATGGAGTAGTAAATTTGAAAACTAATGTGAATCTATACTATATTTAAAAAGAGGGGAATTTTCCCATTCATTTTAGCGCCCATGCGTGTAAGCTATAAATGGTGATTGTTGAATATAGATGGTAATTAAATCATATATTACCGTGTTGCATAAAAATAGTAATTTACCGAAAAGTATAGCCTTTGCCAAAAATTCTGCACGATAATAAAGTAATAATAATAATATATGGTATACATGGTAATTTAATAATGAGTATATGGTAATAATAATAATAACGAGAATAAAAAGGTAAATTAATAAGGTAATTTCATAATGTTTATATGGTAGATTTCATAATAGTGTGTAAGCAAATACCATTGTTTGATCATTACCAAAATTCACTCTTTCAAAATTCTATTTAACTGATCAGTAGTTTGAGCCTACATTCGTAGATCTCATCCGTCTTGCTGCTTCTCGGAGAACATTTTATCTTTAACATAAATCACACCTGTGTGTAGAAAATAAAACATACTACACGCTCAACGGTAAAGCTAAGTAAAGAAATCTAATGCATCGAACATCCACATAAAATGAATCTCAATTCATAATCAAACCGAATGGTATCATGAAAGCAAGAGGCAATTTCAATCATTCATCGTCACACAGTTTTTATTTGATTAACCATTCGTTATCATTTCATCGGGACACAACAGTGTTATTCATTTATTTCATATCATAATCAACATATCACTTTCAGATTAACAACAAAGATTCTTAATCCATCATTGGTTAAGACATTTCAATATTCAATATTCATTAAATATCATTTATGACATTATCCACAATATTACAAAACTATTTCTAGTTTAAGACTAAATTAATAATAAGACTCTTACATTATTCGTAATCTAAGGCAAAATGAATAACCAGACTCCTAGACTAACCTAGTATAAGACAGAATGAATAGCCAGACTCTTAGACTAATCTAGACTAAGGCAAATTTATGTTAATAACCAGACTCTTAAACAATAAAATAGTTTAAGGCAAATTCAGATTAATAACCAGATTGTAAAACTACAAAATAGTTTAAGGTAAATTTATATTAATAACGAGACTCTTAAGCTATAAAATAGTTTATGGCAAATTTATATTAATAACTAGACTCCTAAATTAAAAAATAGTTTAAGGCAAAAAGATAACCAGACTCTTATACTATTAATAGTTTAAGGTAGAAAATCGAACAATGGGGTACCATTTTGCAGCAGGTACTGCCAAAGGAGGATATTTTCTTAAGGAAGACAGTAGCTAGCCTACCGTCCCGGCGGTGTGACATACCGTGCCGGCGGTTCCAAGGTACCGTCCGGACGGCAGCTCGCTACGGTACTACGCGTAGTTTTGAATAGTGTCTTCTTCAACCTCTGACCAATTTTCAAAAATACCATTTTTAGTCACCAAACTTCAATAAAACTATATAGAAATATTCTCCAAGGTTCATAGATCATTTTGGTGTCATTAGTTCATAGTTTTAACAACAATTTTAAAGTTTATGATTCTTAGTTCCTCAAACATGTCAAACACAAAACTCAACCAAAGGACCGTTTATGAACATAGAAACGATCTATACGAACATCCTAATCACTAGATATATCTAAGGGCTATCTCGAGCTTAAATGAAGGTTTTGGAAATTTTCCGGCTAAACTTCCGGCGACGATTACTCCCAACTTCGACTACCTCTCACCAAATTGACAGACACTTCTTGGGTACTCTTATATAATGATGATTTGGGTACTCTTATATAGGAGAGTTGGAGGAAGAAGATGACAATTTCAGTGTCACCTTCCCTATTCGAGCGGCTAGTGGAGTGAACGGCGATTCAGTCCGATATTTTACGCCTCTCCTTGATTGGGACTAATTTGGTCTCATTCGAGATATACTTTTTGGTCCAACTTTCTCCGAATTAAATTCCGATTGAATCATTGCGGTCAGACAGTTAAACTCTACATAACGATACAACTTTCATTATTTACGGACCAACTTTATAAATCACTTATTTTTGGATCCTTCTAAGTAATTAATTAATTCTGATAGGTCTATTTTCGAGGCGTTACATACCCCCACTTTTTATACCTCCACCCTTATGTGTGCAAAAAGTAGATATGAGGCTAGTCATTGAAAAGGGGTATTTTGGGAAAAGATTTATTTGATTTGACATAATACTAAAGTATGGAAAAGAGAATATTGTAATCAAAATAGGGATGGAGGGAGTATGTAAATTTTATTTTTTATTTCCATACCAATTTATAAAAAAAATCATTTTAAAAGTTACGAGATGTTGTAAGTCGTTCAAAGATGGAACTTGTTCTAAGAATAGAGGGAGTACAATTTTTTTTAAACTCCTTCCTAAAAACAAGCCTACAATTAGAGGTGGCAATCAGATCAATTGGATTGGTTCTGGTTTAGAATAATTCGGTTCGGTTTAATTTCGATCCGGATTTAATTCGGTTCCATGTATTTTTCGATTTAATTTTGCTTTTGGGTCAGTTCAAATTCGGTTCAGATGTCAATCGGTTCGGATCAATTTCATTTTGGGATACATTCTGGTTTAGATATAATTCGATTCATGTATATTTCTATTTTGGATATATTTGCATATATGTTATTTTTGAATTAAAATTTATTTATCCGTTCATTTTTTGTCATATCATATTTAATAATCTATCATCAATTCATCACCTCATATTATTTTATATTCCTTTCATCCTAAATATCTTCTATCATTATCTTTTTATTTATCTTTTATAAATTTGGATTACGAATAATGAAAGAAAAATATATTTAGTTCTGATATAAAATTAATATAATTGGATTATCAAATTGCATACAGTTTGGTTAAAATATGTTGAAATTGAGTGAAATTGACTGCCATTAGATAAAATTTGAGTGAAGTTAAATGCAATTCAAAACACATGTTTGGCCAACCATACAATATTACATGAGAGAGGGTGAAAAAAATATTTCTAGCCATGCTCTACTTTGTATAAATCTTAGTTAATTTTTTGAGTAAATTCCATAATTGGTCCTTTATAACAGGGGGTTTCCCTATTTAGTCTTTTACTATCAAATATTACCTTAGTAGTCCTTTTATGGATATCTTTCCACAAATAGTCCTTTTTTTGATCTTCTATCATGTTGGTGCTAATTTGAGGGCTAAAAGTGTAATTTCACAATGATAATATATCTTTTTTGTCATACACAATTCCAAAGGTTGTTCTGTTTGCGTCGTTTGTGAATTACAGTCGCTTTCTACTATAACCATAGTATACAAATGTGGTCTTTCGTCGGAATCCTAGCCCACAATCATAGTTATTATTTTTGTGTTATCCGCTTAACGAATAAAAGAACACGTCACTAGACATAATGTTGATGTCAAGTTATACTTTTAGCCTTTAAATTAACACCAATATGGCAGAAGATAAAAAAGGATCATTTGTGGAAAAGCACCCTTAAAAAAAGACTACGGGGATAATATTTGATAATAGAGGACTAAATATGGAAACCCCCCTGTTATAAAGGATCAATTATGAAATTTACTCTAATTTTTTTATGTAAGTTGTATTGTTCATTTTTATACCAATTTATAAAAAAATAAACTTAAAACATATGAATTTTTTTTTTTAAATATGGTAATTTATTTTGGACATAAGGAGTAAGTAATATAAATATATAACTAATTCAAATGATAAAAGAAAAGTAAAAATTTGAAATAACATTAATGTAATTATTTACTAATGTACATAATATGATATGTTTATTGTCACACAGAGATATAATCAATTTCAGATCTTATGGATTTCGGGTCTTATCGCTTTCAAATCTTACTGTTTTCAGGTCTTATCAGTTTTGGGTTTAACCTTTTGGATCTAATCGGTTTTAAATTTAAATTGGGTATGTATATCTTAAGTTAGATTTTGGTTAAGAAAATCTCTCAAATAGGAGTAAAACATATATCATATCTTCAAAATAGGAGTATAAACTAAAACTCCTCTAAATAGGAGTAACTAATTAAGTAATAAAAAATCCTCCCTGCTGCCTGCAATCTTGACACTACTCCGGTCAGCACATGCAGTAATGGTGGGTTATTATTTATTCCCTATATACTTCTTCTTCTAAGTGTATTTTGTCAATATTGAAAAGTCAAACTCCCTCATGCAAGTGTTATTTTTACAAGAAAATTTATCTAAATAGCACTAAAACATAATGATTTATTTAAATATCATTTTATGTTTTTTTTCCAATGTAGCACTTTTAGTCATTATCCATTAGTCATTCAAGTAAATGCCTTTTAGTCAAGCAAGTGTTATTTTTACAACAAATTTATCTAAATAACACTAAAACATAATAATTTTTCTAAATATTATTTTATATTTTTCTTTTCCAATGTAGTACTTTTAGTCATTATCCATTACTCACTTTTAGTCTCTGCTCCTCACGGCCAGCCCGCCATACTTATCTTTTCCCTCTCATTTTTTGCGACCACCCTCACTATTTTGAAGTGTTGCCTTCGTCAAATCCACCCCAAGTGCAGTACATCACCGCCGCCCCACTCCATGCAATGCCGCTGCACTGGCTTCCCCCCTTTGCAGATCTGTCACGAAGCATCTTATGTAGATCTGTCACGGTGACTATGATTTTGTTTTTTGAATTAGCTTCCAAATGCTCTATAATTGAGGTTAAATTATAGAAGTGAGGAATACTTACAACTTATTGCATTCATCCTTTTTTTTTCTCCGAAAAATTGCATTTACATTAGACATTGATTTTGGTTTGGTTTTTTCTTTTCATATTTGTATTTGATTGTTTTTTTAATTTTTTGTTTGATTTTTTTCTATTAGTTTTGTTTAAATTTTACTCCTAATTTCAGCAAAATTTGGTGATAGTGATAAGAAATTTGATAATGTATGTTGACAATCTTGACATTTCACTTCTTTTTGACATTTTATATTGACATGTTTGGCATTAGGCAATAACATGTTTGGCATTATTCAATGACATGTTGGTCAGTATGCATTATCATCTTTGACATTGTGTCTTTGGTTGTCATTGTATTGAAAGCTTTTTCCTTTGGCAGTGACACCGTGGCACCATGGTGGCGACAATGACAATCCTGATCCCAATGTTGGCAGTAAATTGTGACATTGACACTAACAAATGGGGCGATGGAGGCGACATCCACAACAAATGGGGATGAGAGCAGCAGATCGCGGTGGCGATGACGGCGAATTTGCCGACCGTGGTGGTGTAATGGCAGCAACAATGTAGATGGTGATCGCATTTAATAGTGACGACAGTAGAAGATTGTGTCGATGGAGTGGCAGCGACGACTGTAGCGGCGATGACGACAGAGGTGGCGACAGTGACATGTGCGGTAGAGGCTGTAGCTAATTAGGATTTTTTTAATTTTTAAAATGTATTTAATTTTATATTTGAAATATGAATATAACTTTTATTTTGATTCATGGTCAATGCTTTAATTGTATTTTGCTCCTTAATTTTAAGCTATTAGATTAATTAAAAGTTAATTACTTCTATTTAGGGGAGTTTATGTTTCAACTCTTATTTTGAAGATATGTCATATGTTTTACTACTACTTTGGTCCTTCTCCCATTTTGGTTTGGTTCATATCATTTTGATTATTCAATTATTATTTGGACCTTCACTCTTGGAATTATTTGTTTCAAATCATTCAGTTCGTTCGAGTAATTAGTTCGAGTAACTAATGTAGCTAGAAGGCTACAATTCAATCCAATCCTCTAATAATTTTGTCGTTGAGACTTTGATCAACCAACCGGAGAAATCTGATTCTGCTGGACCATGCCTTATCTTGCCAGACGGCGAATCCACCGGAAATTGCATGTTCTTTGCCGGCAGTCTCTGTTTTCTACTGCGACGCCGGCTACTAAGGACCTCAACGAGACTCGAAAAATTGAGAAGATCCTTATAGCTAATCGAGGCGAAATAGCTTGTAGAATTATTAGGACTGCCAAAAGACTAGGGATTCGTACTGTCTCTGTCTACAGCGACGCCGATAGGTATAATCTGCACGTGAAATCCGCCGACGAGGCCGTTCGCATAGGCCCTCCTCCTGCGCGCCTAAGCTACTTAAACGCTTCATCAATTATTGAAGCAGCAGCTCGTACTGGAGCTCAGGTAGTTAATAAACTTTCTGATTCCGGAAATGGACTTATATAAGTACTTCAGTGAAATGCTTGGATGTTTGTTCCGTCTATACTAAATTGCACATCAGGTGCTTACATATTTCCCAGTAAATGTGAATAAATTCAATTATTGTTTTTACAACTAATCACTCTATTACATGGGAATAAAGTCAAAATAGTTATGAAAAATAAGGAAAACTTTTCAGGCTATCCACCCAGGCTATGGTTTCATATCAGAAAGTGCTGATTTTGCTCAAATGTGTGAAGATGAAGGCTTTATCTTCATTGGTCCTCCGGCATCTGCAATCCGTGATATGGGTGACAAGAGGTACAAATATAGATTGAAGTATCTTTTGCCATTGTACCGTGTCATTTTAAATATGTAACCTCAAAATTTTGTCACTCATACACAATATGAATTCTAGTGCCTTTAATGCTAGGCAGACAATTTAGAAAGACAACGGATATTGGCAATATAGAAAGGCTGCAATATGATAGTTCTCCTTTTTATATAAAGGGCTATTTTTGCATATTTGCACCTTGACTGTTATAAGAGCGCATTGCTTTGCAGAAGTCTATGAGTATGTTGTCATATGGACGATTTCCTGAACATTTTCTTTTCTTTTTATGGGCTTGTCTAGTGCTTCAAAAAGAATAATGGAAGCAGCTGGGGTGCCACTTGTACCTGGATATCACGGTGAAAAACAAGATATTGACTTAATGAGATTAGAAGCAGAGAAAATAGGGTATCCTATTATGATTAAGCCAACCCATGGCGGTGGAGGGAAGGTTTGCCTTTAGTTCAGCCGCACACTTCTCTTTGTGCATCTAATTTCTCTCTAACTCTGTTAAAAATTCATGTAATTGTTGACAAAAAGTGTCTCTGACTCTCTGTACTTGGTAATACTATCACTTTTTATAAAACAATATGACATTTCCTAAGGCTGTGTTTGGGGGTAGTTGTCAATATTCAGATACTTCATTTTTTATTATAAAAATTCCGTGATGTTGTACGATACACCAAATCTACTCATACTTGTACAGAGCATTTTAATTCAGAAAGCTATCAACTGAAAATTGAAAACCATTATTTATGGTTTCCAAAATCTGGTTGAAACCCCAAATTCACCTTAGATAGGGTCTTAATTATAAAACCAGATATTTTTTTTCGGGTTCATACTCTCAATTCTCAAGTCTTATACATTGTTTACTTTTCTGTATCTGCTGATTCAATATTCTTCAAAGAACATTTTGAAGTACAAATTCTTGTCTTTATCAATATACATTTCTATTCTCATGTGGCCTATGCAGATATGCATTCACGTCTTTGTCAAATTTCAGGGAATGAGAGTTGTTCATAGTCCAAGTGAGTTTGTCGATTCATTTTTGGGGGCACAACGGGAGGCTGCTGCATCTTTTGGCATAAACACGATCTTGCTAGAAAAATATATTACAAAACCAAGACATATTGAAGTCCAGGTATGCTTCTTATGTTTGAGCAACTCATGCATGTTGTCTTTCCACTGCATTCTTTTAAGATTATTTGATGTGTGGAGTTTTTGTGAAAGATTCTCATTTTTTTTGGTATGGACTTTTAGTAAAAATTTATCATCATAATGTGATCTGATACTGGTCAGCTCATTATGCAGATATTTGGTGACAAACATGGTAATGTTATCCATCTCCATGAGAGGGATTGCAGTGTCCAAAGAAGACATCAGAAAATAATTGAGGAAGCTCCTGCTGTAATCTCTTTTTGTTTTATTACTAACTACTCCGTAACTAATTAATTAATTGATTGATTTGTAAATTCTGCAGTCTTGAGTCATGAAACATTTTTTTCTCGCACTTGTAGCCAAATATTGATAGTGAGTTCCGATCCCATTTGGGTCAATCTGCTGTATCTGCAGCCAAGGTAAATGTCCACAAGTCCATAAGTGTTCTACTATGTATGTTGTTTCATTATATTATTTCCGTACACAATGTTTCCTTACAAAATATAGTCCTTTTTCTGTGGATTTTACAGAGTTACATTGTTCTTATATTCAAGTTCTAGAAGTGCTTTAGGTGTCAATTCATTCATACTGGGACACTAGAAATAGAAATTTGATAGAATGTTGTTATGCCTAGTTGGATAACCTTCAGTTTTTAGATATCTGCATAGTTTTTTTACTTTGAATCATGCTTTGGAATATGTATGAATCCTTCTTGAGATTATAGAATGTCTTATTTGTTTGACCTGACACAATATCCTTTATTCTTCAAGGCAGTTAATTACTACAGTGCTGGTACTGTGGAATTTATTGTTGATACTGTTTCAGGAGAGTTTTATTTTATGGAGATGAACACCCGTCTTCAGGTGTGTATCTAATCTTTCACTCTTCCCCATTCCATTCTTACAAGTTACAACTACTGCAAATAGGAAATATAATAACTGTATGTCTGTATGGCAGGTTGAACATCCTGTAACTGAGATGATTGTAGGTCAAGATCTTGTGGAGTGGCAAGTACGTATTGCAAGTGGAGAGTCTCTTCCTTTAAAGCAACCACAAGTTCCCTTATCAGGTTAATGATTTCATTCATTATTTTGCTTCTTTGATCTCTAATATTGGCAAGCTATTAACTTCATGTGGACCCCCCTCCCCTCCCTCAATTCCCCACCTTTCTGGCCAGTTTTTTATGTGAATGTTCTTTACAAATCACAGGCCTGGATTATTGACATTTCTTAACATGTAATGTAACAAAAATATTTCTCATGGAAGGTCATGCTTTTGAAGCCCGGATATATGCTGAAAATGTTCCGAAAGGGTTTCTTCCTGCTACCGGTGTTCTTCATCATTATAGTCCTGTTGCTGTTTCATCATCAGGTGTTACTCTATCATTATGTTTTTGTTATCACGAAGAGAATTTTCATTATACTTTCGGAATTTCCAATTAACTGTAGGTAATTATCAATTAATTTTTAGCAGATCAGTGGATTTAAGGCATTTGTATGGATTGTGCCTTGAGGATGTCTTAAACTGTGCATGTGGCATTTGTGGGCATGCCTTAGACAGTGCATATGACATTGAAACTGTGCATGTGGCATTTGTGGGCATGCCTTAGACAGTGCATATGACATTGAAACTGTGCATATGATATTTTTTTGATGGATGCATATGGTACTTAATAATGCTAATATGGTATTTAGCAATGCTAATATGCAGTAGACGAAGAACTTACTATGAGGGGAATTGATTTCGAGAACTTCAGTTCTTTATGCCCCATATTAGTCCATTTCTGTTATGCTTTTTTTTTTGGTTTCTACAATAGAATCCTATTATTATATATTTAATTGACTTGTTCTGGTTCAACTCAACTGTTCCAAAGTTCTTTCAACCTCTTAGATACAGTTTCATTTAATATCATCAGATAGGTGCTTGGGAAATATACTTGTGCCTACACTATTAGTTAACCAATGTACCAATATTGATTTTATTACTTCTATTGCATGCTATCATCCAGTTAGAGTTGAAACTGGAGTTGAGGAAGGGGACACTGTAAGCATGCATTATGACCCCATGATTGCAAAGCTCGTAGTGTGGGGAGAGAACCGCTCTGCGGCATTAATAAAACTTAAGGACTCCTTGTCAAAGTTTCAGGTATAATTTGGCCCAGTGTTTTAGGTCATCCATGCCTACTTTAGCATCTTTTTTAGAAATGTAATATTTTCCACATAAAGGTTGCAGGTTTGCCAACCAACATAGATTTCCTCTCTAAAGTTGTCCACCATTATGCTTTTCAAAATGGTGAATTAGAAACACATTTCATTGAGCGGTATAAAGATGATCTATTAAGCAGTGCTAGCAGTTTAGGAACTGCACAAGAGGCATATCATGTTATGAGACATGGTGCATCAATTGCTGTTGCTTGCATTTGCAAAATGGAGCTTGAAGCATCAAGGAACAGTGCCCCTGGTAAGTTGATCTTGTAATGAGTGGCCTGTTGTATTTCATTTCCTGCAACTCTTTATCTGTTTTTCCTGTTTAATGGGCAGAAAGCATGTTTCTGTGGTATGTTGATCCTCCTTTTAGAGTTGGCCATTTGGCCCGTCGAATAATGCAACTTGAATTTGTTGATGAGCATAGCAGTACTGGTTCAAAAAGTTTAAATGTCTGTTTGACCTACTTGGCTGAAGGAAAATTCCTAGTTGAGGTACTCTTTTTGTTTGCTTTTACCTAATTGTTCCTATTGAGGCTTCTTATAGTACGTATGAAAGGGTACCTATATATTTTCTGAACGAATAATCTCAATTTATTTTATTCGCTCAAAATAACTTTTTTTTCCTTCAGGCTGCTAATATTTTTGTATGTGCCAGAATTGGTGTTTTAACATAAAATTCATGATTTTCAGACAGGAGAAAGCACTTGCCCCAGTTTGGAGGTCGAAGTACAACATTTAAGCAATGCTAATTATAGTGTAGATGTTGGTGGTGTAAAACTAAACGCGCGCCTTGCTGTCTATTCCAAAGTAACGCTTATCCTCCTTACCCTGTTTCCTTGTTTGTGTTGCATTTCAGAACACTTAGTAATCTAGATTGCTGCTTTCCGCAGTTATCTTAACGTGTGTGTGCGTTTGTGTGTGTGTGTGTGTTTTGTAATTATATTTTTGTTACAAATCTAGTAACAGTTACCGAGCAGAAGTGAAGCAGCAAGAGCTTAAAAATGCCTCACTCAATGAATAACAATGCTCCTAGTTTATCATATATTTGTTGTTGTAGGACCATTCTAAGCACATCCACATTTGGCATGGTCCATACCATCATCACTTCAAACAAAGTATACGCCTTGAACTTGTTGATGATGATGAACTGAACCACAAACCTTTCATTGAGTCTGCATCTCATCCTCCTGGGACTGTAGTCGCCCCAATGGCTGGTCTAGTGGTTAAAGTTTTGGTGAAGGATGGGGAAGAAGTTCAGCAAAGCCAACCAATATTGGTATTAGAAGCAATGAAGATGGAGGTTTGCACTTGCAAAATTGATTTTTGTTTAAATTCATGCCCTATCCTTAGTATTTTAAACTGTTCCCTGTTTTTAATCATCCCATTACATAGCATGTGGTGAAAGCTCCAATTGCTGGACATGTCAGTGGCCTTAAGGTTGAAGTGGGACAGCAGATTTATGATGGTGCTGCTCTCTTTAATATCAAGGTTAGCTTTTCACCTCATATGTTCATATTTAGGGTTGCATTTGATGATGTTGTGCAATCAAATCATCTATTGCCGTTGAGGGAGTTTAAGTCAAAATTTAGCTTAGTATGGTCCGCATTTTCTTTCTTTCTTCATGTGTCCACACACACACATGTATTGGTACTCCTTTGGTGTGTATGTGTTTGGGGAGGGGGGGGGGTGGGGGGTGTTGGAATATATACCAGAGGTGTTAAGTTGCCGACTAGTCGTCCGGTGGTTTTGCACGGAGACGGCTCGGAGAAATGGAAAATCTCGAAATGCGTCGCAGGCGGCTCCAAAACTGAGACAAGATGGAGGAGAAGAATATAGGAAGAAGAAAGACTTATATCTCCTATTCATTGTCGCCGCCATTGACTTACGGACCTTTCGCGTTTCACTCTGTCAAGCGGATCTCAAACCCCCCCTCTCTCTTTGTTATTTACGGCTGCCGAAATAGGTCATAATATTTGGGGTTGTTCAAACGTTAGTGGGCTTGTCTATACAAGACCTAATTTTCTAATAAGGCTTTGAAAAATTCACTCCTAAAAATAGGCATATACAACTACTTTTACTTTTTTTTTTTATGAATAAAGTTCACTTTTATTGAGCCTCAAAAAAAAGTTTTACTTTTATTGAGAGTAGCCCTATGTCATATAAAAAATAATATTTTAATATATTATTTTTGTATTGATTAATTGTTATCTTTGTTGGTTTGTTGGGCTTGAAGAGTTAAGGATATTTGTTTCTTACGTAGTCTTTGTTATGTAAGTTTATGTACTACCTTTAAACATAATTTTGTTATGGTAATGATTTTTCATCGTATAAATATATACTCCGTTTATAGTTATCTTTGGTGAATGAAGAAATATATAACTTTAATTATTTTATTCCTAATTGTAATTTGTCGCCACTAGTCTCTTCTCCACCGACTCAACTCGACTTGTCGCATTGATAACCATGGTTTATACATGTCTTCTAATATATATTTGTAAGTTTTAACCCTCTTCAAGTTTTGCTAAACCATATATTTGTTGCTTGAAGTAATCTTTGTTTTTTTTTTAAATATTTGACATATGTGCATGCAGAGGAGCAGCCGTAATTTTAAAACTTCATATGTGTGTTTTTAAAATCTTTTCCAGAATTCTAGATATGTAAATGTGTTTAGCATGTTTCTTTTCTATATTCCAATCCAGATAATTTTTTTTTAAAAACGTTCTTCTCCCATAGCAAATCTAGTCATTATCTCATTTCTTTTAATTTTCAATTTAGTTTGTGAGCATTGACTAGGATAATTATATGTTCCAAACAAGATTGGAAGTTGGAACTGAAAAGTTTATGGTGTAATGTTTATGTCTAGCACAACCATGTTCGTATTTTATAAAAATACAGATTTTAGATGAGAGGAATTTTACCTTAAAGTCTGAGACATTGTTTGGCTGTGATAAACCTTGTAACTTGTTAATTGTGTAGTCTAATTTTCCAGTTATAGAGGTAACAAAGTTTCCCCCTCGTTCCCCTGCCACTGGTGGCACACATTGGTTTTGTTTGAGTGGATTTCTGTTGCTCCCAAATGAGAGATCGGCATAATGTCTGGATACAACAACAAAAACAACAAACTGCCAAAGTGGGTATAATCCGAACTCTGGTAGGGTGTGGGCGGTAATGAATTATGCAACCTTACTCCTGTAAAAAACAGTTAGACTATTTCCTCTAGAGCCCTAGACCTTAGATACATTGTTGCATTTACTTCCCACAACTTCATAGAAAGTTAAGAAGCTAGAGAAGTTTAATGTGCCATTTTCTCTATTCCATTCTTTACTTGAAGCTAAAACATTGTGAAAATGATTGCGTTAGTGTACACCATTCTGTTTGCATCTTATGTATACAATCTTTTAATTAAAAAATTTGGTCATGGATAGATTCATCATCTAAATCAAGAGAAGCTCTCATTTGATTTTTTAAAATCAAGTTTCCAAATTGATTTTCATGGTTGCAGAGTTCATAGATCTATCCGTATCCGTTGAAGACAATCTCATCATGGCTGAACCCAAAACTGGTTGCATAAGATATGTATGTCTTGACCTCCACTTGCAACTCGAAACTACTTAGACACAGCCATGTAATACACATATTAGGGGTGTCCTGAATCCCTATATAGGTACGTGTAAAATGTTGAGAGACCATTTCCAGTGGTTGGAAACTTGATATCTCATTTCCTCACCACCTCAGGAGGTCAAAGATGAAAAGCAAATTGAAAATTTTCAATAAATACATTTGGTGTTAGCCCTTTCTTGACCCAATCTCTCCTGCATCCATAACTTTTGTTTTGAAACACTGATGATGTATTTGGAGGGGATGCTTTGGGATATTGAGCGAGTTCGGGTATGGCTTCAGAGCGCTGCACCTCATGTTCAAAGATGTTCTTAATAGTGTGACTCAATGACGGGTTTTCTTAATCACAAATCAAAATTTTCAATTGATGCTGATTTGTCATGTGCAAAACAACTTATAGTTTAATACCTACTATCAAAGATGTGCATAGACACCCTAGGGTCTATTCCGTAGGACTTATTTTTTCTGCTTATTACTTATTTTTATTAAAATCAAATTAGACCAGATCTAATCAGATCAGATCGAATTAGATCACATCATATCCAATCAGATCACACCAAGTCTAATCAGATTAAACCGGATCAAATAAAGCAAGATCGCCCAATTTTATATATCAAATTTGGACAAAATATAAAAAATAATATTACTATTTTTTGAATGAATAAATAATAATAACTATTCGAGTAAATCATATTACTTTATTTAAAGTTACATACATCTAAATCTTAATTAATATTATAATTTTAAATATGATTATTATTATTATTATTATATTATTATGATTATGATTATGATTATTATTATTATTATTTCAACTAGAAACTATTATTACTAGTAATTTCTTAGCTTGTAGGAATGATGCATGGAAGTAGTGTCGGGACTTAAAAAGTTGTATTTTTCAGGGAAAAAGACTAAAGTAGGAGTAAAACATTGAAAATATATCAAAATAAGACTTCCATGTTTATTCCCGAAATAGAAGTTAAAATGCATTTACATTACCAAACGTGGTCATGTATATTACCAAAAGGTATAGCAATGCGCATGTGTACAGTGCCACATTACCTCCACATTACCACAGTGCGAACTTTTATTTCGTGAATAAAAACACGGAAGTTTTATTTTAGTACTTTTTCTATGTTTTAGTCTTATTTAGGATGATTTCTATATTTTTCATACTTTAAAAGAGTTTTTAAAAATACTTGTTCATAAAAGAATCATACAAAACTTAGTTTTTAAAGTCATAAATACTTTTATACTTAAAAAGACCCATTTTTAAACTTATAAATGTTATAATACATAGAAGGGTAAGTTTATGACAAACTTGGTAGATATGAAAGAAATATTAGAGTTCAAGATTTTATGTGATGCGTAATTTATAACATGTAATATATTATTATGCAATATGCAGATAGAATGTACTTCCTCTGTCCCCCAGTTTTTTTCCACTTTTGACTTTTGGAACTGTTCACCTAAGCACTTTGACTCATTAAATTCTTTTAATATGTAAGCCTATATATAGCCATGTGTGATCTTCTTTGATTTGTCTTAACATATAGATTATTAATATATAATTTCTATAATTTTTTAATATACAAATTACAAGATAAAATGGATTAAAGAAGTGCATTGGATGGTGTGTAAAAATGAAAGTAGACAAAAACTGAGGGACGGAGGGAGTAATATTTTTGTAGAATAATATCCATATTTTCTAATATTTGGTTATTTTAACACCGAGCAATAATATACTCTCTTCACTATATAAAGAAAAATTGATTATTCAGATTTCACATAGAATAAAAAAAAGAAGTGATATTGAAAAGATATTTAATATTTCAAAGAAAATATTTAAATATATCAATGAGTAGCTATAAGCTATTGTCATCGATTTTCTTGTTTTAATTTTTTCGATGTATATATGAATTGTAATACTTTAAAACTATTAAATTGTTGTAATAATATTAAGTTAAACTTAAATTCATTTACACCAGATCTAATGAGATAAAATAAGATCCAATCAGAGTAGATCAGATCAATTCTATCAGATCAAGACAGATCTAATTAGACTAGAATAGATTTAATCAGATCAGAATAGATTATATCAAATTCAAAGCCTTAATCTCTTCTATTTTCTCTTTTTATTTCAAATTACTTGGCTTAAACCGTGCCTTAGACATAATGAGACCCCATTTTCAATTATATTTTTTGTGGATCAAACTTTGGTCAAACTGTTTTTGTGTGGATCTTTTAACACAGCTTTGGATATATTCTTTTTTGCATTGCAGTTTAACAATATTACTTTCAAACAATGGAATAAAGTTTTGCTTTTAAAGTTATTTGACTCTATATATGTTTTATCCCACTTATTTATTCTATTTTATGGCATACTGGTTATGGGCATGTTTGGGAATAAAGTTAGCGATTAGCGATAGCGTTTTGAAAAAGGCTATCTACGGGCAGCATTTAGCGTTTTCAAAGTAATCTGCACTGTTAAAATGTTATCTAAAATGCTAACTCTAATCTCTAACGTTATTCCCAAACAGCCCCTATATATCTTTTATTATTGCCAAACGTTATGAATCATGTTTGAATTCGAGATTTTAAATCCGGGTCATGCTACACTTACACCACAATTTATACCTCGTTTGTACACCGCAGTTATACACAAACATTTTGATGATTTACACCGACACAAGCGCGTTAACAAAAATTTACACGGACACAAAGTGTTAGTGCATTAACAAAAATTAGTTTTATACCAACACAAAGTGTCGGTGCAAATCTGCGGGGTACAAAGTGGCCAGTGGGGTACAAAAGTTGGGGTACAAATAGCTTTATCTTTTAAATCCTTGCAACGCCACAACACTTCATTGCTTGAAACATTCTTGGTTCTTTCATGGCCTATTTTAATATGTGATGCATGTTAAAAGACCTTTCCTAAAAAATAACAGGTGGTTCGGATCATTATTCTCATCAGTGCCTTTAAAAATAGATCCAAAACTAAAATAAAATGGCTTTGTCATTGGGACTCGATCTTTAAAAAGAAACAAAAGCATCCTTCCAGAAGTAAGTCATACAGTAACAAATACAAAAATAATACTCCCTCCGTCCCAAATTAATTGCCACATTTGCTTTTATAACAGTCGCGGGAACTTTTGTTTATTTCTACGTTTTCATTGGTTATTTGATAAAATAAAATATTCTTGACACCTCTTATTTCGAAGAACTTTTCATGTAGTTTTTTTATATGTAAATTTTATTTTAATTTCTTTACCAATATGTAAATAAAATGAATTGAAAAAACTTGATATTTTGCCTCGGTAATAGAAATGTGACAAATAATTTGGGACGGAGGGAGTATGTCTCTTATTTCCTCACCGCCCTGCTGGGTGCTTATTCCGTTGAGGACATGTAATACAATGGATTTGTTGTTTATTTATACTGCATGAAGTTGCTCGTTGGTACATTAATTAAATGATTTGGAAATCTTTGCACACTTCTTAATAGCTCTCTGATCAATAAATATTTAAATTGTAAAATAAATTTTTCAATAAAAGTGAATCTTTGTAATTAATACACCTATAAAAAATTACTGTTTATAAAAGCAAGTAATAATGTCTTCATAGCATCCCATAAAGTGGACCGCTCATTTAATACATTCTAGCCTCCCATGTAAAGGCCATCATGCTTTCACGGTACCCCAAACAGTTTATTGTCAAATTCACCTATAACCGAACCAAAAGGCCCATCCGAGCCTTACCCGGAACCAAAAAAATGGGCAGTAAAATAGCATTGTTCATCTTTTGCTCTTAGCTTTGTATATTAAAAGATTATTGATACTATGCAATGAAAACCAAACATTGGGCAAGACGAAGAAATAGACTCCAAGAAATTGATCTACACAACAAAATTTAAGTATCTTGTACGAACACTAAACAAATTGTTGCGGGATGATAATGACAGAATATACGGAGTAATTTAATTTAATACACCTTGTGCACACATTATTGAACTATGGTGGGAGTGGTTGAACTTTTATCCTAATTAATTGAAAGATGAGCAATTCAATTTCTCCGTATTTCATAACAACATTAGTTTTAACCCATCAAAATAATCTACATGTTCACGAAATCACTTGGGGTTCAAGCCCTTTCAAACCCCATAACTCACATTTTACTCACACCCACGGGCACATGTATGTGGCACCCCATCAAGCACCATAAAGCTCCACTGAAGCCCCACAACAAAACAAAAGCCTCACTAATGTGGTGCTAGAGGAGTAGCCAAAACATAAAATAAGGCCCAGGAAATAATTGATCACATCAAACTGCTTCATTACAACAGAAGATTACAAAGTAGTACATCCATCATATGGCCCTCTTCTCCCTATCCAATTATCCATCATATTTGCAGGTGGAAGGGAGATTGAGCTAAACACAACAAAGAAACTCAAGGCAAAAAAAAAAAAAAAAAAAAAAGATTTTAACGAACCTAAGAAATGGACGTCAAGAAAATTAAACCAACAAAGTTCATATCAACGGAAACCGTAAAGTTCATCCATCCCCATCTCCTTACTTTCTTCTGAGAGCGTTTCTTGGCTAAGCCGGAGCCAAGACTGATTGTCACCCAATAGTTTTTCTCTGTCACAGAAAAGCATCAGTAAATATATCAGTAAAAATAACCTAAGAAAATGAGGACAGATCAGAGAGGGTAGGGGCTCCTTTAGCCAGGGGGGGGGGGCCTGAATCATTTTCTAAGGTACCCAGGTCCGGCTTGGGCAGATATTAAATGAAACACTAATTTCAAATGATCAATAGAGTTGGGATCTTTTGTGGGTATGAACAAGACTACAAGGACCTTATGCGGAACATGCTACGAACCCACCACGGGTGCCCTCAGGAATGACAATTACAGATTATTTATACATATACGGACGATAATCATTTGTGGACACAGACGATAATTGTCTTTGTATGTGCATAAAACTCATCTATAATTGTCATCCATAGAGGTACCCGTGGTGGGTTTTTAGCACAATTCTCTTATGCTAAGCATAACTAAACATCCTACACCATCGTTGCCACTGTTGTCAGGCGTTAAACTTGACTACCACACCCTTTTACACCCCTCTTGTAACAATTGCCCTGGTGGGGCCTGAATCATTTACGAAAAGTGCAGTGGTGAGAAGGAATAGTTGGGGGCGGGGCCATTTCTGGGCCGAGTGAAAGTAGTGTTTACTGGCTGACCAGTGCCCCCACAAGAACTGGTCATCCTACCCTAACTAGAACACCTCAATTGGGCAAAAATGCTCCTCTGGTGGTCCCTTTTACAAGGATGTGTCTATTGTCTTTGTCTTCAAAAAGGGTTGGTCCAATTTATAAGAATTTTGGTGCTTTGGATTCTGTTTTGTTTTACTTCTTCTCCACTTTAGCCATCCCACAAAAAACATACACTTTAATAACAGTATAAAATGCAGATAATATTTACCTTTTTCAACCATCGTGCTAAATTTATTGTGAAAGAAGTTTCATAGACGGAGAGTATTAATAAAGGTGTCAATTCTTTGAATCAATTATTGGAGTGCAGTGATATCCATTGAATTGAATGATTGAAACCTTCAAATATTTGGAGCCTAATTTTGTCAAAAGGATTATTCAAATTAATTTCCTGTTTGGTTCTTGTATCCCTTCAAGTGGTCTAGGCCCTATAACCTACAGCATATGAATATGATTCACATTTACTCAGACCAGTAGTCTTGATTAGCTCAATCCCTTCACTCTAGCTATCATTACCATTCCTAATTGTAAAATTTAAAACATGACCCAGAATTAATTGATATGAAAAGAAAAGTAGGACTGACCCATGAAGGTAGATGTGCTTGCCATCATCATCATCATCTCCAAGCTTGAAGTTGGTGCAGGTGTGACAAAAGCCCACTGGTGGAGATGATGGCTGATGATGAGTTCTAAAGCCATTGTTATCCTTTTTCAGTTCAGACAACCTAACAATGCCACAACAGCTTTCCACAATGCAGTCATCAAACAGGTGGGTGGTTCTTGGAGTTGGCCCATGAGTGATCACACATGTGTAGTCCTCAGAGAGCTCCATTTCACACAGAGACAGATCATCTCCTGTCTTGGGAGGAGATTCTTTTTTGGCCTGGGGATGATGGTATTGTGCATTATTCCTTGGGGTTTTGATTCCAAAATCCGTCGTAAGAGAACCATCGGGCGGAGGGATCTGAACCTTGAGTTTTGATCCAAACAGCACCTTTCTGACATTTTTAGCTTGAGAAGTGGGATCAATCTCTTCAGAATTGTTATTATTATTGTTATCATTGTCATCATCATCCAGTGAGTTAATAAGAGCAGCTAGGCCGATTCCAGAGCTCAGGCTCAGGGTTCTTTCGCATCCGGAATTGAGAGACAGTTTGGCATCAAGAATGGAGGTCGGGCTGCGAATTTCGGTGTCGGGTTGAGTCCAACTGGAAAAACCTTTGAAGATTCTTGGAGAACCCAGCAAAGAAGAAATGGGCTTTGCAGGAACATAACTCTGCTCGACCGCCATGAGACCTCCTTTCTGTGGCGTTCTTCACTTCTTCTGTAATGCTCTCTGGGAATGCTCAAATATGCACGAGAAGTGCTCTGAAAAATGTCCAAACCAGAGGAGGAACAAACAACAGAAGCCATATATAATATACTCAGATCAAGAAAACATTAAAGAAAGAATCTTTTTGTCTGTCACAGCTCCACAAAATCACAAGCTTTACCTGATAACAGATTCTCACAAATGGGAGACTTCGATCACTCCATTAATGCTTAAAAAACTGAAAAAGTTGCCCCTTTTTGTTATGGCTCAAAAGGGTAACAAAGAACTGTGATTGAATTTCCAAAGAAAAAAATCAAGAACGTGAAGAAAAGAAAGGTGAATTTGCAGTGCTATAGCAATTTCTTTTTTTTTCATTGCATCAAGAAAAGTACATGAGCGAAATAAATAATGGAGGAACGTGAAAAGGAAGGGAAGTTGTGATTGCTGAAAAATCGTCAATGCAAGTGGGAGAGGATGGGGTCCTTTTAAAGAAAATTGGCGTGTTAGTATGTATCTCCTTGTTTTGTACTGTATTTGTTTTTTTATATCAAATTATTGTACTCCTCTGTCTCAAATAAGATTCCTCATTTGATTTGATATGAAGTTTAAGAAAAATAAAATTGCGTAATTGAAAAAATGGAAAAAATAGAGAAAGATTGTGAGTCATAATTTTATTTTTCAGAAAAAAAAAATGATGAGTCTTTATAAAGAAATGAATGCTCTTGTTGCTAATTGATTGGATACAATTTGCATTAAAGATTGATTGAGTTATAGTTTGGCGTTTATATCATCAATTTCATTTGAAATGTTTAGAAATATTTTTTTATTTTTTAAATAAATAGATTAACTCCTTCGGGATTGACCAAGAAGTTTTTCCAAACTTTGGAAAGATTTTTCCGGTTGTTTGTACTTTGCAGTGAGACAATTATTTTAAGAGTAAAATGAAGAGGGTACTTATAATATAAAAATATATATCTCAAAGTATCTCACGAAAAGTCATAAAAATTAAATTACTAACTTTATCTTAAATATACTCCCATCATCCCAAAATAGTTTGCATTGTTACTATTACGAATTTACGATAAATTTTATTTGTTTATATATTTTCATTAATCATTTAATAAAATAAAATATTTTTGTCACTTATTTTTTACGGAGTATAATTTTTGGTATAATTTAATCAGTATAATTTATACTTTTTATTTTTATATCAATTTAATTTTGAACTGATAGAGTTTTCACATTATTCAAATACTCCGTAATATTTTAAACTAAATAATGTGGTCATGGTTTCATGTAGTCATGTATTCAATTCATGTCACTATTAATTGTCAAATCCATTGTCTTTAATTGAATTTATACCGAAAAAACAATTTTTTCTTCATTTTTTACTCCCTCCAATTAAAACTTTTTTCTTTTCTCTTCGGACATTTAATTTTTAAAACATTAGGTGCTTTAAACTATAAAATATTTGGACGGGTTTGGTTAGTTTTGAAAATATAATAAGATATGAAATTTAAAATATGAAAGAAAAAACTTTGGATTCAGAAGTTTGAAAGGAAAGTATTTGAGGGAAAAAAATTGATATCAATTCATAATCACTATTTTTTTAAAACAATTTTGGTGAGAAATCAAAAAATCAAATGTAGAGGTTAGATATTTAGTTTAATACATCAAATAAGCATCATTATTTTTTAAAACAACATACCTTTATGGTTCAAAATAATCTATACGAATGAAAAAAGAAATCAAAATGTGATTATAAACACTGTACCAATGAAAAATATTATAGATTTTAAAACAAATTTGGAATAATTTTTTTAAAACATATCGAAATTGGTGAAAAGAAGAAGATGAAAAAAGAAAGTAGAGAGGTAGAAATATACTTTTGGCAAAAGATGCAAATTACTAAGAAATCGAAAAAGAGGAAGAAATTGATACAACACAAGGGAGAGTCATATCCCAAAAGCTACTAAAGTGGGAAAACTCTTAGCTATATAAACCCCACACCAATCTCCCATATGAACAATGCGGGATCCCTATTTTTAGTCTGTATCATTCAACCCACAATAAGGTTCAACGTTCTCGTTGGTCATGGCTACATTGGTCACGACCATGATGGTCACGGCTGATTTTACCGGGCCATCACTCTATAGGCCATGCACCTCTTTGTAGGCCTCCACTTCGAGTTTGCTCTAATACCAATGGTAGAGCACAAGGGAGAGCCACACCCTAAAAATTAGTTATAAAGGTGGGAGAACCCTTGGCTATATAAACCCTACACCAATCCCTCATTTAATCAGTGTGAGATATTGTGTTTAGTCCGTATCAGAAATTTGATTGTGGGTGAAAATGTTTGTGTGAGGAAGAGACAGTGATTAAAGGGTTTTGCCGCTAGAAGATGAGAGGAAGCAGAGAGTTTGGTTGAACTCCTTTTAAAAAAATCTGCTAACTAATAGGAATAGAATCCTAATATTACTTTATTTTCTTATTGATGTATTTCCATATTTCACTTCCTACATTATTTAGTATTCTATATCATGTACTAAAAAATACTCCTTGAGAATTCGTTATTCAATGAGATCAATATTTTATCAAATTGTATCATGGTATCGGAGCTAAGGCTCCCAACCCTAGCCCCTCTCTTCTTCAACTAAGCTTAGCAGCTGGTCTCCTCTGATCCTCTCGTCATCATCGACAGTCGACCTTCATCGGCCGTTTCTTTGTTTTTCTGCAGCAGTTATCGGTGGACTGTCGGCCTCACCTAGCTACCACTGGTCTCTTCTATCTCCTTCATCTGGTAATCCGTCGACAATGACCTCAACGTCTAATCCTCTCGTTTCCTCCCCTCCTTCCGGAATCAGACTTCTACTACGTAATCTTCATAATCTCAAGTCTCTTGGTGGACAGGTTTGGAGAAGCATAGAGGTTGGATGATCAGCTCCTACTATGACCAATGCAGATGGATAACTAATTCAAAAACCTTATTAAAGATTTAGCAAGAAAGAAAAGGATGCTGCAGAATCGAATGATCAGGCTTTGAATGCAATATTCGGAGCTGTTGACAGAAATCAGTTCCGTCTTATCTCAAATTGCACAGAGGCCGAGAGAGCTTGGGACATTTTGCTTATTACTCATGAAGGCACTACAACTGTCAAGACAGCCAAACTTCATATCGTGATGTCTAAAATTGAAAATCTTAAGATGGAGGATACTGAGTCTATCACAAATTTTCATGGGCGAGTTAGAGAGTTGGCAAATGAGGCTGAAAGGCTTGGTGAACCAATTACAGAACACAAGCTAGTGTTGAAAGTTCTACGTTCTCTTCTAGAAAAATACTCCATGGATGTCAAAGCTATTAGACAGGGCCGGCCCCGAAAAATGAAAAAATAAAATTGGCACGGTTCAAAATTTACACTTTGTGCCCTATTTTATATTTTTAGAATATTTTTGCTCTAAAATTATTAACAAATTTAAAAATATGGTGCCCTAAATTTTAAGGGGCCCTGTGCGGTTGGCCACTTTGCACACCCTCCGGGCCACCCATGCTATTAGACAAACAGAATCTCTAAATACTATTTCTCTTGACGAGCTGATGGGGGAACTTAGAAGCCATTGAGTTGGAGATGCATTAGAAACCGCTTGGGTCTGTGCACACCCATCTCTATTTGATTTAGAGAATGCTCTAAGAGGTTTTTCATCTCCAGTGTGGAATACCTTAGAGCATAGATATATAGATGTTTTTGATGGTTGCAGAAATGACCTTATTTTTGCAAATTGTTACTTTTTCAGATGCATCGTCCGAGGGGGAGTCGCTCAATATGGCTCAGGTTGATGTGACAAAGTCTAGGTCTATTTTGATATTCATTATTGTAATGCTCAAGCTCGCTTGAATGTTACTCTTCTCTTTTTTAACCAATATTCTTAATAAAAACTTTGGCATTTTTTATGCAAAAAAGGGGGAGAAGAGGTTCAAAACAGCTGAGATTCGTTTTTGTCAAAAAATTGCCAAAGGGGGAGATTGTTAGTTCCATATTGTGTTGGCATTATTTTTTGACAAACGAATAGATTTAACTAGAATTATTTTAGATATTTTATTTAGACTTAGAGTTCTAGCATGTGAAGAAAGAGAAAGAGGGAAGAGCTTGAAGAGATAAGTCTAATCCTACTTGGTTTACTATTCTTGAGGACGAAGGCATGGTTGAGACTCCTAAGCACAGTCTAACAAGGTTAATATTCTCCATATATTATCTTCTCCCTCCCTTAGAGTTTTGAGGTGGAAAAATACGAAACAACTGAAGCAAATCCAAAAAAAGAAAAACAAGGTGCATAGTTTGATAGTGCAAATTTTCTGGACAGCCCGCACTGATTTGATCATCACCGGAGATCCGACCGTTGGATTGTGCTGAACGTTTCAGAGCGTGTTTCCAACACATAGGGCTTCAACGTGTCCAAGTTTCACGTCAATCAGAGTTACGAATCTTCTGTTATCGAAGTTACAATCTACTTGATGTAGCTGATTTTTTACAGAAAACGCAGCTCTGTTTTGTTGATGATCGGAGTACCAAATCTTGTCCGGTCGTGCTGAAATTTTGGGAGGAGTCTAAGGACTCGTGGAGCTTCAATCTGAACGGTGGTGATCGGATTCCAACGGTTCAATCTAGATTTATGAGCTTCGGATCAACCTGCATATTTTAGTAGATCAAGGAGAATCTTTATTTGAAGGTGTATTGGAATCTACGTCCTTGAAGAAGATCTTTGAGAAGGTGTAACAAGTCGTGGAGATAGACGCAAACCGAGCTGCGTGAACAATTTTGGTGTCTTGCTTACTGTTTTTACTTTATATTCTACGTGTGTGCTTGTGACAGAGAAAGTGTTGTAACACTCTGTCTGTCATCTGTTACTGTGACAATGCTGCAGTATCTTCTCTACATCATAATTGACTGATCTGTTTGCGTAGCTCTTAATTGGTGATTTTCTCTGCACCCCCACGAACTTACAGTTTGTAGGTCTCGGGGCATAAGACTATAAGACAAGATTCATGACATAAGGCCCCTCATTAGACTTAGAAAATTCCCCCATTTACACGGGTTTGCTTTTTTCCTTCTTTTGCGAGACATAATCTCCCCTTTGAAATCTTAAGGCTTTACTCGATCATGAATTTAATGTTTATTATTTTTATTAAGAATGTGTGAAATTTGAACTTATATTAATTAAATAATAATTTAAGAATGATTATCCAAATAAATATAATTTAAAATATAAGTAAATAATGTTAAAAATAATAAAATTATTGTAATAAATTTAACTTTGATTATCAGATTAGACCTAATCAGCTTAGATCTATTCAAATCAGTCCAAATTCAATTAGGATCCGATCCATTAAGATCAGATTCATTTAAATCATATAAGATTATACTTCCTTCGATCCTAAAAAGTTTTCTTTTTTGACTTTATTTGGTCAACACTGATACTGTTTGACCATAAATTAAACATAATCTAAATAAATAAATGATATAAAAAAATTGATATAAAAAATATAACCTAACATGAACCTAATAATATTAAATGTATATTATAATTTAATATACTCTTCTCACAATGGGAGAAAGACCAAAGTAGGACTAGAACATTGAAAATATACCAAAATAGGGCTTCCATGTTTTTATTCTCGAAATAGGACTAACATTACCAAACATGGTCATATACATTACCAAGAAAGTATAGTAATTTGCACATGTACACTACCACATTACCACAATGCAAAGTCACATTACCACAGTGCAAAGTCCTATTTCGGGGAAAAAAACATGAAAGTCCTATTTTGGTACTTTTCTCTATATTTTAGTCATATTTAGAATGCTTTCTACACAATTTATGGTAAAAGAGTATCACTGGTTAACCAAAAACGTCAAAATAGGAAAGATTTTTAAAACCAGAGAGAGTATCATATTAATTGCAATCAAATTCATTTAGATATAATCAGTAACAATTGAAGAAAGTAACACAATGTTATAGTGCCAAATAATGTCTGCCCACAATAATAAAAAAACAATAAGAAATTCTATACACAATGCCAAATTGTGATTATATTTACAATGTGATGATGGAACACTTCTATAAAGGGTATAAATACATATGGCGGGGGTTTTATTTTTGGTAATTTTAACTATGTAATTTTATTCGGGTAGATTTATTTTCAATAGATGGGCCCGGTAACACACAAAAAATTACAAATAAAAAGGAGTGAACTAACTAACTAAGCAACCATGCACCCAAACGGCTACATAACGAAGCTTAATTAGAATATGGCAGAAGATAAAGCCGATGATACGGCGGCGAGGAAGATGCTCAGAGTATGTAAAGGAGCTCGGACGCCGCTACCGGCCGACGCGAAATCAGTTGTGGAGGGAACTCTCTTTGATCCTGTTCCATATTAATGAATGCATGTATATTTTTTGAGTTAATAACTGCAGATAGAAATGTTAATATAACAGTACATGCATGTCACGCTAGGTAGAGAACATTGATTGGATTTATATTATAAGATTCACTGGCCTGATGCAGGGAAGCTAGATTCTGGCGGCGGCGTTGTGGGCGTTTCTGAATCGGGCGCTTTAGAAGAACCCGCCGGAGAAGTCGCTTGTGGTGGCACTGCAGGCGGCGGAGAAGTACTTTGCCGTCCATTTGCAGCTGTTTCAATTTTATTATCACAACTAGCTAGTTATTTCTGCCTAAGATCTTAATTGAAATGCATAGTACTCCATCCGTTCTCAAAAAGAGTTCCTAGTTTGATAAAGCCTAAAAATAAAGAAGTGTTAAATTCTAGTTAACTTCCAATTTTGTCATTGATGTGATGGGTAAAAGTAAGATGTGATAAATAGATTATTAGACAAAAAGTAAGATGTGATAGGTAGGGTATGAAAAAGTAAGGGTAAAAGTGGTTTTTTAATAGAAAGTGAAAGTGTATTACTCCGTATTAGAAGTGAGAAAAATGAAAGAGGAACTAGAGTATTTTTTAGAACGGAGAGAGTAATAAATATTCATCCATCCAAAAATAAAAATAACTCCATCGGATGAGGGAGTTTAACTTTTCAATATTGTCAAATACACTGACACGAAGTATATATGGAGTAAATATTAGAAATATTTGCACTAAATAATACTAAAACTTAAGTAATTTTCCTGAATAGTATTAAACTGTTTTATTCCTAAATAGCACTTAATAATGTCCAGAAGGAGTAATAATGTTGAACATTTACTTGAATAATGACTAATGAATAATACTCCATCCGTCCCATAAAACCTTTCTCCTTTCTTTTTTTATCCGTCCCACAAAACACTTCTCATTTCTATTAAAAAGTCACTTTTACCCCTTACTTTTTCATACTCTAACTATCACATCATACCTTTTTACTACTCCATCCGTTCTCAAAAACACTTCCTCTTTCATTTTTTTCACTTCCAACAAAACACTTCCACTTTCTATTAAAAAACCACTTTTACCCTTACTTTTTCATACCCTACCTATCACATCATACTTTTTCTCTAATAATCTATCCATCACATCTTACTTTTACCCATCACATCAAGGGCAAAATTGGAAGTCAACTACAATTTAACACTTCCTTATTTTTCCACTTTTTCAAAGTAGGAACTCTTTTTGTAATAATCTATCCATCAAATCATACTTTTACCCATCACATCAAAGGACATTTTTGGAAATTCAATACCAAAATACACTACCCTTAAATCTCTCCTAAAAAGCAAAACTCTCATGTTTCATGGGAGGGAGGGAGTAACTTAAAGTGCTACACTGGAAAAATAAACACATATGATGTTATGTAGGGAAAAACATTATGTTTTAGTGTTATTTACTCCCTCCGTTCCTTTAAACCCTTCCACTTTTGACTTTTGGCAAAAATATGAAAAATGTAATTTTAGTTGACTTTTTAATTTTGCTCTTGATGTGATGGGTAAAAGTAAGATGTGATAGTTTGGTTAAGTGGCCGACCTAGGGTTGTGCAAGTGGGGTCACTTGCACCCACTCCAAAAAAATTACTTCCTTCGTCCCGGAGTTTTTGTCCATTTTTGGCTTTTGGAACTGTTTATCTAAGCACTTTGATTCATCAAATTCTCTCAATGTGTAAGCCTAAATATAGTCATGTGTGATCTTGTTTGATTTGTCTTAACAAATAGATTATTAATATATAATTTCTATAATTTTTTAATATACAAATTACAAGATAAAATGGATTAAAGAAGTGTATTGGATGGTGTGTAAAAATGAAAGTGGACAAATACTCTGGGACGGAGGGAGTATTTATTAGTAGTAGTATGTAATTAGGTATTATATGTAGACTAAGGGCACCCAAGAAGAGTATATTTATACTCCGTATGTGATTAGGTGCTATTTTTTCTGAAAATGAAACAGAGAACACCTTTTATAATTGTGTAGAATTTTACTCCGTATGTTTTAATTCTTTTAGATTTGGAAACCTGATTTAACTTTAATTACGAAACTTAATTATAAAATGTTCAATTTTTTTTTTGAAATGTATGAACAAGTTTAATTGTTTTAAAAAGATTCCTAAAATATACTTAGTATTTGAAGAAATTTCTAGAATTAGTATTTTAGTTGTTTAGTTTTTTTTCCTTTTTTTGGTTAAAGCAATGAACCTATTATATTTTTTATACAGTATTTCAAAAATATTACATACAACTTACAATATTTATCTCAGAATGCTATTTATTGATACGGAATACTTTTTTACCTTGTTTTAAATTTATTGCTATACAAATATCAACATTTTCCTTTTGTGCACAAAATGTGAACCCACTCACCGAAATTCCTGGGTCCGCCACTGGTTTGGTTATTAGTGAAAAAGTATGATGTGATAGGTAGGGTATGAAAAAGTAAGGGTAAAAGTAGTTTTTTAATAAAAAGAGGAAGTGTTTTAGAGAATTCAAAAAAAACGAAAGGAGAAGAGTTTTGTGGAACGGAGAGAATAATTAAATTGCAATATTAACCAACCTTTAGTGCATGTGCTGACAGGAGGAGTGTGAAGATTGCATGCAGCAGGGATGAGGGCGGCGAGAGTCTCATTAATGTAGACCCCGAAGCTGGAAGCGCCACCATTCAGCAACGAGCAAAGGCATTGCGGGGTTGACCGGACGATGTTGGAGAGCTGGGTGCAGCAAGAAGATGACGGCGGCCGCACTGAAGAGTTTCCGGTGGCGTAGCTGATGCACGGCGACAGGCTCAAGATTGCAGTCATGCAGTTTGATTGTGCAGAAACGCCGCCGGTCCAGGCGACTGCGAGGGTCATCAACATCAATATGCTTACAATTACTTTGGTATTATTAGAAGGAGTCATTCTTTAATGTAATTCGAGATATTGTCAGAAATATTTAATTAATTGAAGAATATCTCTCTATTATTTTTTTCTTTCTAATTTAAACCCCTGATTAAGATAATTAGGGTAACTGATTTGAAACAAATGATACGTTTAAGGGTTTAATATATAGCAGGTTAATGATAAGGAAAAGATCGAACGAACCGCTAGCTGTTCTTTTTTTTGGTGGTGAGACTGTTGATCTAATTAAAATTAAAGTACTTAAATTAAAGTAATTGTTTCGTAAATACAGACTAAACTCCACCATTAGTCCTTCAACTTTATCAATTGTGCACGATTGGTCCCTCAAGTTTTAAAAGTCCATAAATAGTTCTTCAACTTTATGGTTTATGCATGATTGGTCCTTCAAGTTTTAAAAGTTCATAAGTAGTCCTTCAAGTACACGCCAGCCTTCCAGATCAGGTCCTTTTGACAGTAAATTTTAAAAACTAAATGGGATACTAGCTCCATATAATACGGAGTAGTCATACCTAGTGAAATTTACTCGTAATATATTAAACTAATACTTCGTTTAACTTTTAATATTTACTGTCAAAAGAACTTCATCTGGAGGGCTGACGTTTACCTGAAAGACTACTTATGGACTTTTGAAACTTGAAGGACCAATGGTGCAGAACTCATAAAGTTGAAGGACTATTTATAGATTTTTGAAACTTAAAAGACCAATCGTGCACAACTAATAAAGTTGAAGGACCAAGGGTGAATTTTAGCCTAAATATACATTTACACTGTATAGGCCTTCACAAACCACTTTTTTTTTATAGTTAAACTACCCTATCATTTGCAGATTTGCTATCTTCCCAAACCAATACGTCTGTCGTCGTCTACCTAAACAACTAAGACGGTTTGTCAGTTCCAACAACATATGGATTTTCCTAAAACGTACTACTTACACACACGGCTATCCATTAACAAACCTAAAATGTGTTACACAAAATATTTATACTAAATAGGACTAAAACATAAATCATTTTCTAATGTAGAACTTAAACTATTTTATTCTCTAAATAGCACTAAATAATAAAAAGAAATAAGAATAATGTTCAACAATGGTGAATATTTACTTAAATAATGACTAATGAATAATGACTAAAAGTGTTACATTGAAAAATAAAAATATATGATGTCATTTAAGAAAAGTTATTACTCCCTCCGTTCTCAAAAAGAGTTCCTACTTTGAAAAAGTTGGAAAAATAAGGAAGTGTTAAATTGTAGTTGACTTCTAATTTTGCCCTTGATGTGATGGGTAAAAGTAAGATGTGATGGGTAGATTATTAGAGAAAAAATATGATGTGATAGGTAGGGTATGAAAAAGTAAGGGTAAAAGTGGTTTTTTAATAGAAAGTGGAAGTGTTTTGTTGGAAGTGAAAAAAATGAAAGAGGAAGTGTTTTTGAAAACGGGGAGAGTATGTTTTAGTACCTGGAGTATTATTTAGGTAAATTTCTCAAATATTAATTCTCCTATAGCAATTTGTCATAACTAGAGTTGTTCAAATTGGACCTTTTTATTACCAAGACTTGTCAAGCATTATACTCATCTCTTTATGGACATTATTGACTTGAAAGCAGTATAACTGTCACAACCAATTCAACCTATATATGCATTGACCAACAACTCCATCATTTTTCAAGCCAACCAAACTGGTAAGCCATTTTCCGCGAACACATCAAACTGTAAACTCCATATATAAATGGAACATCTGAACGAGGACACATATGCATGCATCAAAACCATATAATAAACTAATTAACTGCCATTATTAGCAATTAATTAATTAATCAATTACTCCTTGTAAAAGAAGAATGAGTGGCGGCAGTTTATATTTATTGCCGCCACCAGTGGTGGTGAAGGCGATGGCGATGATAGGGATAATGATGACCTGTTTGGGCGGCGCTGAGGCGGGGTGAAGAATAATGATTTTCATTGATTGAATATGATGTGGTTACATGTATATATATAAGAGGAATCTCAATCCTAAACATGGTAGGAGAGACACAAGGAAGGAAACCTATACAAATAAGGTAAGGGAATAATACAATATATTAAATATATACAATATATTTAACATGCTCCCGGCTACGTCGGATGTGGGGGAGGTCTGATTCCCAAGCTTTGTCTGAAGTCCAGAAATAATAAAGATGGCAGTCCCTTAGTGAAGATGTCAGCATACTGCGAAGACGAGGGAACGTGGAGAACACGGACATGGCCGAGTGCTACTTTGTCACGGACAAAGTGAATATCAACTTCCACATGTTTGGTGCGCTGGTGCTGTACAGGATTTGTCGATAGATACACGGCACTGACGTTGTCGCAAAAGACAAGGGTGGCACGG